GCCCACGTCCAGAGGCTTCTTTTCTCCTGCACAGACTTTCTGCTTTCTCTGTACAGCACGCCGCAGAGCTCTGCACCCTGAACGTGCCGCGGATGGCCACAGTGACAGCGAGGAGGAGCTGGCCGCCTTCTGCCCGCAGGTATCGCTCTCTCTGCCATCTGCTCTGCACACTCCGGCAGTTCCAGGCTGTATGTGGCTCCAGTCCTCCCTGCCCAGCCCGCGAGCAGTGGGGAGAGAAGTTAATGTTCCCTGACTTCTTAGGTTGGCACAGCCTGGTCATGATCCCTCCTGTTACCATCACGGCAGAACTGCATTTATTTGTTTTGGGATCCATGCCCAGTGATGCTTGGGAGGTAGTCTGACCTGTGCTAAGAGAACCAGGTGGTGCTGGGGATTGAACCTGCTTGTGTTACAGCCCCCAGCACCCCCCCTTTTTATTTTTACTCCCCACCCCATAGTACACAAGAACTTCTCCTCACTCTGTGCTCAGGGATTGAATTGGGGTTGGCTGGTACAGGACAAACGCTTTAATCCCCTGTGTGACTCTCCAGCCCCATGCCCTTTGAGACACCTGCCCAGCCTGCCTATCTCCTAAACTGCCCCACCCCTTAGGTTGGTATCATGTGTGTCTTCCTGATCACCTGTGAAAAGTCTTTTCTAGATCAATTATGTGCTGAAAGTGGCGGTTGGTTTCCCAAAAGTGCTGTCCAACCTGTAGTTCAGATTGATGAATAAAATCAATCTTAAAAGTTGATCATGGGGCCAGAGTGACAGTACAGTGAATAGGGCTTTTGCCTGGCATGTGGCTAACTGGGTTTGATCTCTTGCATCCTTATAGTACCCCAAGGCCACCTACCGTAATCACTGAGCACAGAACCATGAGTCAAACCCTGAGCACCACCAGGTGTGCTCCCCTCCTCCCCTGCCTCCCAATAAAAGAGTTGACTATGTTTTCCTTGGAGGAGCAGCCCTGAGGTGGTTAAGATTTTGATGTGAGTCCTGCTGGCTGGGCGCAGGCTCACCTGTGGGCCAGCTCCTTTATGAAGCTGTCAGTGGGGAACAGCACGTGGTTGCTAATGGCGGCATCACTCAGGCTTGTGGGTCTTTTCTTTCCTAAGCTGGATGATTCTACTGTTGCCAGGGAGTTGGCCATCACCGACTCCGAGCATTCGGATGCTGAGGCCTCCTGTACAGACAACGGCACATTCAACCTTTCCAGGGGCCAGACCCCTCTCACAGAAGGCTCGGAAGGTGAGGGTGACCGTGTGCCAGCATTGACAGTGAACACGATGGCTGCCTCTCGGCTTCCCAGGCCGCAGGCCAGAGCGGCTGCCCGTTTCTCCTGCCGCCTTGTTTTCCAAGCTTCAGCAGGAAAACAAGAGAGCAGCAGTGGGGGGCCTGCCAGCCTGCGCTTCTGCTTTCTTGGAGTGGCCAGTCCCATGGTTGCTCCACAGAGAAGCCTCTGGCCAGAAGGCAGCTCGGCATTCTGTCATTGGAGGGGAAACACATTCTGTCATTGGAGTGTGGCCTTCACAGACACCCTGAGAAGTCTCGGGGTGGGGGCGGTCAGGCTTCAGGGACCTGCCTTGTGGGGCTGGGGTCTCCGAGCTCCAGCCGGTGCCATGTCACAGACACCCCTCTGTTCTTCCAGACCTCGACGGTCACAGTGATGCAGAGGAGTCCTTTGCCAGAGACCTTCCAGACTTCCCTTCCATTAACGTGGACCCTGCAGGGCTGGATGATGAGGACGACACCAGCATCGGGATGCCCAGCTCCTTGTTCCGATCCCCTCCTGGGGCCGAGGAGCCACAGGCGCCCACTGCCAGCCACGATGAGGCTGCACTGCCACAGCTGCTGCTGTCCGCCCTGCCTGCAGGATCCAACCTCACCAGCAATCTTGCCAGCCTGGTTTCACAGGGCATGATCCAGCTAGCCCTGTCAGGGGCCTCCCAGCCTGGGCCTTCAGGTCCGCCTCCCCGGAGAGCAACAAGAGGCTACCTCCGGGCACCCAGCTCAGACCTGGACACTGATGCTGAAGGGGACGACTTTGAACTTCTGGACCAGTCGGAGCTAAATCAGCTGGACCCTTCTAGTTCCAGGAGCCACTGAGGCAGAGACTCGCTTTGTGGGGGGAGGGTCACTGAGGTTTGGGCTTATTTTCCTCCCCATCCCATATCAGGAAGGGCAGAGGGAGAGTCCAGGCCTGTTCCCTGAATTACATTTGTGCGCTGGGCGGCCTGGCTGGTGTTCCAAGGCCTGGGGAGACAGCAGACTCCCTCCCTCGCTACAGCAGGGGTCCCCACTGCTGAGCTGAGTCTCCGAGGTGAGAGTGTGAGTCCCCAGGGAGGCTTCTCTCTGTCGGGAAGGTACTTGTGGGGAACAGTGGTTGGGGTAGTGGTCCCCCTGGAGGGGAGCTGCTCTTTGCTTTTGGGTATGGGTGCTCAGTGACAGATCCCTTTCCTTCCTTCCTCCTGCGGTCACTTCCCTAGCGCTGCAGAAGGGCAGCAGCTGAACGAGTTTCCTGTCTTCCTCCTCTTCTGCTTGGCCATGATCTGATTGTTCTCGTTTTCTAGGCAAGCCTGGCCTTTGGTTCTATACAGGCAGGTCTGCACCACCTTTCTCAGTTCTTCTGCATTTCTGGAGGCCTAACCCAGTGCTCCAGAATGATGCCGAATTTAAGAAATGTGAACATGATGCAGAGTGGGCCTCGGGGTGAGCCGGCGAGGAGGGTGGGTGCCGGAATCTGTGGGGCTGCTTGGTTATCTTTGGTGCTGCTAACCGCTGGCTCCACTTGACTGTCAGCCTGAGCAATGAGCAAAGCAATACCACACCCATTCCTGTGTTCCTGCTTCTCTCCATGCTCCTCCTCTGGAGAAGCAATAATCCCGTGGGGGGGGATGTCAAAAGTAGCACTTTACAAATAGCTCAGTGGCATTCATCCCGGGAGCCACGGCTCTTCCTGCACCAGCTTTTCTTACTCCCTGTTGAGCAACCCTAATGCTTTTTATTTTCATCAACCACCACCTTCCCTCCCCCCCGCCCCCCCGCAGCTTGGCAGGGCCTTCTTCCAGATGAGCCCAGTTGCAAGAAAATGTCCAGAATCAGCAGACCCCTCTAAGGAGTGACTTCGACTGCCCCTCATAAAATCATGTGAGACAAGACCAAAAATGGTAGTCCTACCTGTGCCAGCCGGCTCTTTCCTGGTCAGAGCCCAGCTGAGCTCTTCTGTCCTCTTTCCCTCTGCATCAACCCTCTGCTGATCCTCAGGGACCATTCCCCCAACATCCCAGACTGGGTGAGGGATGTTAGAGGCCGTTTTCACGTGCTGCTGGGGGAGTGTGTGAACATGTTTGCTCTGGGTTGATGGGCCCAGTAAAGGCCAGGGAAGGAAAACAGTTGACAGTGGGCAAGGAAGACAAGCCTGGTGCCTAATGGTGAAGGTCAGATGGAACGGCATCTCCCCACTGGCTGGTTTCCACAGCTCTGGACAGGTGAACCCTGATGTGGAAGGGAGTGGGAAAGGAGTGGGGGTTGTGTGTCTGCATGAGTGTGTGTGTAGCTTCAGGCCTTGGGAGTTGGCGAGCGGGAAGGACAGAAGGAGAGCAGAATTTTTGGAAGGGGTTTCTTGTACCTGGGGGATCCTGCTCTGAATCTCCTTAGTCCTCCACTGTGAATTGGGGTGGGTATGGGGGGAGGGTGCTGAGGAATAAATCTTGTATGACAGTAATCTTGTAAGAGACCAGTGTTGGATAGTGTTGTACCCTCTGCTCTGTTAATAGGTGACAGTTGGATTGACCAGAATGGGTGCCCTCCCCAGAACTCAGACATGAGTGCAAGTGCCACTCCTGGCCGGCATCAGACCTGCTGCTCTGACATTTCGAAAAAATTTTTTAGGGCCACACCAGGCAGTACTTAGGGATCAGATCTGGCAGGTTCAGGAGCCATATGAGGTTGCCAGGTTTTGAATCCAGGTTTGCTGTGTTAAAGGCAAATGCCGTACCCACTGTACTATTTCTTTGGCCCTTCTCATATATATATATATATATATATATATATGTATATTTGTTTGTTTGTTTTGCGGGGGGGTTGGGGGGTTGTGCAGCTATACCCAGCGGTTCTCTGGTTACTCCTGGGTTTGCACTCAGGGCTCACTCCTGGAGGGCTCAGGAAGACCATGATACACCAGGGATCAAACTTGGGTCGACCGCGTGCAAAGCAAATGCTCTACCAGCTGTACTATCGCTCTGACCCATGATACGCCCCCCAACAAATGACAATAAACACATTTAAAAGGCTAGGGACATTTTTTCTGGTAGCAGGAACCTTTAAAAAGCACCACCTTGCTGTTGGCCTGGCCCGTCTGAGCTGCGGGGACATCTGTTCCTTGGCCTTCAGCTGACCTCAGACACTGGAAATGCTTATTTCAGGCTTTGTCCAACTGGCCACTGCAGGCAGCAGAGGCACACACCTGTCAGGTGCTGCCAGGACACTGAATGGGCCGCGCCTTCCCCGCAACAGCAGGTGCCGAGCGCCCCCCAGTGTCGCGGGGCGGGCAGGTCCTTCGTCTCCTCCCAGGCGCTTCCCGGCTAGCCCTTCACCCACCTCCCGCAAGTGCTCCCCGTTCCCACGGTACAGCTGATAAGGCGAAGCGACAGAAGGGGCCTGGACCGTGGGTCCGAAACCGTCCTCGCGGATAACGGGCTCCGCGACCTTGAGCGAGTGTCCGGCCAGGCTGGCGCTAATCCCGCGCACACGCGGCCGAGCGCAAGGTCACGGGCATCCGCCGCCGCTAGGGACGGGGCCCGAGGTCCTGGGACAGGGTTCACTAGTCCACGTCCCGGGGGAGGACCCCGCCCGCGGGGAGACCCGCAGCGCCGAGGTCGGGGCCGGAGGAACTACGGGGGCCGGGAGGGGCCGCGCCACCCCGCCAGCCAATCGCCACCGCCCGGCGCCGGAAGGAGCCGTTGTCTGGGCAACGGCGACGTCCGGTCTGCGGAGTTTGGCGGCGGGAAAGACGATGAGTAAAGCTCGCGCTGAAGTCGCGGCGGGAGGTACCGGGGCCGCGGGCTCCGGCGGGGAGACGCGGGAGCGGGCGAGGGAGGGGTGGGCCCAGGGGACCCTCCAGCCCTTCCGCCGCGTCTCTCCGTAGCCCCCGAGGTCGTCCTGAGGTACCTGCAGGAGCAGAACAGGCCCTACAGCGCCCAGGACGTGTTCGGGAACCTGCAGCGGGACCACGGCCTGGGCAAGGCGGTGAGCGGCCGTCCCTCCCGGGGGTCCTGGCCCTCAGGCCGGCCCCGGTCTGAGTCCCGGCCGCCGTGTCCCCACAGGCGGTGGCCAAGGCGCTGGAGCAGCTGGCGCGGCAGGGCCGGCTCCGCGAGAAGGCGTTCGGCAAGCAGAAGATCTACTTCGCCGACCAGGTGAGCGCTGAGCCCTCTGCGCTCGAAAGTGGGCTGGCTGCAGGGTTCCGCACTGTTGCCACCAAGGCTCTTTTTCTGCTTGGAGGCCGTTGGCAGTGTGGAGTCTAGATTCTGGCTTTATTATTTGATTTTGGGGTTTGGGGTGGAGATGGAGCCGGCGTCAGCCCCTGTGCGCTAGATTCTGGATCACACCCACTCTGGACCACATGATTTTTTTTTTTTCTGTCTCCACTGGCCGTTCCCCAACACCCCACAAACATACACCAATCCGTGTCTCCACACCACCTGGGTGCTGTCAGCTGATCTAAATTAACCCAAGGCCCTTTAAATATATATATATATATAGAGTATCACTATTTAGCAACTGATTAAGCTGACCAAAGAGGCCAAGGCCCATTTGGTTGCTTCCACTCTATTGAAGATCTGAGGAGAGGTTAGCAGGGTTAGGGTTTTTGTTTGTTTTTGTTTTTTAAGTTTTTGGGTCACACCTAGCAATACTTAGGGCTTGCTCCTGCCTCTGCACTCAGGGATCACTCCTGGTAGTGCTCGGGGACCCATTTGGAGTACTAAGGATTGAACCCAGGTTAGTAAGTGCAAGTCAAATGCCCTCCGCGTTGGAGTATGACCCTGGCCCGGAGGGTTACTATTTTTAACTTTGCAGGCCCAGAGGTCTCTTGTCACAGCTAGACAGTCACTACCTTTCCCTGACTTTTGTCTGTCCTTGTTAAGCAGAATCAGCTATGGAAATAAGAATGTTAGCCTGTGATTGGTTTTGTTTTCCAAATTGTGTAATTAGGGGGCTGGGAGATGATACAAGGGGTTAGGCACATGTGTAGCATGCACCCATCCTGGGTTTGATCCTTGTTGCCACATGCCCAAATGAGCCTACAGGGTGGCCCTGAGCAGTACTGTGACCTCAAGCTTTAGCACTAAACTTGAACCCAACTGGCCTTGCCCCTGAAGTCCTGCTTAGGATGCCCGCCCCCCAGAAATGTGTACACAGTTGGATTGGGTTTGCAGCTGTGTCTGACCCATGCTCTAAACATTCACTTTGCTTAAAAGCAAAACCCAGGTTGCTCCACTGAAGTCACATCTTTCGGGTCTTCTCCCAGCACCAATCACAGCACCCTTCTCTCTTTTAGTTTTTGGGCCACACCCACCGATGTTCAGGGGTTACTCCTGGCTCTGCACTCAGAAATTAATCTTCAGCAGTGCTCAGGGAACCATATGGGATGCGGGGATTGAATCCAGTTGGTTGCGTGTAAGGCAAATGCCTTGCCCACTGTACAACGCTCAGGTCCCAATAAGATCCTCTCTGAGCTCCAACACTGTCCTTTTCTTTTTTCGCTTTTGGGCCACACCTGCAGTGCTCAGGGGTTTATTCCTGGCTCTGCACTCAGAAATCCTTCTGGCAGTGCTCGGGGGACCCATATGCCAGGGATCTAACCTGGGTCAGCTGCATTCAAGGCAAATTCCCTACCGACCATCCTATCGCTCTGGCCCCAACACTGTCCTTTCTAGTGCAGATCTCTTTTTTTTTTTGTAATTTTTATTAGTGAAACACCATGAGGTACAGTTGTAGACTTACAAATTTTTGTGCTTGGGTTTCAGTTATACAATGATCACATACCCATCCCTCCACCAGTGCCCATTCTCCACCACCACTGATCCCAGTATCCCTCCCACCCCCCATCCCCTCCCACCCCCACCCCCCGGCTCTATGGCAGGGCATTCCCTTTTGTTCTCTCTCCTTTTGGGTGCTGTGGTTTGCAAAAGAGGCATTGAGTGGCAATCTTGTTCGGTCTATAGTCTACTTTCAGCATCTCCCATCCTGGGCAGATCTTCCCAACACCCTTTATTTGGTGCTCCCTTCTCTATCTGAGCTGCCTTTACCCCTAGAGTGTGCGGCTGGCCTCCAAGCCCTGGAGTAAACCTCCTGGTACTTATCTCGGCTATTCTTAGGTGTTAGTCTCCTATTTTGTTACTTTATGTTCCCCAGATGAATGCAATCTTTCTATGTCTGTCCCTCTCTTTCTGACTCATTTTGCTTAGCATGATACTTTCCCTGTAGTACCACTTGTATATAAATTTCATGACTTCATCCTTTCTAACAGCTACATAGTACTCCATTGTGTAGATCTACCAAAGTTTCTTTAACCAGTCATTTGTTCTCTGGCAGCTATGGCACCAACCATGCTCTTTACCTGGAAGTCCTTTGCAGACCTGTGTCAGATTTCATCTTTTACACATATACACACACTTGTGCATGCACTTTCCATCATTGATGTTGTATCTGGGGGTGCTCAGAGTTACTCTTTGTTGGGGAACCAAGTGCAGGGCCAAGGAATCAGATCAGGTGCCACTTTAACCTCTGTTCTATCTTTCTAGCCTCTTAAAATTTTTGCTCCAGGGAGGCCAGAGCCAAAGTACAGCAGGTAGGGCAATTGCCTTATAAGCAGCTGACTTGGATTTGACCCCTAGCACCCATAATTGTCCCTTGAGCCCACCAGGAGTGATCTCTGGATGCAGAGCCAGGAGCTCAGGGCACTGCTGGGAGTCATCTGAAAATTTAAGACATTAAAAATTAAAATCTTTATTCCAGTTATTGGGTGAGTGGGGATTAGGCATCCACAGGCAGTGTCCAGGGTCAGCTGCTTGCAAGGCAACCTTGAGCCCTGTAGTATCTCTTGGGCCCAACCTGGCCCTTTTATACCTTTCTATTAAGACCAGTGCTAAACTGGATGACTTCTCAAAAATACCCTCCCACTTTTTTTCTAGGCCCTCTGGATGGTTGGGAGTTAAAGTTCTGTTTTTTAATCTTTGTTTTGGGCCATGTCCAGTGGTGGTGCTCAGGGCTTACTCCTGGTGGTGCTCAGGGGACCATTGGGGATGCTGAAGATTGAAGTAGGGTCAGCCTTGTGCAAGGCAAGCACCCTACCTGCTGTACTACTGTTCCAGCCCAGGAGTTGCAGGTTCTTGATGTAACTTTCCTTCCTGTCGTGTGCCTCACTTCAGCCCCCTTCCATTTACCCTCATCGTCGGCAGGAGCAGTTTGACACGGTCAGTGATGCCGACCTTCAGAGCCTGGATGCCAAAGTCATGGCCCTCACTGCCGAGGTGCAGAGCCTGCAGCAAAGCTGCCGCCACATGGAGGCTGGTATGACCATGCAGCCCTGGGAGGGGCTCTCGGGTCGGGGTCAACCTGCAGGCCAGCAGCCACTACTCGGATGGTCTGCTGACTGAGCATTGTCTAGATGCAGCAAAGATCCCTGCCCAAACACGTATTTCACTTGCTTACTTGCATGTGTGTTTCTTTGCTTGCCTCCCAGATCTACTCTGGGGAGAGTCTGTTCTCTCTTAAACACATGCTTCTCTCTCCTCACGTGTTTTTTTTTTTTTTAATTGGGGGGGGGTCACACCCGGCAACGCACAGGAGTTCCTTCTGGCTCATGTGCTCAGGAATTACTCCTGGCGGTGCTCAGGGGACCATATGGGATGCTGGGAATCGAACCCAGGTCGGCCGCATGCGAGGACACGAGATTTTGGTCCCTTCCCTTCTGTGGCTGTCAGCATTCCCACCTCTATGTGTGAGTGGGGAGGAAGCCAGCATGGAGCCCGCGGTTAAGCCTGGAGCAGGGTCGTGGCTGCTCTCACCAGGGCACCGACCTGCGGGGAGAGCAGCCCCTCCTGTAAGGTAGCAAGCAAACGCCGAGATGTGATTGCAGAGCTGAAGGAGCTCACAAGTGCCCTGACCACACCGGACATGCAGAGAGAGATCCAGGAGTTAAAGAAGGAATGTGCTGGCTACACTGAGAGACTCAGGAACATCAAGGCGGCCACCAACCATGTGACTCCCGAGGAGAAGGAGCAGGTGAGCCTGGCGGCAGGGTGGTACAGCTGCATGTGAGGTGGCAGCTGCCAGGCTCATCGTGTTTCTGTGCTAGGTGTACAGAGACCGGCAGAAGTACTGCAAGGAGTGGAGGAAGCGGAAGCGGATGGTAAGTTCCTGGGGGGCTTCAAGACCAGCCTGACCCATGGGTCTCCCGGGCTGAGCTGGGAACTGTCCATCTGAAAGCAGTTTCTTGTCAGGCGACAGAGCTGTTTGATGCAATCCTTGAAGGCTACCCGAAGAGCAAAAAGCAATTCTTCGTAAGTGCTTCCCGCCCCCCTGGCGCCCCGGTGGTCTTCATCCAGAGGTCTTATCTGCTTGTCTTGGCCCGCAGGAGGAAGTTGGGATAGAGACGGATGAAGATCACAATGTAAAGCTCCCAGATCCCTGAGCCCGCCACACTGAGGTGGGCTTTGTTGCTGCTGTGTCCCACCCTTGAGTGAAGCAGGTGGGAAAGGTGTGAACCAGAGCACAGGGTAGAGGGAGGGTGCCTTGGCCACGATGGATGGATGCGCTCACTTCCTCATTCACACTCCAGTGCCTTGATCTTAACACACACTTGGAACAATGCTGAAGGAAAAAGCATTTGGCAATATTTATTGTAATATAATCTGATATAAAAATATTTAATTTCCTCTGGATACGAAGCCTCCCAGATAGCAAACCTGAGGTAGGCATAAGGGAGCCTGAGGTGGACGGGCTTGAGGTCACTGTACATAGTGGGAACACAAGCCTCTGCAATCAGGAATGCTGGGCTCTGCCCTGGCCCCTGTCCACTCCGGGCCTGGGAGCCAGTGAGGCAACACCAAGGGGCCAAGATTCGTGCATACTGCACCAAAAGGCTGGGAGTGGTCTTGAGGTCCAGTTAATTTTCCAAAATTGTAAATTTAGCAAATTGTTCGTAGAAAAATAAATTTAATTTTGCCAACATTGTGTCACAGTTGACCTTACTACAGTGCCTGAGGAACGGCTGGTTTGCTCTACTGCCCAGAGTGGCAGATAGGAAGCAGGAACCTGGCCCCCACTGGGCTGACTAGCCCTACTCAGGGAGGCAGACATATGTCCTGACTACACCGAGAAGTTTTTTTTACTCCTTTCCTCCTGGTGGTCAGTTAGGTCATGTGTTACCCAAAAGACCTAAACAGGCCAGGAGGAATCCCCAAATATATACAGGTCATAAGCGGACATTTGGGGCTTAGGAAAAGGGGAGAGATCTGGAGCTCCGGGGTGCCCAACAGACTCACATCCCAAAAATGCTCCACAGGGAGAGGGGAAGACGGGGTAGGTTCGAGTTTTATGGTCAATATAATAAATTAATCAGAAGCATTTGCAAACACCCCAGACCCTCAGGGGGAGACTAGGGAACAATCTCTGAGGAGGAACACCGGCTGGCTGGGGTGCAGGGCTGCAGTCCGATCTCCAGAGCCCAGCAGCACTGGGACCAAGTGGGAGACTCAAAGGCCTTGTTGGCTGTCTGCAGGTTCCAAGAAACGGTCAGTAAAGCTGGTTCTTTAATTGGTGCAGGACGCCAATCACAATCTCCCGGAGGGTCTGTGGGGGCAGCAGAAAGGCACCACTCAGATCAGCTCAGCTGGTGACTATCGAGACCAAAGTGTATGCCCATGTTTTCATGCCCCCCCCACCATGTTCACTGAAGTACAGTTTACAGTACTGTCAGTGCAGTTCCACACACACACAGTCCAACACCACCCCCACCACTCTGCTGGTGTCAGGGGACCCCCTTCCCAGGCCAGGCCAGATCTCTTGACCAAGTCTCCAATCCTGTTGTCTTTGGTCATTTGTTTATCTACTATTTCTTTATATTCTACATATAACGAGATGATTCTGTCTGTCCCTCCCTGTGACCAATTTCGCTCAGCATGATCCTCTCCAGACCCAGCCATGCGCAGGTCTTTAGAAGACAGAAAAGGGGGCCACTTCCTTGCATGCGGCCAACCATGGTTAAATCTCCAAACAGTCCCCTAAGCCCACCAGGAGTGATCCTTGAGCACAGATGGGTGTGATTCAAAAACCAAAAAGTTTTTTAAAAATAAAAGTAAAGGGGCAGGGGAACCACCTTCAAAGCCTGGGTTCATTCATGGTTTTCTAAGAACCACTAGATTGACCAAAAATAAAGCCTCTGATTTTGATTATCTGGTTTACTCTGAAATTAACTCCAAAAGGGGTAATAGAGATGAATATTTGTGTAACATAGCAAATACAGAATGCTGCGGTAGAGTTCAGGTAGGGATGGAGGGGCACCGAAGTTTTCGTTATAAAATCTGCCCAATGTTGCAGTATATTTAAAACATTTCACAGTAAAAATGCTGGGAGGGGCTGGAGAGTTGGTTCAGCAGGTAGAGAGCACTTGTCTTCATGCAGCTCACCCAGGTTTGATCCCTGGTACCAGATACGGTCCCCTGAGTACTGCTAGGAGTCACCCCTGAGCAGAGAGCAAGGAGTAAACCTATAGCACCTGCTGGTGTGACTCAAAAAAACCCACATTCTTGGATAATCTCAAGCCACAGAAAAAGCAAATAGGCCTCAAAAGCAAAAGATGGGCTGGAGAGAAAGAACAAGGCAGGGTCTTGTCTTGCATGTGGCCAACCACATGTTGGGTTCAATCCCCAACATGCCACGAGGCCACCCTACTTCTACCAGGAGTGATTCCTGAATGCAGAGCCATAAATAACCCCTGAGCACTGTTAGCTGTGAAACCCAAAGCCCTCTGCCCCACCAAAAAAAGCAAGACAGTACAATCATTAATATTAACGCCAACTATTATTTGTTAATATTAACTCTAACAAATAATCGTAATAACCCGGGGAAAGCGTCAGCTGGCCAGGAATCTTTCCTACACCCAGGTAATTCTGCTGCCAATGATCAGGGCTGATCCCTGAGGTAGCCTTACCTCCTGCAGAGCAGAGACTGAGGCAGGTTTTGCAGGAGTGAGCGCTCACACTTGCCAAATGAAACCTCCAGGTGAAAAGCACAGACAGCACACGTGGGGATGCCTGGCCTGTGGCCAGGGAGGTGCATACCTGAGGCTTACAGTGCTCCTCAATCCAGCTGAAGACACAGGCCGAAAGCTCCTGGAAGCTGGCCACTGAGATGGACGCATTGAAGGACTGGAACAGGGAATCCATGATGCCTTGAAACACGTTGAACTTGACCTGGTCGGAGACCTGGTCCTCCCCCTCGTGGGGGTTGTCCTGGTGCGCCTTCACGATCTGCTCATAGTTCCTGAAAGGGAGCAGCAAAGTATACAGCTGAGCACTGCAGCGGCTCTGGTCGCCAGCAAGAAAAACAGAGTGATCCTTCGTCCCCCCGGGATGGGGATTCCCAGGGTTCTGTGCTGGCCTGATACTGTCTTAGCTCTTCTCCAGGCATTTCCAAGGTCTGCTAAGTGCAAGGGGCTGGAGGAAAAGGTAGAGCCTGCCTCTGAGGGGTCATCTGAAGGACAGCGTCTTTTCTTATTGATGAGGCCCGTGAACTGGGAGAGGCATGCACATAAGCCAGCCTCGAAGTCCCTCAGAAGCCCCCGGCCCCCCCACAAAAGATCGGACCTCCTTACACTTTCATGATCTTCAGGGCCATGACGTCCTTACGTAGTGTAGACACCTCCTCCTCCTGCTTTTTCTTTTCCTTGTGTAGAAACTGGATGTAGTCGATGGCTGGGGTTGACACAGAGCAAGTCTCAAACAAAGGGACAAGGTTTTGTTCCCTTCTCCCGCAGATCCCAAGCCTCCCATTACAACCACCACACCCAGCCGGGGGCCCAGAGGTCCCAGAAGCCCCAACCCCTGGTCATACTCTTCTGCAGAACAATGGCTTTGCTGAGCTTCTGGGAGCCAATGGAGAAGTCTTGCTGCTGGCAGGTGGGGACGATGGTCTGAAGGTCGTCATAGCCTCTCTGTGGAAACAGCAGGGAACAGGGCATCTAGCTTTTAGGGACTATGCCAAACTGACACAAACCTTTTTCTCTGCGAACGTCTCATGCTCACACCCAAAGGGACGGGGGTCTGGAATGAGGGAGGCGGTCATGTCTGGGGCTTTGGGGGCCAGTCTGATGGGTCTGTGGCTCAGGAATATAATACTGTGGGGCCTTGCTATGCGGGTGCAGGGCAGGCTCCCCCAATCACCTTGATGGCATCCCGTCTCTTCTGCTCGGCCTGAGTGTGGGCGCGCCGCCGGCGGTCATTGTACGACTCTTTGTAGGACTCCTGGTGGTAATCACTGTCCTCGTCATCTAGAGTTGGGGGCAGGCAGAGGTTATGCTGGAGCCCAGTGGAGTCCAGCTAGCCCGCTCGCCCGTCACATGGAAGAAGAATCGGGTACTTAGAGCTAGTGGATGCATGGAAGAACCTAACCCCCTACATGAGGTGAAAGATGGCAAGACCCTGTGTCCAGCAGAAGGGCGACAAGATCCTGGCATGAGTGGATGGAACTTCCGCTTTAGGGAAGATAGCAAGATAATGACATCTGAGTCCCCCACGGGGGTGGATGCCGCTGCCTACCTGTGTTGGGGACAGAAGAGGCACTGGTGGAACCGATGCTATTAGCTCTGGACACTACACTCCCCTTGTGAGAGCTTTCTACAAAAAGCCCTGGAAAAGAGAGGTCCCGATCACTATGGGTGACTGGGAGGATACTGAGAGGACACTGAAACAATTTCTTTCCTTCAACCGCAAAGCCAACAAGAGGGCCAGAGAGATAGTACGGGTAGGGCTCTTGCCTTCCATGCGGCCGACCTGGGTTCCATCCCCAACACCCCATTATGATGCCTGGGCACTGGCTGGGAGTGATCCCTGAGAGCAAAGCCTGGAGTAAGCCCTGAGCACCACTGGACGTGGCCACAAACAAAAAGCCAACCAGACTGGGCCCCACTTATTGTCATGCCCCGTCATAACGTCCTGTCCTTAGTGTCTAGGCTGTTCCTCTGGCCTGCAATGATCTCTTCGATCACAAAGTGGCACCTGGCTGTGGGAGGCACAAGAGTGTCACGACTCCATCACTGCCCTGCTCCTCCCTCATTCTCTTAAGCCAGAACGAATCTCAGTGCAGTGACTGCTCAGGTCAAGTCTGTCAGGGCCACTCAAACCACAGAGGGCAGGGAAGACACTCACCAGGGTCCAGGCTGTTGTCACTATAGGCATACTCCACCTGTGGCACCAACATGGGAGAGGTACATCAGAAGCCTGCCTCTGGGGGAGGACTCGCTTACTCAGTCACCATACCCACAGGCACACCCAGGTGCATATGTACACCCCAAATCACATTCACACTCTTCCCCCCAATCACTCATATCCCCAATCACCCCAAATTACATACCCCCAATTACACATGTCCCCAGGCATTCCCGATTATACATACCCAAACTACACACCGCAAATCATCTACAACCAATCACACACACACACCTCCCAGAAACACCCCCCAACACCCTCCAATTAGACATCCCTAATCATACAATCCCAATTACAGATACCCCCAGTCACCCCTCCATTACACACCTCCTTCACTTAACATCCAATCAGACACCCAATTGCACACACCTGGAGAGCACAGGCAGTTGAAGATTCAGACATACACATACATACGCGCACACACACGTCCCAAGTGAACATTGGAGCTTTCCATCCAACACACACACACACATTTACAGCGCCAGTGACAGAACAGAGGCTTTCCATCCAACACACGCGCACACGCGCGCGCGCGTACACAGGCTTTCCACCTAGAGCCAAGGCTGGCCAGGCCGTGGAAGCGCCAGCCCCCGCTCACCCCTCGCCCCCCGCCCGCGGCCCCAGCCCCCACGAGCCCCGCGCTCACACATGCCTCGGTCAGTTGCGTCCCCACCTTGGCACAGGCGGGGTAAGAGCTGTCTTCTCTGCAGCCCCGGGGCCCGGAGAGCGTGGGGGACTTTGGGGACTGCCAGGAATCCCCTCGTCTTCCGGACCCCCTACGTGCACGAGCCCGACCCGACCTCCCCTCGCCGGCGTGCGCGCCCACGGGGCTTGCCTTGACCCAGGGGTCCTCCGGCGAGGCGCCCGGCTCCGTCATCTCAGACCCACCGTACCGGAAACGAGCCAGAGGCCGGGCCCCCAGCCGCGAGGAAGAGGCGAGGCTCGCCCACGTGACCAGAAGCCACCAATCCGCGGCCGGGGTGGATGCCGCGCACGCGCAGCGCAAAAGAGGCGGGCCCAGGCGCGCACGCAGCCGGGGTAGGGGCTGGGCCAACCTCAAGTTGTTCTCGGGGCGGTTTCGGGGGGCTTTCCCTGCAGAGTGCTCCTAGGGGTTCCGATCTGAGGCTTTCCGCTTTTGCAGAGGTGTGCGCCCGTGCCCCGCCGGCCGTTGGGGGTACGCGGCTCCCCGGACCACGCCAGGCTGCAAGCTGGGCACAGCCCCAGATACTGCTTGCCTCGTGAAACGGGAGCTCTCGGCCGCCCTGCCAGCGCCTGGCAGACCTGGGCAATTTAAGCCTGCAAAGAGCCTGTTTGCTACTTTATACCGTCTGGAGGCCGGCAGGGCTAAGGCTGACCTGGCTCTGGCTAGCTTCAAAGGTTCCCAGCTCCTGCCGGCCCTGCACCCGGGCCCCAGAGACGCCCAGAAATTATGGGAGCAGAAAGCAGACACCACACAGGCAGGTCTGGAAATATTGACCTTTAATTGTTAAGTTCCAGCGTTTGTCCTGGTCCCAGTTGGCAGACACCCCAACACAAGTGGGGATGGAATGCGGGGTCGTGCTCTCCCACGAGCCACATACTCAGTGTTGCCAAATTCCAGCGGGCTGGATGGGCTTCCTTGTGCACCAGCCTTGTCCTTCGGGGCTGAGCTCAGGGCCCTAGGCCGATGCCATTTCGCTGCTAGATTGTGATTCCCCCACTCAACAGGGAATCCGCATCAGTCGGGGTCTACAGCGGCTTGGAGATGCGCTCCTGCAGGAGTCTCCAGGCTTTCTCCACCTTTGGGTAAGCCAGAGTCTTAGGAGGAGGGGTCAGGTTCAGGTGGGCGCCCCTTGGAACTACGCTGACCACAGCCCCGCCTGCCCACCTGCTTCTGAGTGATCTGAGGCTCCCATAAGGTACTCAGCACCACGTGGCTCTGCTCCACGAGCTGCTGCCCAGACATCTGGCTCTGCAGGCGGCTCTGCGCCGCAGCCTCGCTCAGGCCGTCCCTGTCCACTATGCGGCGGATGGCCTGGGCACACAGGAGGCACGTGTCAGCTCTGGCTCAGGGCGGGGCACGGTCTGCAGAGGGGGTGGGGGGGCCGGATACCTCGGTCTGAGGGATGACCACGGTCCACACCTCATGTACCATGTTCTGCCAGCCGGCCTCAAGCAGTACGGCGGCATCAATCACGCACACACGCTTTCCTGCAGGGAGACCCCCAGTCACTGCAGGCAGCACCCTGCCACCTACATCAGTCAGAGAGCCAGTGGGCTCTCGGGGAGTGGACGCTGTGACTCAGGGTGGGGAGGAGCCCACCCGCCTTCCCTCCCACTCACCCTCCGCGGCGGCGTGCTCCATCTTCTCCCGAGTCAGCTGTGCAATAACCGGCCACATAATGTCTCTGAGGATCTTCATCTGCTTCTGCAGGGGGACAGGGTGGGCACGCGAGTACCTTCCCTCCCAGATGGAGGTTCCCGGGGGGAAACCTGGCATGCTGGTCCAGACCAGAGTGACCCACTGGGTTCCCAGCACTGGCTGGGTGGAGCAGCAGAATTCTTTGGGGTGTCTTTACCTTGTTCCCAAACACGCGGCTGCCCAGGACCTTCCTGTTGATAACGCCATCTTTATGGAGAATCTCTAGATGACAGAGACAGAACAGGCTAAAGAGGCCAGACCACCTCCTCACTTCAGGCCACCTCCAGCTCTCCCTGTCAGTACCTGTCCCAAAGGCTTCCACAACGGCCTGGTAGGCAGGGCCGCCTGGGGTGTAGGCCTGATGGCCCAGCTGATCACTGTCGATGATAAACGCCCCCAGGTCCTTCAGCCGCTGAGCTACAGAGCTCTTTCCGGAACCACTTATGCCAGTCAGCCCGATCACATACAGAGATGCGGGGAGCTCCGGCCTCTTCTGGGGGGAGGGTGAGGGGGTAAATGAGAGACAGCCGCACAGTTATTCCCCCTTGGGTACCCCCTTCAGTCTCTCCAGGGGTCCCAGTTCCCCCCTCAGGAGTGGAGGCTCACATATGGAGGCCGTAGCAGCTCCCCCAAAATTCGCTGGCGAAAGCTGGAGGAGCTGACTTTGTCCTCTTCGTTCTCCTGGTGGTTCTGGTCCTTCAGCAGCTTGATCTGGTACAACGAAAGCTCCTCCAGGCCCTGGGAGAAGGGGTGAGGGGAGGAACGGCCGACATGGAGGTGCCACATGGACGGCCCACCTGTCCCAATCAGTCCTTCCTACCCCAGAGGGCAAGCTGGCCGCCTCGCCTTGTCCCACCACCCTGCACCCTTTCTGCCCTCCTCTGGCTGCGGTCATGGGCTTCCTTCCAGCAGCCCCCCACCATGGCCTCCTCAGCCCCCTCCACTCCCTTTAACGGGCTCCCTCCGGGGTTACATTCTCAAGGCGGAAGCGGTTGACGGCCATCCCCCCACGGTGGGTCTCCTCGCTGACCACCAGGAACTCCAGGGAGGGGTCAGAGCCAGCGGGCCCATAGGGGTCCAGCAGGGGCATGATATCAAAATTCAAGGAGGGCTTGATGTCCACCAGGAACTCACTCAGATGTTCCACGCGCTCTGCGTAGGGCTGGAGCAGCTCAGGGAGCAACTTGCCTGGGGAAGGAAGGAAGGAGCCGGAGGCACTGTGAGATGCTTCTCCTGGAGAAAAGCTCTCCCAACATCCCTCCCAATGGGTGGGTGGCAGGAGAGGGCTGCTCGGTGGAGGTGGAGCTGCGAGAGCGAGGCAGCGGGCTGCAGTGACCCTGGCACCGGCGGGTATGTAGCCGGGCGCCCCCAAGTCAGACACAGAACCCCGAGCAGCACACACTCCACCAGTCGGTCCCTTCTTCTGTCGTGGGCACTACTACCTACAACTCACTCATTCCAACTTCAGAATCGTCACCTGGAGGACATGGTCTATGCGCCTGCCCCCTGTCTGGTGACCACATTATTCGCTTAGCACTGAGTGACTCTGGGGAGGAATGGTAAGATATGGATGGCCCAGTCTTTTCTCAGTCTGGCAAGGGTGTGTCTGAGTTGAGGGGAAGGCCCAGCCCCAGCCCCTATCCAGGATCTCTCTCACTCACTCTTCAAAAGGTCTTTGTCGGCTACTCCCACCACAAGCTGCTCCTGGGCCAGGATACAGGCGACACTGAGCAACACCTTGTGTGCATTGTGCAGGCGGTCAAAAGTGCCACCCACAGCCCCACGCTGGTAGCCACGCACCGGCTGCTTTGGAGACCTGGCTACTGGAGAGGCTGGTCTAATGGTGGAGGGCAAGAGGCCCTCGGGAGTGGCCACGGGCAGCTCCAAGTGCTCATAGTCGGGATACAGGAGCACCGAGGCCAACTGTGGGCAACAACTGTAGCAGCTGGTGGCATAACGCTCTAGCTGTTGCTTCACTGGGTTGTACTGGCTTCCGTCCAGGGTCTGGAAGTCAGTGAGCACCACTTCCGGCGGGTGGGCGAGGTTCTGGACGGAATCGGGCAGGGCAGGGTGGAAGGTGCTCTTGGGTTGGATGTTGGTCAGCAGGATTCTGACGTCCAGGTGCCGGTGGACGTCGGCGCCGGCATAGAAGTGCGAGATGAAGTCGAGAATCTCAAACGTGGCCTGCACGGGGCTGGACTGCGGCTGCGCCGGGCCCTCCAGGCTCATGCCCGGCTGCAGGTGGACATAGAGCGTGTGATTCACCAGCCGGGCCGCCGAGGTCAGGATAGGGGCCAGGCGCGGGGCCAGGGAGGCCAGCGGCGTTGTCAGCACCAGGAGGCCCGATCGGAACAGGGACATGCTGCTGAGGCCTGCAGACAGTCAAGGGGGCGAGGGTGACTGCTGGGGGGGTTGCGCGGCGGAGACCGCGCTCCGTGCGGGGCGTTGGACCCAAAGCCAGGGGACCTTGACCACGTCCTCCGCGAGGAAGCCGGGGGTGGGAGCGGGCCCTGGTTAAACGGCGCCTCTGGGCTGGGCTCTACGCCTCGGTTTCCTCTGGGCTCGGACGCGGCCGTGACTTTGGCTGGACTAAATGGCGATCCCGGCAGGGCACCGCCGGCCAGAAGCCCCTGGGCCGTGGCCCCCCGGGACGCGGGACTCCCGGGCCCTCTTGCTAGGCTGCACCGGGGCCTCCAAGGGCTCGAGGGAGGCGAGTCAAGAGGGGCGTCTGGCCTCGGCGCAGACCCGCTACTTACTGAGACCTCCCGGCTCGCTTCTGCTGGCACCGCCGCGGAGGTTACGGGCGGCCCCGCGCCGCGACCCGGAAGCAAACGGCGGGAGCTCCGCGCTACGGGCGCCGAGACGGGCCAAACCTCTACCACCGGTTCGGAGCGGAATCGTCGCGAGGTTTCCTGGGGGGCGGGGCTCCGGGCTGGGTCCTGCTCCTGCGTGGGGTCCTGTACCCGCCCGCGGACGGGGATTTAGCCCGGTCACCCGGGAGTCAGCAGCAGACAGAGCTGATAAGTTCCGGGCACGGAAGTGGAGCCCGGGGCAGCGCCCAAGTTAGGGCTCGGTGGTCCCGCAATCCTCTGGCGCCCGCCCACTGCACAGTGCGGGAGAGAACGGGACAGCTCAGTCCACGCCCCCGTTTCCTCTGGCGTCCCGGTGCACAGGTCCCGCTGCACAGGTCTTCCCGTGGGGAAGAGAACGGACAGCTCTGTCCGTGCCCCCATTTCATCCATGGGGTGACTGGCGTCCCGGGTGTTTCAGGGACAAAAAGGTCTCATGGCTTGCGTAGCTGCCCGACCTCCCAGAACCGCTGAGGCAGGTGGTGGTTGCAGGTGAGCTCAATAGAGCCTCTAGAGGATGGTGTCAGGACAAAATGAGCATCCAGGAGACCGAACGGGAAGGGCGTTGGCCCTGCAAGCAGCACACTCGGGTTCAATTCTTGGCACCCACTGTGCCCCCCCCCCATCCCTTTAAGAGTGATCCCTAAGCGCAGAGCCAGACAGGAATGAGTTCTGAGCACATCCAGGTGTGGCCCCCCCAAACAAAAAGTGAGGGTCTATCTTGCACCTAATGAGGAGGTTGGGGGGTGGGGGGCAAGCAAACCTGACATTCAGTTACTCATTGATTTGCTTAAGTGGGCACTGGTAACGGCTCCATTCATCCCTGTCGTGTGCTAGTGCAGTCAAATGGCGTCTGTTTGTTCTAGGAACACGAAGACCCTCAAACCAATCGTTCAGGGTCTTGACGAAGAAGTCTGACCATCTCATAGGTGGGCGGCCACGTGATCTTTTGACGTCTCATGGAATCCAGTCAGTAACGCTCTAGTCCAGCGGTCGTCTCCAAATCTCATTATGTGTCCAGCCCATCTGATTTTCAACGCCTTGGCAAACGAGACAGCGTCCCTGATTCTTGATCATCGACGGAGGTCGGAACTCTGGATTCTTTCTCTCATTTGAGTGAAGTGGGTTACTCCAAGCATAGCTCTTTCAATTCCTTTTTGGGAGACCAGAATAGCGTTCTCAGCCTATTTTCGTAAGGCCCAGGTCTCTGACGCATATGTTAATGCAGACCGAACAGTGGAATCGAAGAGATGTGCCCAGAGCCCGAGGGTTCTTCGTCCTCTTAGCTCGCAAAGCAGTGCAGAGATGCGATCATGGAAGACCTCAAAGAGAGACGAGCAGAAGTGCTGGTAGATGCGGCAGAAGCCGGGAAAAGTATTCGTAATGCCCACCTGTCCTTCGCCAACTACAAGACCAAGATGACTGCCCTCCGATGTCCTGATGGATCTATCACATCCTCCAGAACAGCAATGGAGATTATCCATGACTTCTACTCAAATCTCTTCGATACCCATGTCCACTTGCCGACATATCAAATTCCACAGGATGGATATGTTGTTCCCAATGTTCTCCCTTCCAAAATCTGACATGCCATTTCGTCAGTAAAGAAACGAACAGCACCCAGCCCAGACAAGGTCAGACCTGAACACCTGAAGAACCTGCCGTCAGTACTCATCAATACACTGGCTCGGCTCTTCACACGCTACCTGTCTGAATGCAAGGTTCCATCCCAATGGAAAACCAGCAGGACTGTACTACTGTTCAAGAAGCGAGACATCCATGACATTGGCAACTATCGCCCGATCTGCCTATTGTCTGTCATCTACAAGTTGTTCACTTGAGTCATCCTAAATAGGATTGGCAGAACACTAGATGAAGGACAACCACGCGAACAAGCCGGGTTCCGCAAAGGATTCAGCACCATCGACCATATCCACACGATAACCAAGCTCATTGAGGTTTCTCAGGAGTTCAAGATGCCGCTCTGTCTAACGTTCATTGATTTAAAGAAGGTCTTTGATTCTGTTGAGATGGAAGCGGTCATTGAAGCCCTAGCCAATCAGGGCGTCCAAGCTCAATACATCAAGATCCTCCGTGAGCTGTATTGCGGATTCACTACCAGGATCTCACCATTCTACAAAGAAGTAATCATTGATGTCAAGAGAGGGGTTCGGCAGGGTGATACCATTTCACCGAAACTCTTCAGTGCCACCCTCGAGAACATCATGCAACAACTGGAATGGGAAGGAATGGGAGTGAAGATAGATGGTCAGCAACTACACCACCTCTGCTTTGCTGATGACATTGTTTTAATAACACCAAACATCAGCCAAGCGGCACAAATGCTGGCCGACTTCGACCGTGAGTATGGAAAGGTCGGTCTACAGCTGAATCTTATGAAGACAATGTTTATGAGAAACAGCCTCGTTCCTGACACCGGAACGATCATCTCCGAATGCAACAGCTATGTGTACCTAGGTTGAGAAGTCAACATGACAAATGACCTGGCACCCGAGCTGCACAGGAGGAAGAGAGCAGCTTGGAATGCCTTCAAGAACGTTGAAGAAATAGCTAAGAGGACGAAGAACCTCCGGCTCCGGGCACATCTCTTTGATTCCACTGTTCTTCCTGCATTAACATATGCCTCAGAAACCTGGGCCCTACGCAAACAGGATGAGAACGCTATTCGGGTCTCCCAAAGAGGAATTGAAAGAGCTATGCTTGGAATATCACGTTTCACTCAAATGAGAGAAAGAACCCGGAGTTCCGACATCTGTCGACAATCAAGAATCAGGGACGTTGTCTCGTTTGCCAAGGTGTCAAAAATCAGATGGGCTGGTCACGTAATGAGATTTAAAGACGACTGCTGGACTAGAGCTGTTACTGACTGGATTCCACGGGATGTCAAAAGACCACGTGGCCGCCCACCTACCAGATGGTCAGACTTCTTCATCAAGATCATGAACGATCAGTTTGAGGCTCTTCATGTTCCTAGAGCGAACAGACGCCATTGGGCTACACTAGCACGTGACAGAGACAAATGGAGACGTTACTGGCGCCCACTCGAGCAAACCGACGATTAACGGGAAGTCAAGTGATCAAGTGAATATTTGCTTTCATTAATTCAGCAGGGGAGAGGCAGTTTGGGGCTATACTCAGCATAATTATGCTTAACACCTGGCTCTGTGCTTAGGGGTAACGCCTGGTGGTACTGGGGGACCATATGTGGTGCTGGGATGGTGCTGCACACTAGGAACCACTTTCGCCTTATACTATCTCTCCCATCCCTATGGTTTTTTACTTTGAGAGGTGCGGAGTGGGGGCAGCTACACGTGGTGGTGCTCAGGGGTAACTCCTAGCTGTGTGCTCAGGGATCACCCTTGGTGGGGGACTATATGGGATACGAGGAATTGAACCCAGGTAGGTCACATGCAAGGCAGGTGCCTTACTGGCTGTATTATCTGCTCAGCCCTATTTTTAAATTTTTTTATTTATTGTTTATTACTGGACACGCTCAAGCAAATTGATGAACAATGAAAAGACAGTGCTATTTTGGGCCACACCTGGTGATACCCTAGGGTTTACTCCTGGCTCCACACTTAGGCATTACTCTTGGCAGTGCTCAGGGGACCATATAGGATGCAAGGCAAACGCCCTACCAAACGCCCTACCCGCTGTACTGTCTCTCCGGCCGCAGCCCTATTTTTTGTATTCTTGAAGCAGTCACCAAAGTGGCTCAGCTTGGAGTGCCACAGAACCTAGACCTACCCCTGGAATCAAGGGCAGAGTGTTAAGAGTGACAAGGGCAGGGGAACAAGCTGCTTTGAGGTATCTTCAGGATTTGAGAGAGAACTCCATGGTGGGGGTACACTCTTATGTTTAGGGGCCCACTTATGGTGGTGAGAATTGAACCTGGGTCAGCTGCATGCAAGGCAAGTGCCCAGCACACAGTAATAATAATAGCGGAGCCCAGCTTGCAAGGAGGCGCTATCCTGCCTGCCACACCCACTGTCCAGGCTGCTGCCCTGCCCCCCAAATCCCGCCTGGCTGCCTTGCCAGCACTGTTCTAAAGAGTGACCTTGGTGTGGGGCCTCCTCATCACACAACATAATGAAGATGTTTCAGAGTATAAAAGAAGACATGGATTGGAATAAACTTTTGAAATTGTTTGCTCTCCGTAGAGTTAACAGCAAGTTCTCTGGATCCACCAATTTGTTGATTGTGAATATGAAAGAAAAAGTTTTAAGTTATATGCCAAATCAGCATTTATTTTGCATCATCAAAATGAAAAAGTAAAATCTGTGCTGACCACTCAGACGCATGTGCCTTTTCATAATTCAGAGTAAAGCTGGGGCCTATTAAAATAATAATAACAGAAAAGTAAAGAAAACATAACTTCCCTGGAAAGAAAGAAGAGCTGAACTGGGCCTGGAGAGCAAGTTCCTTGGATTCTTGTCACGTGGGTCCAACCCCTTTACAGAACCTCTGCATAGAAGCCATAGTAGACCTGAGAACCCTAACAGGAAGGAGCTGGGGCACTTCCGGTGGAGCCTTCCTCCCTCTGTGGTCCTGCATAAATGCCCAAATCCCAGCAGGATCCTCAACCCTCCCCTCTAAGCAGGTTCTACCCACTCCTGTTGGTTGGTTTGTCCTTTCTTTGCCCAACCAATCCTCTGTGCTTACCTTTAATCCCTCCTCAGTGCTCTCCCTTCCCTTGTCTGTTAATCACCTAAATCCCCAAATCAGGCCCTGTGACTTGTAAAGTCATATTCTTCTGAGGACTCTGGATTTTGTATATATTGTTTTTCTCTTTCTTTTATGCCCTCTTTCTTTTATACCCCTTGCATAGTTTACTTTAAAGCAATGTCCTTTCTGTATAAACACAGGAAGACAGTTCTATACTTTTGTAACTTGGGAGTTAATTGACTCTGAATAATTTGATTCTTGGGTGTTTGTTATATTTACTTAAGCTTCATTTGCCCTTAGTTCTTAACACACCAAAAGGGAAGTCCTTCAAAGGGACACAGACAGACCTAGGGCAAGCTGCAAGCTACCCTGGCATCAAAAAGGGATAGACTAAATGCCATAAAAAATGTAAGCTAAGAGTACAGTCATGGAACAAACTGTCATGACCCAAACAGAACTGGATAAGGACCCTGCTGGCATTAGGAAAGACTGACCTAGCCTGAGGACTGTAGTCTGGGATATATAATGAGATGTCCCCAGGAAGAGCTACTCTTTTTTTTTTTAATTTATAATGTATTTATTTATTGAATCACTGTGGGAAAAGTTACAAAGCTTTCAGGTTTAGGTCTCAGTCATGCAAATATCAAACACCTTTCCCTTTACCAATACTTATTTTTTACCACGAACCCCAATAGAACCCCACCTCCCACCCCTCCCAATTTCCTGTGAGACAGATGAGTTCTAGTTAACACTCTATCTACTTTGACTAGATTCATTGTTTCGATTAAAGATGCACCATTATTAGAGTTTACCACCCCCCCCAATCATACATGCTGAAAAAGCGTTGTGAAATGATTTGCTTTCTACAGCTGGGTTCAGGAATTAAATGTTGTCACGCGGCCGCAATAGCGGCCGCGCGGTTTTGGACTTCTGCTATTTTACTTATTAACCCTGGAAGTATTTCTACTAAAAGTTAGATAATTAAGAGATTGGTTTCTGTGTTGTCCTGCTGTCCACAAGGCTCCCATGCGGCCGCCATCTTTCTTTCCAGAGAGGAGAGAGCGAATGGGGCAACACCCTTTCCCCTCTGGGCAGGCAAGATGGCGCAGTTTAACACATAGTCCTTTCGCTTTTCTGCTCCAAGCTGCTGGTTTTCTGCGTTAAGTCCTTGTGCTTCTGGGGCCGTGGCCGTGCCGGAGAGCCGCTCGTGGGGGGCAACTGGGGACCTCGGTAGGGCATGAAGGACAGGCCGGAATGCCCCCCCTTCCCATGAGGTTTTTGTTGCCCCCGACCCCCAGCTCATACCTGCTGTCCACAAGGCTCCCATGTGGCCGCCATCTTTCTTTCCAGAGAGGAGAGGGCAAAAGAGCTACTCTTTAAGCTCAATATATCCTCTGTGTTCATACATAATGGCCAGAAATATTTTTTTTATGTCGGAGTACTGCTATTTATTCAGCCACTGATTAGCTGATTGAATTGTGCATGAACTCCACCTAACTTTTTTTTCATTTTTTATAATTTTATTTGTTGAATCACCGTGAGAGCAGTTACAAAGCTTTTTTTTGGGGGGGGGTCACATCCGGCGATGCACAGTAGTTACTCCTGGTTCATGCACTCAGGAATTACTCCTGGTGGTGCTCGGGGGACCATATGGGATGTTGGGAATCGAACCTGGGTCGGTTGCGTTCAAGGCAAACGCCCTACCTGCTGTGCTATCACTCCAGCCCCAGTTACAAAGCTTTTGGGTTTAAGTCTTGATCATACAATGAAACATCCATACCTTCACTAGTGCCCATTCTCCACCCCCAACAACCCAGTATACCCCTATCCCGCACCCTCCCCCTACCTGTGGGGCAGATGATTTCCACATTACTCTCTCTACTTTGATCACATTCAATATTTTGACACCAGACCCACCATTATTATTTGAGATTTTACCCCAACACTCAGATCTGCTGCAAAGGCAAGAGTAGACAATTTGTTTTCTATTGCTGGTTATGAATAAAATATGATGTCACGTGGCTGCAGTAGTGGCCGCGCAATTTTGAAATTCTGAAATTTTGACACTTAAATCTGGAGGGATTTCTGCCAAAACCTGCTGGGTTCCGAGATTTGCTCCTGAGTCTCTGGGATCATGGCTATTAAGCAGATTTATCAGGAGACAGAAAGGCTGTTCATGGGCGATGACTTGGGGTCTCATTGGGGTGGGGAGTACAGGACCGGCTCCACCCCCATCCTGTGAGGCCCAAAATGTCTTGTTACTGCGGGCCCAAACCTGACTGTCCAGTGGCCTCTGGAGGATGGCGGCCACCGGGCCGCCAGGGGGAACAGGCCAAGGCACAAAACCTATTCCCACCTGGGTTGACCCAGCACTGGTAATCTACTGCAGGGACCAGACGCATTTCTGCCAAAAGCCGCTGGGTTTCGAGATTTGTTTCTGAGTCTCTGGGATCATGGCCATTAAGCAGTTCAATCAGGAACCAGAGAGGCCATGCCTCCAATTATATAGCTGAGCCGGAGGTGGTTTTTGGGGTCTGGCCAAAGGCACAGCAGCAATTTTGGGGTATCTGGAAGTCTGAAGGCGCCATCAGGCTGCTGATGCACTCACCTCACAGGTACAGATTTACCTGCTGGGGGCACCATACCCCCAGCCAGAAATATTTTTAAAAAAATATATAAGATGACTTAAAAAGAATACTGGGTAAGAAAAGGAGAAATCCAATATACTTTTTTTTTTTTTTGCTTTTTGGGTCACACCCAGCGATGCACAGGGGTTACTCCTGGCTCTGCACTCAGGAGTTACTCCTGGTGATGCTCAGAGGACCATATGGGATGCTGGGAATCAAACCCGGGTCGGCCACGTGCAAGGCAAACGCCCTACCCACTGGGGTATCTCTCCAGGCCCCCAATACACTCTTAGATAGAATTCCCCCCTTGCATGGATCTCCTGGTGGGAATCTAGAGTGCTGAGCACTTAGATGAGATTTTTGTCCTTGAGTAAATCCCCCAGAACTTCCCCTGAAGCAGGGGCTTTACATCTGTTCATTGTTTATGTGTTCAACCACACCTATGTGTAATTGCAATTGCTACCCCTTACCCTTCATGATTTCTCCATAATGTTCTGAGACTTGATTTTTTTTTTTTTTTTTGGTCACACCAGTGATGCACAGGAGTTACTCCTGGCTCATGCACTCAGGAATTACCCCTGGTGGTGTTCTGGGAACCATATGGGATGCTGGGAATTGAATCGGGTCAGCCAGCCGCATGCAAGGCCAATGCCCTACCTGCTGTGCTATCACTCCAGTCCTCTCGTCCTGAGACTAAACGGCCACTGATAACCAACCAGCCTGTGGCACCTGTTCTCCTTCTTTCATCTGTCAGCTCCAGGGGACTCTCGGGTCTCCTGGGAAGGGCCAGTGACCACCCCCACACAGGAACAGTGACACACTAACACCCCACACCCCCAGTCCCTCCCTGTTCCATCCCCGCTGGGGCACCCCTGCCCCTTTCTTCTAAGAGCCTCTTCTGTGTCTCCAGCCTCCCAGTGAGCAGGCACCTTCATGGCTTCAGCAGCTTCAGGCCGGGAAGAGGGGGCCAGGCCCTGCCCAGCCAGGGTGGGGGAGATCTCAACTGTGGAGGTTTGTTTGAAGAGAGCGCAGAAACAGAAGGGCCCTGTTTCGTCTCTTTTTTTTGTTTCTGATTTTGCACCACACCCCGCTGACCTTCGAGGCTCACTCCTGGCTCTGCACTCAGGAACTACTCCTGGCGGTGCTCAGGGGGATCGTTTGGGATGCAGGGATGCTGGATCCCCGGGTCAGCAGCATGCAAGACAAATGCCCTACTGGCTTACTATCGATCTGGTCCCGCCCCCACCCCAAACCCCCATTCCACCCGCTATTTCTTGACTTATTAAGCAGGTGGCTGGTCTATTCAGCTGGTCGACGCCAGCACCTTCAGGTTGGTCCCAATGTGCCCTTCCCTGGCCTGAAGCCACGCGATGAACGGGGACAAGTCACGCTCGGCTTCCGCCCCCCGCCCCCCCCAACACCTCTCGCACCCAGTTCTATGGCTGCAGGCCCCGAGCCTGGGGCTCCCTCTCTCCGGACCTCAGTGTTCTCGCGGGTAAAGCCGGGTCACCTTTTCTGGGTGGCGGCGTCCATCCCCACCCCCGGGCCGCACCCGCCGGGATGCCGTGGAGGGTGCGAAGGATGACGCGGAGGCGGGGGTGGAGGAACAAGCGTTTATTGCGGGGCGACGGGGGCCTCCGAGCCGTCGGGCTCGTCTTGCTCCTGTAAGAGGAGTCGGTGCGCGGTGGCCAAGAAGCTGCGGCCGCTGGGGTCGTCCAGCCGCAGGCGAATCAGCGGCAGGAAGGACTCAGTGTTGGTGCAGAAGTAGCGCAGGGCCGGGTGCGGGTCGCGCAGCGCCTTCACAAAGACCTGCGGCCGCCGGGAGGAGGCGCTGAGCGCACGGGACCGGCCCGGGGATCCGCATCCGCCCCCCCCCCCCCGCCCTGGCCCCCCCGCCCCAGTCCCTCCCCCGGCCCTCCCCCCAGTCCCCGGCCACCCCGCGCCCGCCCCCGCAGCTGCCCACCTCCGCCACCTCGTCTGGCTCCTGCAACTCCGAGAGCAAGACGCTCTCCGAGTTGCGCATGAAGCTGGAGTGGAGCTCGCGGGTCTTGGCATCCACGCGTTCCAGCGCCTGGACGGTGGTCTCCCCGACCTTCTCCATCAACCGGGTGCGCACCGGGCCGCACTCGATGAGGCTCACGCTGTGGGTCCCAAGAGCGGCGAGTGGGCAGGAGCGAATTCCCATGCAACCCCCCAACCCAGGTGCCTGCAGTGGGGTGTACGCCAAGGAGACCCTGAACTTTGAAGAAAGAGGTTCACTGACCCAAAACTTGCTCGGATGTCCTGTGGAGGGCGTGAGAGACCCACAACTCAACCCTGGCTGGGCCCCCTCTTGCTGTGCGCCCTCAGCCGAGAGACCTGGCATCTCTGGGCCCTTGCCACTCCACCATAGGACAGACGCCCTGGGTGGGCAGGTGGAAGGGCCAAGGCACAAAACACTTGTGGGCCATGGTGAATGCCCACCTCCAAGGCACGGGTTCCCCAAGGCAGGGTTCAGAGGGCTGGGGGGTGAGGGGGTGCTGGAGGTGACTCACTGGATCCCAAAGGGCAGCAGCTGCAGCGCCAAGCTCTCACATAAACCTTCCAGGGCGAACTTAGTGGCAGAGTAAACATCGAAGAAGGGCAGGCCTTGAGGGGAGAGAGGCAACTGAGAAAACTGGGGGTTGGGGGTGGGGGACCCTGCTGTGACTGAGTGCCCCCCCCCCCAATTGGGAGTCGGAGTCTAGAATCAGAGATGGAAGGCTGCCCCCAGTGGGGTCCCATATCTGCTGTCTCCAGGAAGCCCTTTATGTTTTTGTTTATCCCCATAAACCAACACCCTCGGGTATGTAAAATTCAAGATAGTCAAGTATCTGACTAAAGAGTGTGGTTGGGGGCTAGAGTGGATAGCACAGTGGGTAGCGCTTTTGCCTTGCATGTGTAAGATGTATAGGGTTGAAACAAAAACAGGGAGGGTGGTTGATGGGCGGGGGGGCACTAGAAGTAGGCACTGCTCCGTTGTTTTCCTGGGCTGTTGATGGTTATCAGATCCTGTTTACTGGATACAGTGCACCACACCTGTTGTGACAATTCCAGAAACTCGGCCCCCAGTGCAGTTTTCCAGCAGTTACAAGACTGTGGTTGTACCACCTCACTGCCTCAGAGTACAGTGGTGAGATTGGAGCTGACACATAGAATGCCTGAAACAACTGTATTATAAGCATTTTTGGAAACCTCTGTGTTTGAAGAAAGTTAAAAAAAAAAAAAACAACCAACGGACTGGAGCAATAGCACAGTGGGTAAGGCAGGCGTTTGCCTTGCACGCGACCACCCCAGATTCAATTGCTCTCATTCCATATGGTCCCCCAAGCACCACCAGGAGTAATTCCTGAGTGCAAAGCCAGGAGTAACTCCTGTGCATAGCCAGAGTGTGACCCAGAAAGAAAAAAAAAGTGTTGTTCTCCTGATGATCACCCATAAACCAATGCCCTTGGGTATGTAAAACTGGATAGGTGGTCAAGCATCTGACCACTGAGTGTTGTTTTTCTGATGATTTCTGGTCCTAAGCATTACATACTGTATGTGGAGGACATCGGGACTCTCCGTCCATGAGGCGGTGAGCCTCCAGGTCCCCTGCTTTTTCCTCTCTTATTTCTGGCTCCATTCTTAGTCCTCATAGCATCCCTGCTTCAGGCCTGTTCATCTGGGGCCGGTCCCCGGCACCCCGCCCGCAGACCCGCCGGCAGACTCTCACCCATTAGGCCTCCTATGCTCCCAGTCACGAAAATGTGTCCTGAGTGGCGGCGCTTCATGTCTGGCAAGAAGGCCTGCAGCACCCGTATCGTCCCGGCCAAGTTCACGTCCAACATAGAGGCCACTTCGCTGGCAGCCTGCCCCTCCAATGGCCCCAGCAGGGCCTGGGCCGCGTTACACACTGTGGAGAGAATCCCCACCCACCTGCCTCAGGCACTTCCCTGGCCACTGGGCCACCCTGGACACCAGCGGGGAAGGAACCCCCTCAGGAGTCCCCCCAGAGGCTCACCCAGAACATCCACATGGCCTTCAGTCACCTGGGCCTGGGCCGCAGCCAAGGAATCTGCCTCCCTCACGTCCAGCTGCAACGTCTCCAGAGAGCCAGGTGGGCATCCTCTGGACCGGGCGGCCTCCCACAGCGGCCCCTGTGCCCCCAGGTCCCTCATGGTGGCATATACTGCAGGCAGAGGAGGCAACAGGACCTCAGTGCCCTGCTGACCCCTCTGGGCTTCTTGGGCCAGGGCCTGTCCCCTCTCCCCTTCTCTCAGGTACCTTTGAAGCTTTTGGATGGATCGGACGCCAGACGCAGGGCCAGGTGCATGCCGATGCCAGAGGAACAGCCGGTGATGAGCACCACAGTTTGTGCCATGGCAAAAGGGATCCGAGAGGTGGGGGTTCCTACTCAGGAAGATTGCTCCTGATTTATGCCCTGCCCCGGCCCTGGGGCGGTGTCAATGTTGTGTCTACGTCAGTCTCTGGGTCCCAGGCCTGCGGGGCTAGCCAAGGTTGAGTGAAGGTCAGTGCTCTGATAAATACCCCACCGTGAGCAGGAGGTATTGCGTAAGCAGGAGGTACTTCTCTCCCCTGGCCCTAAGTCCCTGTTTGGCTGTCTGAGCATTTTCATTCGCTGTCACTGCGGACGGGGGTGGCGGGGGGGGGGGGGTGCTGGGGTGCAGGTCTGTGCAGAGGACATGCTTCCCCTTGTGGAAGAAGTGGTCCCCCACTAGGGCCATGTCACAGCCCTCCCAAGCACAATGGCAAGTTAAGTGCTGATGACAGACAGGCCTGGGGGAGGGGGAAGGGGTTGGACTCAGCAGTTTATTAGGTGCAAGGAACAGCATTCACGTCCCCACGTCACGGTGGAGGGCAGCTTCCCATGCTAGACCCCACCCACAGGTCCGGGATTCCACTGCCCAGGCCTGAGTCCTCTTGGGACCTTTGTCCAGCTCCAGGTCCTGGGAACTGGCCTCGGGGCTCTGCAGTTTGGGAAGAATCTGCCTGGGGGTGACACACGTCTAAGAGAGAGCCGGTCACGTAGCGGGGGTAATACTTGAGGAAGAGCTCCTTGACCAGGTCCACGGTGCTGCCTTGGGGCTGGACGGGGTAGCCCCGTGGGTTGAGCACAAAGGCCTGCCCCAGCTGGAAGGCCTTCTCCTCGAACTGGTGCTGCGGGAAAGGGTGGCCCTGCGCCAGGCTCTCCACCAGCATCTGCAGAAAGAGCCGCCAGCGCGGGGTGTAGTAGTCAGCAATCAGGCCGGCCAACTGCTTGTTGGCATAGTCCAGGATGTTGCCCTCTGGCCCCCACAGGGTCAGCTGGTATCGCGCGTTGAGTTCATAGAGACGGGCCTCGTCCTCGCTGGCCGCCACCCCTCGGGCCTGCTCCAGCCAGCGGCCCAGCAGGAAGTGGCTGTCGCTGGCCAGTACCCGGTCGAGCGCGGGAAGCAGCTCATAGGCCAAGATGCCCCCTGCCCGCAGCAGCGCTGGCAGGTTCTTCCCCAGGTAGGCATTTCTCGCCTCCAGGTAGTACAAGCTGACCAGCTCCTGGACCACCTGGCGAGTGACGTCCACCAGGTCGTAGAGGTAGGCTGGGCGGGGGCCGAGGACGGAAGCGGCTGAGAGCAGCAGCCGCCAGGCCTCGAACACGTCCGAGCGGTTGTACCAGACGGCAGTGACCATCTGGAGGGACGGTCGCCGGACCAGTGGGCTGCGGTTGTGTCCGCTGCAGGCCTCGGCCGAGCAGTTGTAGACGCTCCTGAGCAGCAGCCTCCAGGCGGCCGCTGCGGCCTGGTGGGAGGCCCCGTAGCGCCGGGCGGCAAAGCCGGTCACCCAAGCATCCAGATCTGCCACCGGCTCCTTCCTCCAGCCCAGCTCGGCCATGAGGGCATAGGCCACTTCGTTCTGCTCGATGCCCTCGGGCGCCATGCCTGTGCCCACCATGGTGGAGTTGGGGTAGTGGCGGGCAGCGGCAGGGCCTTGGTTCACGGCCTCCAGGGCCCCGAACAGGCCGTGGTTGCCTCCGAAGTTGTGCAGCATACACCAGATGAAGGGTTGGCCCTGGAAGGATGCCGTGCGGACGTACACGGGTTGGCTCTCGGCGAACAGGTCCAGGACCAGCAGGCGGCCCCTTGGCACGGCCCCCAGCACGGCGTCCACCTGGGCAGGTCCCCAGAAGTCGGGCTGGTGCTGGAAGAGCCAGCCCTGCAGCAGCCACACAGCTTCAGGGTCCACTGGGGGGGCAAAGAAGGGGGGGAGCAGATGGGGGGCAGGGTTGGGTATTAACCCTGAGTGTTTTAGGCTTCATCAGTGCATTGCCCCTTTTCCTCCAGCCAGAGAATATCCTCTTCCTCTGAGGGTTTTTTTTTTTTTTTTTTTTTTTTTTGCTTTTTGGGTCACACCCGGTTACTCCCGGTTATGCAAAGGGGTTACTCCTGGCTCATGCACTCAGGAATTACTCCTGGCGATGCTTGGGGGGACCATATGGGATGCTGAGAATAGAACCCAGGTCGGCCACGTGCAAGGCAAATGCCCTACCCACTGTGCTATTGCTCCAGCCCTGAGTTTATCTTTAACCTTTACTTTGTACTTTACCTCTCATTTTTACATTTCCCAAGGCAGTCTTGGTTACTTAAAAGCCAAAACTTCTGGTGATTTTGGACTCTGCATTTTTGTTTTGTTTTTTTTTAAATAACATAGGAGTACTGCTATTCATTCAGCCATTGATTAAACTGATTCAACTGGGCATGAACTCTGCATTACTTTTTTTATTTTATTGTATCACCGTGAGATAGAGTTACAAAGGTATTTATGTTTGAGATTCAGCCATACAATGATGGAACGTCCATCCCTCTACCATTTCACATTTACCACCATTGATGTCCCCAGTATCCTCCCACACACACATCCCAGTCCTCACCCTGCATCTATGGCAGACAATTTCCCCAAAACTCTCTCATTTTTTTTCTTTTTTTTGCTTTTTGGGTCACACCTGGCGATGCACAGGGGTTACTCCTGGCTCTGAATTCAGGAGTTACTCCTGGCGGTGCTCAAGGGACCATATGGGATGCTGGGAATAGAACCCGGGTTGGCCGCGTGCAAGGCAAAAGCCCTACCTGCTGTGCTATCTCTCCAGCCCCTCTCTCTCTAATTTTGAGCATCATGTTTTGCTCAAATTTTCCCACCAACATTCAATTATTTAGCATGTGCTACCTGCCGGGGCAGATGCTAAATAATTTATTTTCCATTCCTCATTTTGAATATCATGAGAGCTCGTGCAGCTGCGATTGTAAATGTAAATTTCTAGATTGTAAATGGTTGGATCCCAGAGACATCTCTGCATGGCACTAATCCATTTTGGGATTCAATTGGGAGTCTGGGCCAGTGGACTTTGCATTTGAAGTGAATTACTTGCTTTTCTATTTCCCCTATAGCCTTTTTATATTTTACTAGAGAGCAATGTTCCTTGTTTAAATGCATAAAGACCGTTAATGCTGTGCTCCTAATATTTGGAGTTGATGGACTCTAAAAAGGTATCTGTGGCATCCATCATAACTACTTGATTCAGGCTTCAGTTCTTAATACCCCAAAAAGGAGGTCCCGTGGGACTGGGATGGACTTGGGGAGAGCAGCAAAACTACCCCGGCATTGAAATGGGACAGTCTAGACAGCTTAAATACATGTCTTGATGCAAGCTGTTATGACTTAAGAGACAGAACCCCCATGGGGGAGTACAGGCTAGACAGGCCCGAGGACTCAGTTTGGGATTTACAGTAAAATCCTTGCTTGCCCTCAGAGCCCAGCGGACAAAGTTTTGGAATCTATATCTCTTACTGTGTTTATCCAAATAACTGCAAGTTATTTCTCCTAACCCAGAAAGAGCCTTGAATGTGGCACTTTTTAGAATCTCAAGGCTAGGACGAAGGAGACATTACTGGTGCCTGCTCGAGGCAATCGACGAACAACAGGATGATCGTGATCATGATTAATATGAAGTAAACTAGTTGTTTAATATGTACAACTAAAGGGAACGAGAAAAGCAATATAGACGTCCCGGGGAGACAGAGCATCTCCTTGAATTAATCTACCCAAGAGAATTGCCTCCACTGCAATGCTTTACTTCTGTAAACGATCAGTCACACCTACATGCAGCCCTATACCTCGAACCCTTCAGATGTTCTCTAAGTACACTAGCAGCTCTGCATTAAAGGGGCCATTTTGACCACGAGTCTGTGGTCCCTGGTCTCTTTGCTCCTCTGCTGAGGTGTCTCTCAGGGATTCTCCCCGACACCTGACACACTTGACAGATACAGAAGGTTCATCATAGGATGGGATGTGTATCTGGATAAGACCCCCCTAGTCCCTCAGCAGGTCCCCCTGACAGACCGTGGGCAAAATCTCTGGAGCTTTGAATACCCAGAGGGATGGACTACACACGCCCCGGGGCGTGACTCGGGAGGTCTGGGGGTGAGAGTTTGGGACGTGTGAGCAGCGCTGATGCTGTCCACTGGGGCGCAGAGTCAGAGCAGCCTGTTCTAAAAGTCTGAGTCAGTCTGTTCCCTCCTGGCTGATATCAAGGTCGTCCCCCTCCCCCGGGCCCTCACCTTAGCGCCAAGACACAGACCAAATAAATTCTCTAGCAATGCTAATGACCCTGGACTCTGGACCTGGCTTTCAACTCTGGTCACCCTGTTTTACAGATTAAGTGAGGTGCTTGACAGAGGTGACCCGTGACAGTGCCCAGTTTCTCCTGCACAGTGACTGAGGAGCTGGCTCTTAGGTCAGGGATCCCCAAGCCCCTCACCTTTGGTCATGGCCTGGTAGACAGCGGCGGTGGCTGCGGCCAGGTAGGTGGGCTCTGCGGATGGGGGCTGCATCTCGTTGAAAGTGTCAGCCCCATAGATGTGGTTTGTGCCGAACTCCTTGGTCAGCTCCCGCAGGAAGAGGCTCCCGATGACGGGGAAAAGGGGGTCTTCCGGGTCCAGCAGGAAGGAGCAGGAGTAGGAGCAGTTGAAGTGTCCCCAGCTGCCCATCTGGGTGACACGAACCTGAGGGAACACCCTAGCCGGTCCGTGCTCACTGAGCCACAGATCCTGGCTCTCCTGGATCCCGGGGCCGCGGGCACCCTGGGCCTGGAGGTCCCCCCTCCCTCCGCCCTCCCTGTGACTTTCAGGCCCCACCCAGTGTGAAGCTTCCGCCAACACTTCCAGGCCCCTGGGCCAAAGTTGCTTCTCGGAGGCCTGGCACCTCCCAACACAGGTGGGTGCACATGCCCCTTCTCACAACACTGAACCCCTGCCTGGGGGGAGGGTACTGTCCTCAGGCTAGTGCCACCCAGAAGCCAAAAAAAGATGGGTGGGGGGGTTCTCAGGCTGGAGGTGCTGGGCCGTGAGTCTGGTGACCACTGCCACCCATGAGGCTGCCTGAGAGAGGGCTGGTCTCTGCTGGGGAACAGCCCATGACCACGCAAAAGAGCAGCCCTTGGCCAAACCCCGTCACACACCAGGGAAGCTCTACAAGGGAGGAAACTGAGGCACGGTGCGGTTACACAGCCAGTCAGTACTGGGTAGTGACTCAGGCCAGTGGTTGACCCCCCCCCCACACCCCTCTCCCCAGCCCAGCCTGGGTTTTCCTTTTCATCAGGTCCCTGAGGGAAAACGAATTCCCTCTGGGGATTATCTTGGTGTGCGTGTGTGGGTGTGTGTGTGGGGGGACACTCACCGGGTGAGGGCCTTGGGGACGTGGCCCGGGAATGCAGGCAGCACTGGGGTCATGCCGAATGCGCGCATGCGCTCCAGGATGCGATGCTGGGAGGGGCAGCTGGTGAGCACAGCCGGGCAGGCCCAGCCAAGAGCCCCTCAAGTGCCCTCCCTGCCCCTCCACAGGCCTTTCCCTTCCCCACTCCTACCTGCAGGTAAAGCTGCTTGAGGTGCCAGGAGCGGGGCAGGGGGCCACCCCACGTGTGCAGGTTGCCCATGCGCCCCCATGCCAGGAAGGCAGGGCCCGTGAAGTACTCGTCAACCTCCGCCTGCGTCAGGCCCAGGGCCAAGTATACCTGCAGAGGGCGCCCCACTCATCCAGCAAGCCCAGAGGAAGCTCTGTCCAGCTGCCCTCATCCCATGGAGGGAGAGGCAATAATGAGCTGCCCCGCAAGTGGGGATTGGTGGGGGTGGGGGGGGTCTTCAAAGACTTCATAGAACAAAGGCTGGGGGCAGCTCTGCAGGGACTGGGTGCAGAGAGCAGCCCTGGGAGGCTGGCATGCTTGGGGCTCAGGGTGCAGACTCCCAGGCCTGGAGGCCAGCTTCATGCTTTAGAGTGGACACACACAGGAGAGCCACACGTCCCCTCAGGGCTCCTCGGGAAGGGGTGCCTCAAATACTGCTGTGCCGGCCGCGGGCTCTGGGGTTCCAGCCCACGCCCCCATGGTCCAACAGTCCCAACTGCGTTTTTGTCTCTGCGATCCACGCAAACACTTCTGCCCCCTGCTCCCCCCTCCCCCACCCCCAGCCCATGTTGTGTGCTAGAGGTGAGCTGGGACACGCACCCGCTCCCAGATGGCTTCCTGACCGCTCCAGGCCAGTGCCAGGTTCAGGCCGTTGAGTGCCATCCAGTCGATCTCCTGCTCCCAGCGGGCCCAGTCCCACCACACGAAGGAGTAGCTTTGTGTGCACACGTTCTGGTAATAGCGGTACCTGCAGGCGGGGTGTGAGTTGGACTGAAGTCCATTGCTCCCAGCGCCCTGGAACTACCTCCCCCCACCCATTACAAAGAGGAGGGGTTCCACATGTGGTGCCTGCTTCCTTCTATAGAGCTGAGAAGCTGGGGGTGCCTGCATTTCTGAGGGGCCCCACCTGCTGCTGCCCAGACAGTGCCAGTGAGCAGGCCTTATGGCGAAGGCACTCCCCATCCTGAAAGGGAGGGGAGGGGCCCCTCTCTCCAGCTGCTGAGGTGGCGGCTGAAGTGGTGTAAGGAGGGAATACATCACCTCCATGTGCTGGGACAAGCTCTAGAACGGAGGGGTGGGGGGCACCTCCTAGGTCCATCTTTAGAGGAGCTGGTGGAAGGAATTTCTATCTTGACCAGCTGGGCACCGCGGGCTGTATGCCCATAGTCCTGCAACTCCCCATCCAGCCGATGTCATCGTTTCCATTCTTCAGACCACCCAACAGCGGTTCTCCCGAGGCCTGACTGGCTCCAGCACTGACCTTTTTTTTTTTTTCCCCCAAGGAGCCCGGTTTGATTCCTCCACCCCTCTTGGAGAGCCCGGCAAGCTATCGAGAGTATCTCTTGTGCAGGGCAAAGCCTGGCAAGCTACCCGTGACATATTCGATATGCCAAACACAGTAACAACAAGTCTCACGATGGAGACTTTACTGGGCCAGCTCGAGCAAATCGATGAACAACGGGAGAACAGTGCTACAGTGCTGATTTCTAAGGATGTGGAGCCGCAGCCCGAGTTTCCCTCCTAGTCTTACTGGCTTGGCCGGCGACCCTCCCCGAGCAAGGGTGCAGCAGGGGTGCGGCGGGGAATCTGCGAGAGGGTCACGCCTCCCTCGGGGAGCTGCGAGACGGGCTCGGGAGACCCGACGGGCCAGGTCCGGGCCCCCCCACGACCCCATCCCGGTACCTGTTGGGCGTGGCCTCGGTGAGCTCCACGGCGGGCAGCGGCTGCGGCAGGTGCAGCTGCGAGCCCGACCATGCCACGTGGCAGCCGCAGTAGTCCCGCAGGTAGCGGTGCAGCCCCGCGGCCGCCGCCACGCCCGTGGAGCCCCGCACGTGCACCCGCGCCCCGGCGCCGCCGCCGCTCAGGCGGAAAGTGTCCAGGCCGGACTCGGCCGCCAGGGCGCGCTCCACCGACACCACGAAGGCGGCGGCCGGGCCGGGGCCCAGCAGCCGGACCAGCAGCTCCCGCACGGCCTCCGCCTCCCGCGCCTCGTCGGCGGACGAGCTCCCGGCCCCCGCCAGGAGGAGAAGGCCCAGAGCCGTGGCCACCGCCGCCGCCCCCATGGTCCAGCGGTCCCGCCCGGCCCCGGGCCCCGTCGAGGACCAATTCGGAACGCGGGGACGGGGGCGGGGCGGCCCGCGTCCAATCAGCGGCGCGCCTCGGGCCACGTGAGCGTGAGGGCGGAGCTGCGGTGGCGGCCGCCGGGAGTCCGGCTTCCGGGTCCCGGATCCGCAGCTCGTGGCTCGGCAGCGCGTGACCCCCAGACACAAGGAAAGTTTGCGTCCTGCAGAAACACATTCAAGTGCCAGGCGCGTTCACATAGGAACCGCTCCCCATACGCTTAGCTATCCAGTAAATGTTAATTTTGAGTTTTTTTTTGCTTTTTGGATCACACCCAGCGACGCTCAGGGGTTACTCCTGGCTCTACACTTGGGAATTATTCCAGTGGTGCCCAGGGGACCATATGGCATGTCGGTGATTGAACCTGGTTGGGCCGCGTGCAAGGCAAACGCCCTCCCTGCTGTACTACAGCGTCAGCCCCAAAGTGTAGGGGTTTTTGCGTGGGGGGGGGGGGTGGCGGGGGGGGGGGCGGGGTAGGTAACTTGGTGCTGCCACACCCTCTCTAAGGGAGTTCCGGAAACCAGACACATAAAAACAAAGCATTAGTTGCGTGGCTGTGGATCAAAACAAGAGAACCCAGCCTAAGCTTTCCAAGAGAACTGACATTTCTGGGGCCAGACAGATAATACAACAGGTAAGGCACTTCCTTTGCACGTGGCCAACCTGGGTTCGATTTCTAGGGCCCCATGTGGTCCCCTGAGCCTGCCAGGAGTGATTGCTGAGCCAGGAGTAAGCCCTGAGCACGGCTGGGTGTGACCCTCCTCTCCCCCCCCCCAAAAAAACAAAAAACTGTCATGTCACTTAAGTTACACTGGCGGTGCATAGAAGAGGAAGGAAAGCCTGAAGGGGATATTTGTATATGAAGAACTGGGAAAGGAAAAGAAAGAGCTGGAAGATGCGAGGAATTGGAAGGTTGAGAAGCTGGAGGAGGCGCTGAGCCCAAAAGGACCTCGGCCGGGCATCGTCTTTGTTTTCCATAATCTGTTTGGGTGGTGAGTGGGGTGGGAAGGTTTGATGGTGTATGGGGGCTACTCCTGGCTCTGTATTCAGGGGTTACTCCTGGCAGTGCCTAGGGGAACCATCTGTGATGCCAGGGATCAAACCTGGTGGGTGCCTTGCTTGGCCTCCTTGCTTCTCTTTCTGGCCCTTCACACTTGACCAGTGGAAACTGGTCAGTAGAAAAGGAAGTCAGTGGGACAAGATGAGTGAGCAAGAGCAGAGCAGTGTACTTGCCATTGTCCCCCCACACGAGGCAACTTCAGGCTTCCCCTTTGGGCAGGGACTGGAGTGGGGCTATGTCATACTGAAAGGTCTGTTTTCTGCTGGTACAGTGTATGTCCCCAGACTGTCACACTAAGTGAAGCAGCAGCTCGGAGACAGCAAAGGGATCAAAGGCAGGCTGCTGGCTGATCCGGGAACCCAGTCTGTACATGGGTGTCTGCTGAGCTGCTTCTGTTGCTCCACGCTCCCACACCAGCCATCAACCCATCCCCCAGCCATGCTCAGCAAGCAACCCCGCCCCTCCCAGTTCCTGATGGTCTCTGAGGTGAAATGTTTCAGAGAGGGCCAGGGGGATGGCTCAGGGGACTGAAGCACATGCTTTGCATGTGGGATCCCCGGGGTTCCAACCCAGACGCCACAGGGTTCCCTGAGCTCCCTATGGTGGCTGAGTCAGGAGTAGCCCCTAAGCACTACCAGGTGCAGTGACCAAAAAAAAAAAAAAAAAGATCTCAATGAAAGACAGTTAATTTCATCATTAATCACAGCAACGAGTTGGAGCTGGGAACAGTCGGACAGGTTTTACTCTGAGAGTACCAGGTACCACTGGACTGGGTGTATCCAGAGTCTGAGGTCACAGGTGCCAGGACCGGGCCTTTAGCTTTTGACCCAGGCAGCTCACTCTTTGCACAAAGTGGAGGTTGGCTGAAGAAATTTGGGACATGGATAAAATGACGTGAGTGGGTGTGTTGGTGCTAAGTAGAAATGTTCTGCTACGGAGCTGTATAAATATTTATATAAAACTCATACATGTGGGCCAGAGAGATAGCACAGCACATAGGACACTTGCCACTACGCAGCAGCTAACCCAGGTTTGATCCCCAGCACTCCATATGGTCCTTAGGAAAGAAAGTGAACACGCAGGGGCTGGAGCGATAGTACAGCAGGTAGGGTGCTTATCGGAAGACCCAGATTTGATCCTCAGCACCTCATATGGGTCCCCTGAATCCGCCAGGAGTGGCCCTGAGTGCAGAGCCAGGAGTAAGTCTTGAGCACAGCTAAGAAAGAAAGGAAATACTCAATCTCGTAGGGCAAACAGTGTGCTGATTAAAAAAAAAAAAAAGAAGAAAGAAAGAAAAAAGGAACAGTGAGTTCTAACGGGCTTCCTGGGTTTTGTTTGGAGAGATTGAAGTGTTGAACTTTCCTAGTGTTTCTTAGGAAATACTTAGAGTATTGTTGTTATCTACAAGCCAGGGGAGGCAAACCACCAGAGCAGTTCAGCTGTTGTTAGACTTTGCTGGAACCGCCTTCTTCTGGCAGCAGCCTGGACCGGGGGTTCATTCCCTCGGGGCCATCTGCATTTCTCTGCCCTTCTTCCCAGATCAGGGCAAATTCATTGCTTTGTTATTGTAGTTTTGTTTTGGGGTCACACCCAGTGGTGTTCAGCGACATCTCTGGGCCTGGTGCCTGAGGGTGTTACTCTCAGTAGTTCTGGGGGACCATATGCAGTTCTGGGAATCACACCTGAGCCTCTTGCATGTGGTCAGTGCTCAGCCCGTTGAACTGATGTTGGTGGGCCCCACGGGTGACTTATGTGAAGCGGGGAGGAGAAAGTCGGTCACTTTCTCCCCATCTGCCTCTGCCATCTGGGACCCAGGGTTACTGGGTTCTTGTCTCGCCTAGCAGAAAGGAATTTGAGGAGTAGACAGGCAGTGAAGCAAATAGGTTTTATTTGGAGGGTTTTTGAAGGGAAAGAGGAAGAAAAGTGGGAGAGAGTGGAGAGTAAGAGAGACATAGGGAAAAGAAAGATGGCGGCCGCACGGGAGCCTTGTGGAAAGCGGGTTTGAGCCGGGCTCGGGGAAGCGGCGGGGACCTCATGGGAAGGGGGGCTTTGTGGGCCGTCCCCCACGCCCCACCGAGGTCGCCAGCTGCCCCCCACGAGCGGCTCTCCGGCACGGCCACGGCCCCGGAGGCACAAGGACTTAGCACAGAGAACCAGCCGCTTGGAGCAGAAAAGCAAATGGACTTGTGTTGATCCGCGCCACCAAGCCTGCCCAGAGGGGGAAGGGCGTTGACCGGCCCGCCCGCTCCTCTCTGGAAAGAAAGATGGCGGCCGCACGGGAGCCTTGTGGAAAGCGGGTTTGAGCCGGGCTCGGGGAAGCGGCGGGGACCTCATGGGAAGGGGGGCTTTGTGGGCCGTCCCCCACGCCCCACCGAGGTCGCCAGCTGCCCCCCACGAGCGGCTCTCCGGCACGGCCACGACTCCAGGGCACAGAAATCAATCTCTTAACTAGCTAACTTTTAATAGAAATTCTTCCAGGGTCAATAAGTAAAATAGCAGAAATTCAAAACCGCGCGGCCGCAATAGCGGCCGCGCGACATCATTTTATTCTTAAACCAAGTTGTAGAAAGCAAATCATTTCACAACGCTGTTTCAGCATGTCTGATTGGGGGGGGGGGGTGGGTCGTAAACTCTAAACAATAATTGTGCATCTTCTATCGAAATAATCTATCTAGTCAAAGTAGATAGAGTATTAACTAGAACTCATCTGCCTCATAAGAATTGGGAGGGGTGGGAGGTGGGGGTCTATTGGGGTTCGGGGTTAAAAATGAGTATTGGTAAAGGGAAATGTGTTCGGTATCTACATGACTGAGACCTAAACCCGAAAGCTCTGTAACTTTTCCCACAGTGATTCAATAAATAAATAAATTATAAAAATAAAAATAAAAAAAAAAAAGAGAGACATAGTAACACGCTCAAGTGAGAACGCGGGCTTCTCCAAGGGTGGAGAGAGCCCCTACACACATCCCAGCATTAGATAGGAAAGCATGAAAGTACACATCTCAAGAGGGGAGATGCGGGCGACATATGTGTTCAGGCACTGCATGTGCTCGGCCATGCGGGCACAAGCAGCACGCGGGCTCAGGCAGCATGTGTGTGCCCTTCCTTTGTTTCAGGTGTCTTTTATAAGCTCTTCTTGGGTTGTCTTGGTCCGGAAGTTCTGGAGTCTTCTCGGGGCTGGATCACATTTTAATCCGATCACGGGAGAGGTCCGAGGGTTTGAGGAACTTCATGGGGAGGGGTCCAACCTCGTCAGGGTCTGCTGAAGGTCTAGTTTTCTGTATCCACAGGGTGGACCAGTCTTAGGATTTTCCTCCCAGAAGTTCTGTTGATCTAAGTTTTATTGCCGAAGGCCTTTCCCTGTCTACCTGCCTACATCAGAACCATCTCCCCAGTCCCTGCAGCTTACCTGTGACTTGTGTGCATGCAAGGAACAGTTTTAAAATTTTCAGCCTAAACCAGGGAGAGGGATCTCCAAATTAAATTTCATTTGCTGAAGGGGAGGAGAGGAGAGGTTTGGGCTATACTTGGGCAGTGCTCAGGGGTCACTCCCTTGCAGTGCTCAGGGAACCATGTGCAATGGCAGGGACTGACCTAGGGTTGGTCGCATGCCTGGCAACGATCTTCCTCCCTGGACAACCTCTCCCACTCTCCAGTGGAATTTCTGTCCTGGCTGGTATCCGAAGACACTGTCTTTCCTGGGGAATAGTTCCGGAAGGGGTGGAGAGATTGACCCTCTGAGACTCTGGCCTGATGTTGCCTCCCGACCCCCCACACCTCAGGGTCTTTTTCCCTGGTCTTCCAGCATCTCCTTCCAATCCCCCCTCCACACACACACACATACACTCTTCTATAAGGGAGATTTACTGGACACGTCTGTCGGGTTTCCAGTGTTTTGGGGTCCGAGAGCACACAGGCAGGGGTGAGGGATGCAGGTTCAGGGGGGCCTCCAGTGGGACCTGGCACCATCAGGGAGTGGCCAGCAGGGACAGCAGGTGGGGGTGGGTACCTTCAGAGTCCGAGGTCACAGGTGCCGGGGCCGAGCCTTTACCTGTTGGCCCAGGCAGCTCACTCTTTCCACAAAGTGGAGATTGGCCGAAGAAATCAGGAACGTGGATAAAATGACGTGGGTGTATTGGTGTTAATTAAGAATGTTCTGCTATGGAGCTGTATAAATATTTATATAAAACTCATACATGTGGGCCAGAGAGATAGCACAGCACATAGGATTCTTGCCACTTGCATAGCTAACCTGGGTTCGATCCCCAGTACCCCCTACGGTTCCCCAACCCCACCAGGAGTGAGTCCTGTGTGAAGAGGCAGGAATGAGTCCTGAGAGTAGCTAGGTGTTCTCTCAGCAAACAGAAACTTTTACATGTATATGAAAAGGGCCGAACCACTGTTATCACTGGGTATTAAGATACTTCCATTTTTGTTATTTTGGGGTCTGCGCTACACACAGCGGTGCTCAGGGGCCATGTGGTGCCTGACAGGTACTGAACAGGGTCGGCCACATGCAAGGCAAGTGCCTTACCCCCTGTACCGTCTCTCCAGCCCATTTGTGTTTTTAAAAATAAACAAAACACACACACACACACACACACACACACACACAAGTAGGGGTGATGTAATCTATTTGTGAGGGGCCAGAGATAGGCCACGGCTTACTCCTGGCTCTGTGCTCAGGGACTCCTGGTGGGCTCAGGGGACCAGATGGCACTGATTATGGCCTCCCTGGGGAATCACCAGGAGTTAAGTCCTGAGCACCACCCAGATAGGGCCCATCCACCATTAAAATGCAAACTCAGAAGGAGAGAGGAGAGAGAGAGAGAGAGAGAGAGAGAGAGAGAGAGAGAGAGAGAGAGAGAGAGAGAGAAACTCCCATAGATAGGTGTGGGGGGGTGCAGTGGAGCAGGTAGGGAGGATGGTAGGAGGGAAACTGGGGACACTGGTGATGGGAAATGCACACCGGCGAAGGGACGGGTATTGGAATGGGTATTGGTACAACTGAAACCCAAACCCAAACTGTAAGTCATGATGATTCAACTAAAAAAAAAAGTAAAACTTATACACATAAGTTTTTCAAGAGAGAAAAAAAGGATCAATTGAAGTCAGATGGGAGAAAAAGCTGTATGCCCAAATGTGATAGTGGTGGGGGAGCGAACCTGACTCCCAGGATGAGCAATTTGGAATGTCTTCACTCTCTCAATACACCTTAATAAATGTGTCTTAGTACAATAAAAAAAAAAGTGATGTTCGAAGACAGCTCCAAGGTTACAGTAAATGCTTCCTCCAGCACAGCCTGGTCCTCAAGCCCGGCGGGGAGCATCCAGAAACAAGGCAAATAGGCTTTGTCTATGTCTCAGGGGCTCCGTCCTACAGGGACTGGGAAGTGGAATGGGGAAGTTTGATCTCTTAACCCCGTGACACGTCACCTTTCCCACTAACCTGTCTGAGCCAGTTTACCCAGCTCTCTCAGCACTTTTGTTCCCTTGAAGGCCTCTAGGACTGACTGCACACCCCCCTCTCTGCAATGTGCTGAGGGTCTCTCCCACCTGAAGGAGGCATGAGTACTTCCCTGCATGGTCACCAGGGGGCAGCCCACACCTGGCACATGCCTTGGGAGAGCTGGGCACTCCCCCTCCCCCCCCTCATCTAAGGAAGCTTCTTCCCAGCACTCCATTAGGCAGAAAGTCACAGTTTCCACTCCAACTCGGAAGGAGGACAGGGTAGCGTTGGGAGCTGAAGGTGACCAGAGCGAGCAGGCCCATATCCACCCTCTCCCATGCTGGCTCCGGGACCACACATTCACTGTTTAGGGGTTGTCGCCCGAGACTCCGGGTGACAGGGATTAATTAGGTAAAGGGAATGCTTTTCAAAAAAATAGATCCAGGGTTGGAACGATACCGCAGCAGATAGGGTGCTGGCTTTGCAAGTAGCTAACCCGGGCTCTATCCCCGGCACCCCATGTGGTCTCCTGAGTCCCACAAGGAGTGATCCCTGAGCACAGCTGGGTGTGGCCGTCAAAAAAAAAAGAAAAACAAAAGGTCACCAATTAATGCCATCAAAGCGAGAAAACAAAAAAAAAGAGGCCTCAAAGCAACATAATCTCAGGTTGGACACTTTGGAGCATTCAAGAATCATATATTGGGGTCTCATTCCTTTTTGTTATTTGGGCCTTGGGGCCACAGGAAGTCCTGTGGAACTCTACAGTATTAATCTGGGGTCGGTACTGCCAAGACAAGTCCCTTAACCCCTGTACTATCTTTTTGGGCCTTTATTGGTGTTTTTGTGTTTGGGCACACCTGGTGGTGGTCTGGGTTACTCCTGGCTCAAGGATCACTCCTGGAGATGCTTGAGAGACCATATGGGATGCTGGGATCAAGGCAGGTACCCTACCCACTGTACTCTTGCTGGCCCCCAATTTATCTTCCATCTCCTTTTTTGTCACTATTTTTTTTTCTTCTTGGGTCACACCCAGCAATGCTCAGCGGTTACTCCTGGCGGTGCTTGGGGGGCATACATATATATTTTTTCCTTTTGGGTCACACCTGGAGATGCACAGGGGTTACTCCTGGTTCTGCACTAGGAACCACCCCTGATGGTGCTCAGGGGACCATATGGGATGCCGGGAATTGAACCCGGATCGGCCATGTGCAAGGCAAATGCCCTACCCGCTGTGCTATCACCCCAGCCCCAACTTGGGGGACCATATGGGATGACGGGAATCGAACCTGAGTTGGCTGCAAGGCAAACACCCTACCCATTGTGCTATTGCTTCAGCCCACCTTTTCTGTCACTACTTTTGATGTTCTATTTGCCACTGCCTCACCAAAGGTCACGGAGATGAAGTACTATGGTCTCTGAGAATTGGGGCCATACCTGGTGGTGCTTGGAGATCAAACCCAGGGCTTTCTAGAGGCAAGGCAGAGCCACACCCCAAGCCCCAAGAGCTGTAGCCTTTTTATTTTTTTGGGTGGGGAATGCTGTTTTTATTGTTTGTTATCAATCCACTTGGGAGAAAAGGTACCAGGTAAGAGTACTAAGAAGTGGGTGTCTTAAGGCAGAAGTGGCTCCCCCCCACACTTTTAAGAGCTGTAGTCTTAAGTCTCACATTCAGGCCTTTGCTCCATTCTGAGTTCTTTTTATGTATGACGAACGTGTGGTGGTGGTAATAGCCAGTTACTAACACCATTCGCTGAAAACACTCTTCTTTCCCCTGTGAATAGTGCCCGCATACACATGAACTCACCAGGATTGAACCCATTCAGCTGAGCTCACCGGGGTCAGACTCCTAGCCCAGGTACTGGCTGGCCTATCTTCAGTCGCAGAGCCGCCTGGGGGTCACACACTTGAGCAGAGGCTGTGTGATGCAACTACAAACTGTTTTGGCCCTGGCCTCCGGGAGGAGGTGCAAACATCAGAGGTGCCAGGATTGTGCTCAGCGCATGCAGCAGCAGCAGGAATGGAACTCAAGGTCTCCCACTCGCAAGACGAGCAAGGAGCCACTGTCTAGGTCTCCACTCTTGACTTTTGGAGGAGCCTGGTGGAGTGGAACCCCCAGAAAGACCACCTTCCCTGCTTTCCTTGCTAGCCCAAGGGAAGGCAGGTTTGAGGCTGGAGGGAAAGAAACATAACACGAACTGGTCCCCCTCGGGGGGCCGCTGTCCGCTGGCCTGTGCACATTCCTGTGCAGAAGGGAAAGCTGGAGGGGGAAAGCCTTGCGGAAGAATGTGGGTGACTCCCCGCTGGACGCTCTGTGGGCTCCTCGGCCACCTGCTGGCCTTGGCACTCCACATTCTCCAGCCGCCTGGACGACCTGGTGTGTCTCTGCTTGCCCCAAGGCCAAGTGCAGCAGGGCTCAAAATAGACAGGCAGCTGCCCTGAGAGCCTGGCCTGGCCCACAGGAGCAGGTGACAGGGTCTCAGGGCCCTTAGTAGTGTCTGCAAAGGGGCCTGGGCCTGGGGCTGGGAAGGCAGAGATCAGGGGAGAATCTGCCCAGCCAGGGCGGGCTCCCATGGTGAGAGCAGAAGGGCTGGAGGAGCTGGAGGCAGTGCAGGTACCGGGGTTCAGGGAGACACAGGAGCCTTCCGTTCAGGCAAACACTTTATTCAGCACAGAAACGTGGGATCAGAAGGGCCTGGGGTGGGGTTCCCAAGGGAAGGCTCTGCTTCAAGCCCAGTCAGCAGAGAGGAGGGGTGAACAGGGGGGTGGAGCCAGCTCAGCCTTGGGGTGTCAGAGGCTGCTCCCTGCAGACAGCCAGGGCTGAGGGACAGGGCTGGCCCACTGGAGGAGCCCCCCCATGCCACAGAAGGCTGAGGGGAGAGTCTCTTCAGTAATGCAGCACAACAGCTGCATCTACACATGATTGAGAGGTCCCAAGGGCCTAGGCCTTGGGGGGTGACAGGAAGTGGTCCTTGGGGGTGTCCACTGGGCGGGGCTGTGCAGCTCTCACCACTGCAGGCATCAGCAGGCTGTTGGTCAGTTCCATCAGCTCCTCCCCTTTCCGATTCTCGGGGGGAGGGGGGATGACCTCAGCCCTGCATTCAAGACTCATGATCATGATAGGGGGTGGGGGATGGTCTGGGGTCCATAGCAGGAAGGTGCTGCCAACCCCAGCGGGCAGCCAGGACTCAGGCAGTCAGGCCTTGGCACTCCCAGCTGGGTAACAAGTGACGGGAGGGGTTCTGGGAGGGAGGGAGGAGAGGGCGTGAGTAGGGCAGGGGCAAGGGAGAGGTGAGGGAGTGAGTTCGGGGGGAACTTACAGGTGCTGGGGAGCAGATGGCCCAAGGAATCCCTGATTTAAATCGAAGGGGTGGGCCAAGGACAGAAAGACCACCTTCCCTGCTCCCCTTGCTAGCCCAAGAATGGGGTACATGACAGTCCCCCAAAACCAGTAACCAGAAGGGCAGGGGCTGGGGCACAGTCTCGGTGAGGATGGCAGAGGGGGTCCAGCAGCTTCACTCTGGGGAGGGGACAGGGAGTCACAGAGGCCTGGAGGGCAAGGCTGGGGCCTGTGGGGGTCACGGTGGGATGAGGACAGTCCAAGCCTCACTATCCTCTAGAGTCACTGCACTACACACAAAGCGGGGACTGGGGGCCCAGAGGGACCGGATCTAGCTAAAGACTCACAGGCATGAAAGGGGTGGTGGGGTGACACAGTGCCCCGACACCTGCAAGTCACCACCAACAGCAATCACCGTTGGCGAGTGCAAGAGGCCTTGGGCTCACTCGTCAAACTTCCCTTCTCGAATGTGCTCGAAGGAGAAAGGCAGGAATTTAAAACCGGTCCCGCTGTAGAATTTATTCTGGAACTCGACCCTGGGGAGAGGGAAGAGGAAAGACAGTTGTGAGGCGTTCATGGTGGGGCTGGAAAGACGCCCCTCCCCATCTCGCACCCTCCACTGTTGCGGCCAGGCCTGGCTGAGGCCCACCCGCCACCGGGGGGTGCAGAGGCGAGGAGATGCCATTCTGTCAGCCAGAGCCCCCACACCCTCAGCTGGCAGGGCCAGCTCTCCCAGTTCTCAGGGAGCCCCAAAGTGGCTCTGTTTTCCTGTGTGTTTTCCTGATGAGAGGGTTGCTAGTTGAATAGCGGCGCTTTCGATTCAGGGGAGGAAATTCCCAGGAAAAGGGGAAGCTCGGAGGGGAAGTCTCCTCAAAGCCAGGGCAAAAATATTTTCCAACTACAAAAACATCTGAGAGAGAATTCTCCTCTTGGGGACTGGGAGGAACACAAGCCCGTCGACTCCCTTCCCAGCGGCCCGGCAGCCCTTGCGGCCGCTCTCGGGGCCTGGGAGGGGGCAGGAAGACTCGGCAGGGCCAGGCTGCTCTGCGCACGGGCCCTGGACAGCTGCCCAGCCGCCAAATAACCACCAAATATGGGCAGAAAAACGCATGATTCAGAGGAGAAAAAAAGCCAAGGAACGCGGCCTGAGGAATAGTTTCCACTGGCTCTGTGACCCGGGCACCCACACTCTGCGATCAGCCTCTCTGTTCTGCGCCTCCACCCGGCCCACTTGCATACAGAGCCAGGGAGGGAGGACAGTGGGGTGGGAAGGGGCTCAGGTCGGGGAGAAAGCGGTGGCACCCCTCCCTCTCCGACCCAGATAGAGGTCAAGAACTTTTGGTGTGAGGGTCAGAACAGGACGCCCCTCTCCCTGCAACCAAACGCCTCTGAGCCTGGTGGGCTCCCAGCCATGTCTGAGCCAAGTTCCCCCAGGGAAAATGAGCCCGGAGGAAGGCTTCAGGCAGATCAGGTATGGGGGTCTTGGTGAGAGCAGCCCCAAACCAGCGTGAGAGCAGCCCCAAACCAGCCTGTGGATTTGCCCCCACCCTCCCCACCCCTGAGAAGGCTTCTATGGTTCTTTCTGGGAGGCCTCTTTGGGGAGCTGTGCCAGGAAGGAGTAGGTGCTTCCTGCAGGGGCTAGGTGCCTGTGGTGAGGGTGTTTCCCAACTGCAAGTGGACTGACAGACCAACAGACAGATGCGCTCCCTTCCAGCCCACACAGAGCCAGCTGGTGGCCAAGTTCCCTTGGAGTCTAATGGTTTCCCCAACTCCAATGGCATGAACAACTCTGACCCCACGTGGGGGAAGTTCAGTTTCCTTGTGCTTGTGGGTCAGCCCCGGGGCACCTCTGCATGCCACATGCACTCTGGAGGTGAGGCAGGCCAGAGAGGGGCACGAGGGTCTGCCGTGGCGGCTCTGACTCCAGCAGACAGGGTGGGCACAGCCAGGCTCTGGCTTAGCCCCACTTCCCCTCCCTCCAGCTCCCAGTAGTGGGCAGGAAAGTGTCCCCAGCAGGGTCCCAACCAGCTGCCTCAGGCGAGTCTCTGGGTGCTTCCAGAGAAAGTGCCAACTGAAGTATCTGGCCACTCCCCCCCCCCCGGGTCTGTCTGCTGCGGGACCACTGTCCACTGCTTTGAGCAGGGACCCCTGGGGCCCTCCCAGGCCGCAGCTACTGCCACGGGGCTGTGAGGCAGCCTCAGGAGGCCAAGGGCTGGCGTCTGTCACACCTTCTGAGCCCAGCCCTTGGCGGAGGTGACGCAGAGGCCGGACTGGGAGGCCACAGAGAGCCCCCTGCTGTTTCCTTAGTCCCGGCCTCTGGCCTCCCAGTTCCCTGGGTCGGGGTTTCAGTCGGGGCCAGGCTGCTTCTCTGACCCTTTCTGCCCCCTCGGCGCCTCTCTGATGGCCCCTGTGGCAGAGCAGCCACGAGCCGTGGCCAGACCTTCTGCTCCTGGGACAGCCATGCTGTCCCCCAGCCACCAGCCCATTGGTGAGCATGCACACACGTCTGCCCACTTGTGGACTCTGCTCTGTAAGGAGTTGGTCCCTCTGAACAGCCTCTGAGCGAATACCCGGTTAGTGTCCCGGGTCGTAACTCTGAGTTAGCTCCCTGCCCATGCCTTTCCTGAAAAGAAAGAGACTTCCAGTTATGGGAGGCAAGAAAGTCAAATCAGTTCCTCGGAAGACGGTGGAGCCGGAGCGAGCACAAACAGGTGAGTCTGTTAACCCGCTCGTGGCTGTTCATGACCCACCTTCCTGTGACTCTATATGAAGCTGATGTACAACTAGAAACTAGGGGGGCAGGGCTTGCCTTTTTTAGGGGGGGGCACTGATAGTGATCAGGGGTTAATCCTGGTTCAGTGCTCAGGACTTGCTTCTGGCAGTGCATGGGGGCTCACGTGGTGCTGGGGAATTAAACCCGGGCTGATATGATATGATATGAGTATGCTCCAGCCCTTCAGCCCCAAGTCTAGTGGTTCCTCTTAACAGATCAGATGTTTTTCTCACTCCCACGGCAAGCCCCAGTACTTGTATAATGGCGTAGCCTTCACTTAAAATCAGGATGCCCCAGTAGAAAAACTGGGGTAATGAGGGCATGGAGACACTATGGTTGGGTGCCAGGAAAAACAGCAGCAAAACCTGCACAGCCCTGGGTGACAGGCCCAGCTCTCCCTATGCCTAGCACTGGTCAGACCAGGACTCCCTGCAGCAGTCCTGAGAGTGGCCAGGAGAGGGCGCACGAATACCAGCCTCCTTCCTTCTCCTGGGGTGGGGCCAAGGGCTTCTGGAAGCTGTACAGAGGCAGCCTTGCTTCCCTTTCACCCAACACTCCACTACCCCAAACTCCACAAAACCCAAGAGCACAGCATGTTTGACAAGCCTGCTCCTTGCAAACGACACTGGAGGGGCTCCGGGATGTCGTGTACCCCCTGGGCCTCCTTGCCCATAAGTGGGCTCACACAGTGTTCCCAGGAATCTGGCTTCTCAGAAAGGCAGCCGAGGCCGGTTCCACATGGCACCCTTATCTGTTTCAGGGAAATCATTCTCCTCTCACGTGAGAGAAAGCAGGGTTCAGAGAAACAGGTGCTCTCCTCAGCCATCGATCCAGAGATGGCAGCCCTGGAGGTTGAACCCAGGCTGGCCTTCTCCGCCAGTTAAGAGGATCTGGGGAGACACCACCACTCGAAGGCCAGAGATCCCCCAGAGAGGGGCCTCCTCTGGCCAGAGATCCTGACATCCTGAACTACCTCTGCTCGCTTGGGCCACCAGGCCGCCTTCCTCGTACGGGGCTGTGCCTGGCTCCTCGCATGGACACTCAGGGTCTGGCTCCCTGACTGTGCCCCACCCTGTCCAGGGAGGCGGGAACGGGTTCCCTCCTTGGATTGCAATCAAGGTAGGGTGGTGACTGTTCCCTCAAGCCCGGGGCTCAGGAGACAGAGAAGTAAATAGGAAGAGAAGGAAGCCAAGAGGGCAAGAACAAGTGAGTCACCGCAGACTGGCTGCTCAGACATTCCCTCACGCTGAGTGGCTAAGGAAGTGTGCTGGGAGAGCGGACGCTGATAAGCTGAGAACGGGTTGCTGGCCAGCAGGCTGAGCCCTGCAGCACGCCCAGCCCCCTGGCTCTGGCCCTGGCCCTGGCTGGGCAGTAAACAACAGCTGGGCGGGCAGAGGGTGGCTTTGCGCATAGGCCGCTCGGTCGCGGGTGCTTTCAAGGGAAGGCTGAGGTCCACTTCTGGGCCTCCCAACATCAGAGTGGCACAGACGCCTCCAACAGTTTCCCAGGAGAAAGGGCACAGATGAAGAGATGGGGTGGGGGCGGAAAAGGGGAGGCCCAGCTGCAGATCTCCCTCAGTCTGGAGAGCTGAGAGCCCCCCATGGTCCTCATCAGGATCACCACAGAACGCCTCCTCCAGGGGCTCCTGAGGGAACTCAGTCAGCTTCCAGCTGGCAACCAGGATTGCTGTATGTGCACGCAAGGTTCGGCGGGGGGGGACCCCAGGGGCAGAATTCTGAGCATCCACAGTCACTAAGGCTTGAGGCCCAGAAAGCAGGGATTGGGGGTCATCAAATCTGGGAGGAAAGGGAATCACAGAGGTAGACAAGCTAGAAAAAGCACGGGATGCCCACTTGGGACATATCTGAAAATGACTCATTGTTTACCTGACATTCAGTCGAACTGGATGTTCTCAGATTTTTTTTTTTTTTTTTTTTTGGTTTTTGGGTCACACCCAGCGGTGTTCAAGGGTTACTCCTGGCTACACTCTCAAGGATCATTCCTGGCAGTGCTCAGGAACCATATGGGGTGCCAGAGATTGAACCCAGGTCAGCCACGTGCAAGGCCTACCCGCTGTACTATCACTCCGGCACCTATTCTCAGATATCTATTTGTTAAACCTAATTTTTATTTGCAACCTGATTTTGTGGCCACAGGGTCAGAATCCATCCCAAAACCCTGATTTCTCAGTCCTGGGGAACCAGCTGCCCCCCACAGGCAGCCCAGTCCCTAACTCCCCCTCCCTGGAACCAGAATCCATCCTCATGGCGGCACTTCGGGGACTCCCACCCAAAGACACTGGCATACGACAGAGCCAGGATGAAATGGGGGTGGTGCTTTCTGTGGTTGACTTAAAGAAGATCCATTTTGGGAGTCGGGTGGTGGGGTGGCTAAATTTATATTTTTCCTGAAAAGGGGATGGCAGGTGTAATGAGTTTGGGAAGCTCTGCTCTAGACCTATAATATATTCCTGAGATGTCTTCATGGCTCAGAGGACAGGAGAAAGTTATATGCCAGAGTGAAAAACCAAATAAATACAAGGTCAGAGGTGGGGAGCTGGGGGGTGGGAAGCCAGCTGCCAGGGCAGTGGCCTGGGGGATCCCCAGGCTTCACTGGTAAGGAGCAGCTTCTGAGCATCACTGTATCCGGCCCCCAGAGCCAAGAACAATGAGGACAAAAAAAATAGTAAGTCTCGCTGTCAAACTTTCAGTTGCCATGAATAGCCCTGAAGAACGGCTGAGAGGCACAGAGAGAGATGAGAGCAGCGACTAGGCAACTCTCCCTGGAGACCCACATGCAGCTGTTCCTTCTAGAACCTTCCCAAACCACCCTGTTGAGGGGTCAGGGGTCTTGTCACACCCTACTCAGTTGTCACAGTGGAAGCAAACAGCCTGAGTGAAGACACTGATGCCAGCATGGGACAAAGCCCCCCACCCCATGTAACCGAGACCACTTCCCGCCACTGCTCACACCCCTCACCAGTGGAGCCGCAGCGCGTGCAGGAAGGCCGAGAGGCCCTCCATGATCAGCAGGATGGCCACAGTCAGGGTGGCGAAGGCAGCAAAGATGAAGAACAGCCCCAGGCTTCCCGCCAGGCTCTTCACGCTCAGGCCAATGTGGATCACCATGGTCCAAAGCACCTCGGACAGCTCTGGGGAGCAAGGAGACACAGTGAGGGGGGTCACTGGGCCATGACCTGCAGTACTCCCTGCTGCCCGCGTGCCCACAGCCTGGGCGGGCCCACCCTGCAGAGCCAACCTGGCAAATGAATCTGGGTTCAAGATGCTTGAGAAGCAGAGCACTGGGATGCGATTTTGGATAGATTCCAGTCCCCTCCCCCACATTCGAGGGTGCCCAAGAAAGGGGAAGTGGCCATTTTTGCTGGGCATGAGGTGATACTCACGGGCGTGAGCCAGGCTGAGGGCCCAGAGGCGCAGGTAAGAGGCAGTGTTGGAGATGCAGCCCAGGCAGTACTCGATGGTGTGGATGGCCTGGTGGACCATGGTGTCTCCAAAATCAAACTGTCATGGAGGAGAGCAGAGAGACAAGAGCTCAGACAAGGAGATGCGGGGAAGGAGAGCAGGAATTGGGGCTGCTTATCCCTTAGCTTGGGCACAAGGCGTGGCTTCAGCTGTGCCAGCCCCCCTCGAATGGGGCTGCCCTGCTCCCCTTCACACACTGCACCTGCCCGAGCTCCAGTTTTGGGGTGCCCTTCTTCTGCTCTGGCTTTGGGGTGTATGTGTACCTTGGGTGCACTGTAGCCTCCCACCCTCTGTGTTAGAGCAGTCAGAGAGCCGGAAGGTCTCCGCACAGGTAGCACGGCTGGGGATGGGCAGACGGACAGAGGCTGTCTGCAAGACAGCCACCCTCCACAGCTGCCTCCCTCAAGTCACTTTTATCACAGTTGTGGGGACTTTCCTGGGGGGTGTGGGGATGAACCCAGGGCCACCTCATACACGGTAAGGCCTGTGCTCACCACTCAACTACACCCCACTCTTGGCCATCTATTTAAAATGTCTTACCTTTTAGGCCATGTGATTTACAAAACTGTTGACAATAGGGTCTCATACAATGTTTCAACATCCTGGAGGAGGCCCTTATTTTCTCTACCCTTGGAAGTGAGAGAACTTCCTCTTTCTTTCCTGACTTCTGAGATCACACAGGGAAATTCTGGCAAAAGTATTCGCAATTCTTACTTGGAGAGTTGATTAGAACCAGACAGACAAGCTGCTTTTTCTGACTCTTTCCCGCCGTCCTGGAGCTGCCTTTCACCCAGTTTTCCTTTCCATACTGAGAGTAAGTTCTAGCACGGAGGGGAGGTAGGAACAAGTTCTATGCCTCCTTCCAGTGCCCCAGAGCGGCCCTCCAAGTTCAGTGTCACCCACACTAAACAAGCTCATTATTCCCCTAAGACCTGACACTGACAGGCCAACTTTACTCAGAGTGCCGCCCCTAACCCAGAGCATGACCAGGCCCCCACGTCAGTAATGAATCTTCACTTACTCAGGCCCTGGGACCTGTATCTTTTACTTCCTCAGTCTCCTGTTAGCGACCCCGCCCACATCCACCCCTACCCCCTCCAATGCCTCACATCACTTCCAGCTACCCACTTCTCTCCTGCCTTTTTATCTCCAAACTGTATTCCTTCACTATTCTCCATGCCCCAGAAGACCCACCTGGGCGTTTGAGCATGAGCTATGTCATTTTTGGCCTCATTGCCCTCCAAAGGTTCCCTGCTGTCCAACTACTCTACTCTGGCTGGTTCTTACCAACCTTTTAGCTTCACCTCTTACCTGTATCCATACTCCTGACTGCTCTGAGTCCAGGGGAATACTCAGGCCCATAGGGTTTCATCTGCAGGCCTCTATACCCCCCAACCCCACCCCCCACCGCCCCCAGACTCCTGGGGGGGGGGAGTGGGGCTAAGTTTAGCAGTAGTTTCCCTAGGGAGCCCTTTTCTGGTTTCGTCTTTCCCCTCTGCATCTCAACAGCTGTCAGGTCTCTGGGCTCCAATGTATCTTGGGTCCACCTTGATCTAGCACTCACCTCTTAGGCCATTTATTTTTTTTGGGGGGGAGAAGGGGTTTGAGGCCACACCCAGTGGTGCTCAGGGCTTCTGACTCCTGGCTCTGTGCTCAGGGATCACTCCTGGTAGGAGGTGAGAGACCATCTGCAGTGTTGGGGATGGAAGTGTGGTAGGCCAGTGCAAGGCAAGCAAGAGCCTCACCCTTGTATTATATCTCCGGCTTGACAGAACCTCTTTCTTTAAGGGATGCAGGGGTGAGAAGGGGGCTCCCTAATGGTGCTCAGGAGATCCGGGGACACAACTGGTGATTCTTGACTAACCAGGTTGTTGGTTCAGTACAAGGGCTGGAGGATGCAATGCTGTGTGAGTCCCACAGGGCTAAGAGATACCCGGGCAACTACAGTGGTGCTGGGGGTGTCTGGGGCTACACCTGGTGATGTTCCTCTTCACTGGGGGACCACAAGATGCTGCTGGGAACAAAAATCAGGTCAGGCGCATGTGAGGCATGTGCCTGAGCTGCTGCACTATTTCCCGCCCCTCAAGAGTGTGTGCGACAGATCAAACCCAGGGCATCACAGTGCAAATGCTTGACCACTGGGTTGTACGTCACCTCAAGGCATCTGGGAGCTCCGCTTCTGCAGCACGAACTATAGAGGTTGGCCCAAGGAAGTGAATGAATGGGTGAAGGATGAATGCAGCGGTGAGAAGGCACAGTGGGAGCGCTGCTGGATCTGGCCGACTGGCTTCCTGTGTGACTCCCTGACCTGCTGTACTCTGCACTGAGCATCCCCACCCCCCACCTCCCAAACTATGGGTTGGAGCTGCACAGTCAACCCAAATGGGAAAGGTCGAGAAGTAGGCTGGACTTTTCAAAAGGTTCTGTTTCATTTGCCACCTTTATTTGGGTGCAGAAGTAGATTGTGCATATGCCTGATGAACACAGAATGATTTGACTACTTAGAAAGCTGTGGATGCTGAACCCCTATGGATGCTGAACCCCTGGGGTGGGGGTTCTGATTTACAGTCCCCTGTGACAAGGTTGACAAGGACCACTCTGACATTGACTGGTCCCGTGGGTGCTCGGCCAGGGAACCCTTTGGGTAGAGCAGAGGCTGGCGGTGAGGCAAGGTTCCAGTGGGGAACATGCTCTTGGCGCTCACCCGACGCACCCCACTGGGAGCCTCCCAGCCCAAGTGAGGCTGAGCACTGTCTGTTTAATGCAGTTAAAACATTTCATCCCACTGCACCACTGCAGAGCCAGAAGAGTCGGGAAAGGGAGGGGCCTCGGGTCAATGCATTTTTAATTTTTTTTGGGGGTCACACCCGGCAGTGCACAGGGGTTACTCCTGGCTCTGCACTCAGGAGTTACTCCTGGCGGTGCTCAGGGGACCACATGAGATGCTGGGAATCGAACCCGGGTCGGCCGCGTGCAAGGCAAACGCCCTACCCGCTGAGCTATCTCTCCAGCCTCCGGGGTCAATGCATTTTACAGAAGAATTTGGGGAAGGTGCAAACAGTGCAGCGCGGTCTTTAAACATGACAAACTCAATTCATCATTTGGGCAACGCTCAGTAAATTACTGCTGAGCTAGAAGACATTCCGCTCCCGATGTGGCCTGGACACTTAGCCGCCTTTCTCTCCGTCCTGCTATTCTGTGTTTTTGGCTGGCAGAACGTGATGCCCTCTCACATGGCTGGACTCCTATTTCTGGGGCGCATTTCAGGAAAAGCCTCCTTTTGAAAGCTGGTAACCCCCATCCCCTGGGGCACGTGGAGGCAGCATGGATGCCAAGCCAGGTCCAGCGAGTCTCACTGGGGGCATGATGAGGACAGCGGAAGAGGCTGCTGAGTCTCAGACAGGGAGGAAGGGTCTGCATTCACCAGAAGTACTCAGAGGAGTGGGAGGAACAGTGAGTCCCAGTGGCAGAGTGACCGCGGCATCACAGGAGAAAGGAAGGCAGAGGCCAGTAGGATGGAGCTCCCGAGGGAGTCACTTCAAGAATGCCACAGCAGACATTACTTGGAGCACCCTGAAAGCCATTCTCAGAGGTACCGGATCAGCTGGGTCAGTGAAACAAAGACACAGGGGATTGGCATGAGATGCGGTTCATGGAGATGAGCGTTCTCAGAACACAGGCCCGCGAGCGCGTTAGAAATGGCCAGTGAGATGCAGGATGCACGGGTGTCACGGGTGGCCCCAGGATGCAGCGGGGTCAGCAGAGTGATCACAAGGATGGAAAGGAAAGTCACAGAGAGACATGAAGGCAAAGCCAGCATGGGTCTTACCACTTCGTCCTCGGGAGGCTTGAAAACACAAATTTACACTTAGTGGGGAGAGCCAAACCACACACAAGGTCACAAGTCACAAGGCTATGGGCCTCTTCCGGGGAAGGCTCAAGGTGCTAAGTGGGTCCACCGTGGTGGAGGTGGGCCACCTCGGCCAACACAGCCACAGCAGCGGCAGCAATCAGAACATGCAGATAAATATTTTTAAAAATCATCCCAACCTTTGCAATTTCTTTTTAAAACACTGATATACAGAGTCAAAGTGGTCAGACTAAAAAGGCCAGTCACCTGGGTTCTCAATTCATGTTAACTTAAAAAAAAGAAAAAAAAAGAGTTTTTTGGCAGAGGAGATTTCCAACTTCTGCTGTTTGTGAAAAGACTTCATGCTACGAGTGATCAGGCAAGAGGAGTGAATTTTAAAAACCAAGGTGGCCTGGAGGTGATAATTAAAAAAAAAAACAAAATCTTAGCCTGGCCATGTCTCACTCTCCCTATAAAAAGTGGGCAATCACCAATTTGAAAAGCCGCAAAGAAAATGCCTGCAATGAGAGTGTGTAAACAGGCCAAGACTTGAAAAGTGCCAGCGGTCCCGGTTTCAGCTGGAGCCACTCTTGGAAGGGGCCAAGGATGAAGATGCTATACCCCGAGAGGGCTGCTGTCCATTGGGGCCTTCCCTCTACTCTGTCCCGAGGAGAGCCAGGGGAGGGAGGGAATCTCTGAAACAAGCACACAGAGCCCTGTGGGCCACGTGGAATTCAAGAAATTGGACAACTAATCAGACTGCTGTAGGCTCTGCTGGCAATACTGGAAGTCAGAGCCGTGTAGAGGGGCTCCCTGGAAAAAGCTGCATGCCCTAAGAGGTCCAGAAGGCAGGGCTCGTTAGTATTAGTATTTTCAAGAAGACTGGAGCGGGGGGCAAGGAAGGACACAAGATGATGACCGAGCTGAGATGGAAGGAGAGGACGCCCACGCCACTGGATCTTACCTCTTCCGCGTCCTCGGAATGGGTGGAGAGCTGGTCATGCTGAATAATCTCAGCATCCTCCTCTGTCGGTCCGTTGCCCACCCTGATCCCACCAAAGTTGAGAGTTCCCTACACAGACGAACAGAAAGAGTCGAATTTGCCTGGGCTTTACATGTGACATTTCTGTGAGGTGGGGAAGGGCGATGGTTAGTACATACAAACCTCAGAAAAGCGTATCTGCTTTTTTGCACAAGCAAACCCCATGGACTGAGCAGCTAAACACGGGCTACTGGTCCCATCCCACCCGCCACCGCCCCAGCCCAGCCTTGGCCTACACTGGTCCTGCTGTAGGGGGAAACAGGGGCCCTGTCTTCTCTACCAAGAGATATCGGCCTGGCCTTGGTAAACACCACTCGAGAATCCTGGCTGGAATGAAAAGCCTACTCCAAATGGATTCTCTGAACAAGTGTGGTTCTATCTGGAGAGCCTCCAGGGCCCACGGTTTTCTGAAATGAAAGTGCAGACTTCCTATGAGGGAAGGGAGCCAGACAGTGACTATAAACTGCGCTAATGAGCTTTCAACCTCCATGAGTGAAAGACAAGGTTTCTACTGAGGTGCCATGAACTTCTGAGGCCCAGGAAAGGGAAAAAAAAATGGTGTAGTTAGAGAACACTAAAAGGGAAAGAAAAAAACTGGAAGAAGCAAAAGCAGCTTCTTTCTTTTACTAGATGAGTGCGATAGCAACTCTTTCCAACCCATGGGCACTCCCATCTTACTTCTCAGGCAAGAGTTTTCAGCAGGGTCCCCAGAAACCAAAGCTGATTTAGAAAATTGACTTTTTAAAGTCAATTTGGATTGGAAAAGCTTGCATTTAACAAGACAAAAGGGCTCTTTGGCTACAAAACCCAGGCAGAACAGAGGTTAATATGCCCGACAGAGAACAAGTGGGATTAACAGGGGAAAGGGGCTGAAGAGACCTAGACCCGCTTTACATGGGTTGGCATGGGCAACAGTTTCAGGATTACTCGCAACAACAGTTTCAGGATTACTCGCAACAACACAAATGACACTGGAGCATATTTATGGTCAACTAACCTGACATCAATGACAGACCTCAGTGGCTGGGCTAAAGCTCCCTTTGCTTCTAGCGGGGTTCTCACATGCTGGTCAGAGAACCAGCTGCATCAGAATCAACTAAAAGGTTCTATTTCATTAGACAAACATTCTCAAATACTACTCTCAAAAATGGTCCACAATGTAGGTCTGGAATTCTGATTAAAAAAAAAAAATGTTCTCCCCAAATACAGATTTTATTATTGATTGTCTCTCAAAACTGAAAAGGTATGTAAGCTTTGGGACTCATCGGTCCCACTGCTGGGAATATCTATGCTTATGAAATTTAAACAAAGCCCATGAACAAGGATTCTGCTCTGTTTTTGATTTTGGTTTTTGTGTCAGTTGGTGCTCAGGGCATACTCTTGGCTCTGCGCTCAGAGATCACTCCTGGTAGGCTCAGGGGACACCATACGGGATGCTGGGAATTGGACCCGGGTGAGCTGTGTCCAAGGCAAATTCCCTACCCACTGTACTATGGAATGGCCCCTTGAAAGCATTACAGCAGTGAATGTGACTCAGAGGTTGACCCTCACCAGTGTGGGCTTGATCCCCAAGTAAGGTAGGTAAAGGTAAAGGCCCTCCTGTTGATCGTCGATTTGCTCGAGCGGGCCCAGTAACGTCTCCATTGGAGACTTTGTTGTTACTGTGTATTAGAAATAAATAAAAAGTGAGCACCAATGTGAAACCATCTCTAAGATACACTACATTTTAAAAAGCTGAATAAATCAAGGGTAGAAGAATGCTACAGTTTAAAACACACTTTCTGAATGTGTTTTAAATATGTACCTAAGTACATCCATGCTTCTACCAACAGATGATAGAAAAATGCTGATTTATGTAGGAATGAAAGGCTGGCTGTCCCCCACCCTACCCTGAGCTATCCCCCTACTCTGGCAGGGCAGGGCGTGTTTTCTTTCAGTGCCATTTGCAGACCTAACCACGGTCAACTAGTGTTTTCATTTTTGTTTTTAATATCATTAGGGCAACGAAGTCATGAGCCATGGTTTACTTCCTTTTATCCATAATTACTTAAGGAACAACTTTAAAGTGTCTCAGGTGACTCTGACAAGGAGACAGACTCTGGAGTCACGGGAGTACCCCTGACCACGTGTGCCATCCCTGCCAGCCCTTCACTGCAATGAAGAGGATCGGTGACAGGAGGGAACTCTAGTGCATCCCCAGATGGGCTCCAGGGAAATGAAGCCAGCTTCAGGCATCAAGGCTCCTTGAGCACAGGCCGTTTCTGCTGCTTCTCCCAAGCAGCAGGGCAAGCAGAGGCACACGCATGAAAGCTTCCAGGCAGACACTGACAAGTACCTCTCCGGCTCAAAGGGAGTGAGAGCTACAGGAAGGTGGAGGACACAAACACAAAAGCAGAAAAATAGAAAAAGAAAAACCATGAAACACCATTACAGACATCCAAAAGGACATGACACAGAATGAAAACAAGTCAGTTTTCATCACTCTAGCCCCAGGGTCAAGAATCCAGGGTCCCTATAGCAGAAAGATCACATTAATACATTCATGCTGCTCCTGGAAAAACACTTGTGTACAGAGGCAGCAGGCTAAGAAGACACAATGAATGTGCAGTGTTTTGGCCTAGGGCCTTCGAACGTAGATAGAGCCAGAGAAGAGGACGTCAGGTTTACAAGCAACAAGACCTTAGAAGCACATTTTAAATTCACTAAGACTAGGGAAAATAAGAGTACATGAAAAGAATGTCAATAAATAAACAGTATGTGCTTCATATAATGAAAAAAAATTCTATTTTTCATGGGGAAGGAGCAAATAGGTCCCTAACTGAAAACAATATTAATAATAAGCATTGAAATAGCTTCTGATGGAAAAAAAATCACCACTTTCAGACTCATTCTAGAAGGATGATTATGGTAGTTCTCTAAAATTTAAAATCATCAGAAACATCTAAGAAAGGAAATGGCTAACTCCCTAAATACTCTGTTTTCTTAAAGAGTCTGATACTACCAGTGTACCATTGTACAAACAAATCAATACTGCTGGGAAGATAAATTGAACTATTTTGACACCAGTATAAGATTTTGGTTCAAGGATGTTTTTAAGGGCAAATACTGTCATGCTAAGCATGTAGAATGCTTTTACTGAGTCATGAGTAAGCATGGGGAGAAAGATAGGAACAGGTGACCCTGTTTATCACGGCAGATGCTGAGGACACATAAGACATGCTGCAGAGTGGAAGGCTCACAGGAACAGCTGAGGACTCATGGGGCTTCAGAGTCACTCTCAAGAAAACAGACATGCATGAGTCTCCACTTCAGAGAAGGGATCAAATGTCCAAGCATTTGTCTAAAGCAGAAGTACCCGGACATCAAATCAAGAACCACACAGATGTCCTTGCTCTATGCTGGAAAACAAAAAAAAAGTCATCCAATTTACAACATGCAGACACGGAAGTGAGTGAGTTCAAGAGCTGCCATCTTGGATTAAGAAAAGGGGAGGGGAGGGGAGGTGGGGGGGGGGGACTCTGAAGGAAAAACAACAGTCACTTTGCTTCCAGAGACATGACTGTACTTACATAGCAGAATGAAACTTAGCGGGCCAATGGTAAAGATGATCTCAGAATCTACTCCTAAGAGGTGGATATCTTTTCTGGCATCATCTCAACGAGTAACAAGGACACACTTCCCAAGGGCACACGTGTCCCATGCTCTCAATCTGGTTAAAAAGAATTCAGCTGCACTGTTTGCCACCTCTTCAAACCAAATGTGATGGTTGGTTGGTTTTAAGTCACTCACTGTTGCAGCCGCTGCTGCCTCTAGTCCCTGTTGGCTCGGGGTTGGGCTGACTGGGGCTTCCACGGGTTGCCCTTCCTGATAGTGAACGGAAGAAAACAGGAAGGGAGAAGGAAACAGAAGAGGGCGGGAGTGAAGGGGGAGACGAATGGAGGGCGGATGGAAGGATGAAGATGACCAGAGAAGGGAGAAGGAGGGTCTTGTAACTCAGCTGCTGTCCAATAGGAGTTATAATCTAACAGCCGTATGAGTCATGCAACAAGATGTTTAGGGTCTTCCCAGGCATTACCGCATTAATACTTCCGCATTGCAAGAAAAAAATATGTGTCAGTTTTACTGTGTGGGTACAGAATTCACATGCATACATACATCCTGTAAACACATGTATGTATGTTGCTTTTTAAAAGACCAAGGAATAAAAAAAGAACCCAACGGGCTTTAAACTGAACCTCTTTCCTGGATATCTTGGTTGGTGAAGCATCATACAGTCTCATTTTAAAAGAAGGTGTCTCAGCATTAGCCCTGTGGTTGGCCAGGCAAATGGCATGGATGGGCTCACCAGCCACATAGTTCTTGCTAGTCTTTGGCTACTGAGATATCCAGACAGGTCCAGGCCTGGATTCTGCTGAGCACAGCAAGAGCAAACATGACCAGAAAGGGTCAAGACTTTGTTCTCTACTCAAAGCTAAGTACAGATGTCTGAGGACATGTTTCTTTCCTTAGCAGATGCAGTGCTCATGCTGAGAGCTGACACAAATCCACCATAAGCATCCACAGACGTACGTGTATATAGTTATTATACCCAATCAGTAACTGCTTTGTTAAAAAAAAAATTCTAGTAACATTTGGCAACAGAAATACACTCACCAAATGCTTCCTCCTCAAATACTGATGGCGAAGGATCAGTGGTTTACACAGTAGCATCCAAGGTACACACAGTAATGCAACTACTACCAGGAAACACTGAATTCCTTTCTGCAAAGAACAGGTACATCACATTAAATGATCAAAAATTTCCTGTCTCAGAGCATATATTCACTTCTCCCCTTCCCTTCAAATATAACTCTTTTTTGGCTTCCGGGGCACATCCAGCGATGCTGAAGGCTTACACTTGGCTTTGTGCTCAGGGATCACTCCTGGTGGGGTTTGTGGGTCCATATGTGGAGCCAGGGATAGAATCTGAGTAAGCTGTCTGCAAGGCAAGTGCATTACCTACTGTACTGTTTTTCTGGCACACCCAAATACTTTCTCCCTACAATATCCAGTGATATCTATGAATATCATTGTTCAGTGTCTCAAAATAACTAGCAGACATTACTAACAAGCAAACTCCAGAAACTACCCACAGGATGAGTTATAAAGTTTTCCTTTCTGGCTACTGTGATTTTCAGAAACATTAAGGAGGATGGGCCACATTGAGACCAGTTTGGGATGAACATTAAATACTTCAGAAAGGGTTTTTTTGTGTTTTGGGGTCACCCTGGCAGTGTTCATGAATTAATTCTGATTCTGTACTCAGGGATCACTCCTTATGGGCTCAGGGGACCATATGGAGTATTGGGGATTGAACTTAGGTTGGCTGCAAGCAAGCAAAGTGCCCTAACCACTCTACTATCTCTGGACAGAAAGGGATTTTTTTTCTTTTTTGGGGTCACACCCAGCGATGCACAGGGGTTACACCTGGCTCATGAACTCAGGAATTACTCCTGGCAGTGCTCATGGGATGCTGGGAATCGAATCGAGGTCGGCCATGTGCAAGGTGAACGCCCTACAGGCTGTGCTATCGCTCCAGCCCCCAGAAGGGATTTTTAAGAAAGACGTTTAAAAGGATCATGGCAATGTCTGGGGCTTCCTGACCTTGGGTGACACCTAAGATAGTCCTCCCCTGATTGACTCACCTGTCCAGAATATAGCATGGCAATACCAGTGTCTTCATAGGAAAAGAGAAACATATTGATGAAATGAATCAGAAGGCTGGGGGCTTCCTTAGACATGTGAACATCATAGGCCGTCCACTTGAAAAAAATAAGGATGACCAAGTAGCCAAACAAAGAAGTCATGAAGATCACTTCTGGAATAAATCCAAAGTAGATATTGAGAGGCTTCTTAAAATACCTATGAAAGAAGAGGAAGCAAATGTCAAAGGAGAGCGACCCATAGGCCACTCCCACACCAAGTGGAATACTCGCAAGATCTTGGACTTGACATTCAATTCTTGGTTGGGGGACTTCCTGGCAGTTTCTGCAGCCCTCTAGGGCCACTCTAAGATGGTGCCAGGCATGGAACTCAGGGTCAAGAGCATGCAAGGCAAAGGCACCGACCCTTATGCTATCTCTCCTGTTCCTGGATTCCGTCTTTTTCACTGCAGGAAGCAAAAACCAAAGAAGGGTACAGGAGGCAACAAAAGACAACCACAATTAACTGTTATTCCCAAAAGTTTGAATCTCAAGTAAGTCTTTAACCACCCCCTTAGTTTCCCAGGAGAAATGCACTAGAAAGGTCCTATACTTTCTGTGACCACAGCATGGCATTTTATTTATTTTTCCTTTTTGAGTCACACTGGGTGATGCTCAGGGGTTACTCCTGGTTCTGCACTCAGGAACAACTCCTGACGGTGCTCAGGGGACCATATGGGATGCTGGGTATTGAACCTGGGTTGACCGCATGCAAGGCTAACACTACATCCACTGCACTATCCCTCTGGCCTGCAGCATGACATTTTATATGGGGGAGAAAGATTCATTAGTTCTGATGAAAATTTTACGAGATTTTTATTGAAGCTCTTCATGGGGACTATACATCATTAAGGGACTAACAATAATAGAGCTTCACTTAAGAACGTAAGATTCTTACAAGAGCTTTCTTTACTGGGGGAGGGGGCATGCCAGATGGTGTTTAGGGACACAGTACTTGGGGACCACTCCTGGCAATTGGGGGTATGAGGTGGCAGGAATTAAACTTGGGGTTCCTACACATAACATGTACACTCCAGTTCTTTGAGCCGTTTTCCTGGTCCTAGACATACTTTGTTAAAATGCAGAATAGAGGGGCTGGAGTGATAGGACAGTGGGTAGGGCATTTGCTGTACATGCAGCTGACCTGGGTTCCATCCTACCACCTCACATGGTCCCCTAAGCTGCCAGGAGTAGTCCCTGAGTGAAGGGCCAGGAGTAAGCCCTGAGCACCACTGGTGTATCCCCCCAAACAAACCAACAAACCAGCAAAAAATTGCAGAAGCGGGTTCAGTTTGTTTCGTTTCTTTGGCCACACTAGCTGTGTTCTATAAGCCAGGGCCAGCTCTGGTGGTGCTCAGGGCGTGACACTAGGGAAGAAACACGGGCCACACACATAAAAGACATAAGCTCTGCTGTGGACCATATCTGGCTTTGTGTCCTCAGTTGTTAACCCCACCCCCTGAATTTCTTTAGAAAAAAGTGTTAACTGTGCACATTCTCAGACAGAAATGGTGGCTCACATGTGGTTGAAAAGGCTCAGGCTGACTCCAAACATCATATGGATGATACCAAGGATAACTGACATCTTCATCTTGAAGGAGTTGAGAAAGGTGAGTTTATTGGTGGCAATGTTCCAAATCTGTCCCAATCAAAAAACAAGATATTACCAACAGTTCTTGAATGGAAAACCTCTGTTCACTTACATGGTGAAATTTTATAATTTTTAAAAGTTTTAGTATTATTATTATTATTGTTTCGGTGTTTGGATCATACCTGACAGTGCTCAGAACTTACTTCTGGATCTTTCCAGAAGTAGGGGGGGAAAAAAAAGAAATCTAAGAACCCCAAGGAAAAGGCTATTTCTGCTTTGTTAAAACATCTGCTAAACACCCAAAAGGAGAGATAGAACAAAAGGGAGTGCCCTGCCACAGAGGCAGGGTGGGATGGGGGGTGGGGGGGTTGGGAGGGATTGGTGGGGGTGGAAAATGGGCACTGGTGGTGGGATGGGTACTTGATCATTGTATAACTGAAACCCAAGCACAACAACTTGTAAGTCTACAACTGTACCTCATGGTGTTTCACTAATAAAACAAAAAACAAACAAAAAAAATGTTATGCTGGTAAACTTGAAAAAAAATCTGCTAAAAATAAAAGCACACTAAATTCAACTCAAATAAATTAAACTTGGAGAAAAATTAATCTTTCTGGAATTAAAGTGATTAGGCAGTTACCTCAGAAAGCAGCAGGAGAGGAAAACTAATTGGACACTAGAAAATGCTGAAGTCTCCTGGCTTGAAAGCATTCTAGACAAGGGCTGGAGAGACAGGACAGCAGGTAGGGCGTTTGCCTAGCACATACAGACCAGGTTCAATCACCAACATCTCAAGAGTAATTTCTGAGTGCAGAGCCAGGAGTAAGCCTTGAGCATCGATGGGTGTGGCCCCAAAACCAAACAAACAAACAAACAAAAATAGAAAAAGAACAAGAACAGATCTGGACAGATACTCCAAATTTTTCTATAAATATATTAACTAAAACCTAAACAACTCTCTCTCTTTTTTTTTTTTTCTTTTTGGGTCACACCCGGAGATGCACAGGGCTACTCCTCGCTCTGCACTCAGTAATCACTCCTGGCATGCTCACGGGACCATATGGGATGCTGTGGATCGAATCTGGGTCAGCCATGTGCAAGGAAAATGCCCCATCTACTGTGCTATCACTCCAGCCCCAACAACTCTTTTTTTGTTTCATTGTGGGGTCATTATCAGTCAGTGCTCTGGGCTTACTCCTGGCTCTGTGCTCAATGATCACTACTGGTGGGGCTTGGGGGACCATATGGGATGCTGGAGATTGAAGCCAGGTCAGACACGTGCAAGGTAAATATCCTACCCACTGTACTATTACTCTGACCCCCTAACAGCTCTCTTTCTCTTTTTTTTTTTTTTCTGGCTTTTGGGTCATACCTGGCAATGCTCAGGGGTTACTCCTGGTTCTGCACTCAGGAATTACTCCTGGCAACGCTAAGAGGATCATATGGATGCCAGAGATTGAACCTGGGTTCGATCAAATCTGGCAAGGCAAATGCCCTCCCTGCTGCACTATCCCTTGGGAACCCCCAACAGCTTTTTATCTTCACTTTAATTCTCTTACAGTTAGAAAATCAGGTGTCAGATATCTTGTAAAGAGGCTGCTTTAGTAAAGAAGCTGTCTTACTGGATCAACGCCAAAAGGATAAGGTCCACCAAAGACTCCACGGATGGCTGGGTCCAGCTGGAGAACAGGGTTCCCCCGGAGAGTCTCTTCCCTGCCAGGTCAAGAGAAAAGCTGCATTTATTTTATCTCAGGAGAGGGAAAAACTATTGGGGTTCAGACACTGATCCCCACAGAAACTAGTACAGCTATTAAAGATGAGGCACAAACATCTGAGAATTAGAAGGGGTTAGAGACAAGAGAATTAAATACACTTACACAATCAAGTACAAAATGAGGGGGATCTGCTTTTATTTATTTTTAATTGGTGGTGGTGGTGGTTAGGACTAGACCTGGCAGTGCTCAAGGGCTAACCCCAGCAAGGTGCTTGAGAACCAGGTGACACCAGGAATCAAATCTGGGGGCCTCCTACATGCAAAGCATGCTCTCAGTATCTCTGCTGCAGAATCTGCTCTTAATTTGAAACCCAAAAAAAGTCTGTGCTTAATTTATAGTTTTGATTCTCTGATACTGCAGGAGAAAAATAATCCCAAGGCATCTGGAGCAAAAAAACGAGAGGGAATAATGCATTCTTCTGAAACAGAGATACTGGAATTGTTTCCTAAAAAAGCACTAGCTTGCTGCTGTCTGGACAATCAGAGCTGAACATAAAAGAAATATGCTTTGTGTTTTAACTTCTTCTGCAACTTACGTCCAATTAGCTATTGTAAACATTGGTCGCACACTCCAGGATGATCCAAAGATATTAAGAGACTTGGAAAAGCAGTCGTTGTAGATGAGACCAGTGTAGATGGAGAACACACCCATTAGCAGAATGATGTACCGTCCACTGAACACAGTGCTAAACATCTGGGAACCAGAAGAAAGAAGTCAATGAAATATAGCCCATGATACTCATGATACTTAGAATATAACAGACTCTCCCACTTTATCCAAGCTTGGGTCAGAGACTAAATACAATGATAATAACAAAGCCCACGTTTAGAGCATGTCAACCATAGTCCCTCGTAGTGTTATGATTTAAATTTTTTTGTTTTTTTGGTTTGGGGCTACACTTGGTGGTACACAGAGTTTACTCCTAGATCTGCTCTCAGGGATCACTCCCGGAGGGACCTGGGGGACAAAATGGCATGATGGGGATCAAACCTGGGTCAGCTGTATACAAGGCAAGCATGCTAATAAACTGTCCTATTGCTCCAGCCCAGAGTTTCTATAGTGTTACAATGACTATGCTATAATGTTACTTCTCTGCTCTCTATAAAGTCTCCAGATTTTCTTTAAAAGACTTCCAGATTATACTTTTCATAATGAATGTCTGATTAAAAATAAAGTTTCCACCTGACATTTATCTTTTATTATTTATTTATTTATTTTTGGTTTTTAGGCCATACCCTGTGGTGCTCAGGGATGACTCCTGGCTCTGCGTACTGTAATCTCTCCTGGAAGGTGCTCAGGGGGCATTATAGGATGTTAGGAATCCAACCTAAGCTGGCCATGTGCAAGGCAAGAGCCCTACCCGTTGTACTATCTCTCCAGCCCGACACAGATGTATATTAAATATTACCTCATTCTCATTCTTCTGGGAGAGGATGCGGCTCTCTCTTAACACCATCCAGACAGCAAAAAGGGTCATCAAAATTCCATGGCCAAAGTCCCCAAACATCACAGCAAATAGGAAAGGAAAAGTGATAATAGTATACGGAGCTATGAGAAAAAAAAAAGAAATAATAAGCACAGAAAATGGCAACAATTCCTGATATCATACTTCTTTCTGTGTGCTAACACAAACAAAGTATGTTTTTTGGTTTGGGGGCTGTACCCAGTGGTGGCTCTGGGCTTACCCCTGGCTTTGTGCTCAGGGATCACTTCTGGTGGTGCTCAGGGGACCATATGGGGTGCCAGGAATAGAACCTGGGTTGACCACGTGCAAGGGAACAAGCACCCTACCCACTGTGCAACTGCTCCGACCCCTGATGGCACCTTCTGAGCTTACCACTAACACTGGGGACTGTGGGGGTGCTGGGGATTGAACCAGGAGCTCCTGCATGCAAAGCATACACTTCCTGTTAACATTTTATTTTGATGGTGCCAGGAATTGAACCCAGACACATGCAAGACTGAGCTGCACCTCAGCCCCTCTCGAATATTTTTTATTTTTCCTCTTTACTTAAATACCTCAGTTTACAAAGTTGTTCATGATGCATTTGTTATAGGCATTCAATATTCCAACATCAATCCTACTACCAGTGTGACCTTCCCTCCACTACTGTTCCCATTTTCTCAAGTAACCCCCTACTCTGGACCCCCCAACAATTTATTTTTGATGGCCTCCTCCTCCTCCTCCTCCTCCAACAATTTATTTTTGATGGCCTCCTCCTCCTCCTCCTCCTCCTCCTCCTCCTCTCTGGACCCCCCAACAATTTATTTTTGATGGTCTTCTCCTCCTCCTCCTCCTCCTCCTCCTCCTCCTTCTCCTCTCCTTCTCCTTCTCCTCCTCCTCCTCCTCTTCTTCTTCTTCTTCTCCTCCTCCTCCTCCCCCCTCCTCCCCCTCCCCCTCCTCCCATCCTCCTCCTCCTCTTCCTCTTCTTCCTCTTCTTCTTCTTCTCCTCCTCCTCCCCCTCCTCCTCTTCTTCTTCCTCTTCTTCTTCTTCTCCTCCCCCTCCTCCTCCCCTTCCCCTTCCCCTCCCCCTCCCCTTCTCCTTCTCCTCCTCTTCTTCTTCTTCTTCTCCTTCTCCTCCTCCTCCTCCTCCTCCCCCCTCCTCCCCCCCTCCCCCTCCTCTTCCTCTTCTTCCTTTTCTTCTTCTTCTCCTCCTCCTCCTCCTCCTTCTCCTCTTCTTCTTCCTCTTCTCCTCCCCCTCCTCCTCCCCTTCCCCTTTCCCTCCTCCTCCTCCTCCTCTTCTTCCTCTTCTTCTTCTTCTTCTCCTCCTCCTCCCCCTCCCCCCCTCCTCCTCCTCCTCCTCCTCCTCCTCTTCTTCTTCTTCTTCTTTTTTTTTTTTTTTAGTTTTGTAGCCACACCTGGTGGTGCTCAGGAATTACTTCTGGCTTCTGTATTTAGAGATCACTATTGGCAATTCTCAGGAAACCATACAGGATGCCGGAGATCAAACCCACGTTGGCCATGGGCAAGGCAAGCTTTTTCCCCACTGGACTATAGCTCTGGCCCCATCATCCTAACATTTTAAATCAAGAAGAACATGGGAAAGGAAAGGAAAGGAAAGGTGCGTCTAGCTCCGACAGCAGCGGTTTGCCCTTCAACTACCTTTCCTCACCTTGGGGATACTGCGCCAGGGACAGGCCAACCTTTTTCTCTCGTGCAGCAACCACTCCCTAGTTGGGTAAATCCACCAGAGAAGCGGGAGGAAGCCGGAACCTGCAGGAAAGCAGATTCTGACCTGGATTTACACTAGAGTTGAACTTTGAATTTAACTGGCCAATGACATTCTTTTTTTTTTTTTTTTTTAATTTTGGAGGAAGGGGGAATCACATCAATGTACTAGGATGCTAAAGATCCTGTGTTAGGATCCACGGGGTACCATGCATCAAACTTGGGTCTCCCACATGGAAAGTCTGTGTTCAACCAGTCACACTCTCAGGCCCGTACCTCAAGGGCCCTCAAAGGGAGCCTTTGAAAGACAAAACACAAAAAAGCCCTCAGAGGGAGAAGATCCACAATCTCTTACCTGGATTTATCTCTCGGTAGGTTCCAATCCCGTATGCATCCACTATATTCTGAAAGCCATAGGTGAACTTGTTTGTTTTGTTGTAGGTTGGGGGAGTCTGGTTTGTCTGCATCCTGTTCAGAATGGAGGGCACAGTAGAGCCACTGTGCTCCTGGAAACAAGAAACGTCATGTAAAAGTCAGGGCTATTTGCGTGGTATGGGTGCATCTATTTATCAAGACCCATCTTAACTGTACCACCAGGAGTGATTCTTGAGCGCAGAGCCAGGAGTAACCCCTGAACACTGCCCGACGTGGCCCCCCAAATCAAAACAAGACCAACACGACCCACCAAACTATATACATAAAGCATGTGTATTTCCCTTCGTGCAAATTCTATCTCAGTCTTTCCCAGTCTTTATGGAGAGTTGGACGAGATCTCATATGCACAATGAGGGCCAGAGAGACAGGAAGGTGCTTCACTTGTGTGTGGCTGATCCTGGTCCAAATCTCCAGTTGGGATCCCTGGTTCAAAAACTCTCCACCACATGTGGTTCCCCGAGCACTGCTAGGGGTCATTTTAGCCAAGTCAGAAATAGCTTCTGACTACCACTAACCCAAACACCCCCAAAACAAATGAACAACAAAATTTAAAATGAGGGGCTGGGAAGATAGTGTGCACCCAGCCACAGTTTGATCTGTGGCATACAGTCCCCCAAGATTCAGTGGGTATAATCCCAAAGACCCCTATACACTGACATATATGGTCTGGAAGCCCTCAAGCACCCCAGTGACCCTGGAGGCTCCCGGCAGCACCTCAGCTTCCATAGGTCTGAGCACTGGACAGACCTGTAAGTTGCAAGGTCCCCTGAATACGGCTTGGAAGTACACCCCACCAAAGAATAAGGGATTGAGACATATTACAGCAATTAAGGCACATCCTCCCATGGACCCAGTCCTGGTTCGATCGAAGCACCACAGGCAGATGCTAAGCACTGCCCAGTGTAGTCCTGGAAGCTCCTGATAATGCCTGAGCAGCACCATGGCTTGGGCTCTGGCACTAAACTGCCAGCTCAGCTAACCAAATGTTGTTTGGAATGGTCGTCAGACTTCTGGAGTATCCTGGAGACAGTCCCTCCCCCATCCAGTAAGAAAATAATAATAATTTTTAAAAATTACAATGGTAAAGGTAAAAGGTAAAGGTAAAGGCCCTCCCGTTGATCGTCGATTTGCTCGAGCGGGCCCAGTAACGTCTCCATTGGAGACTTTGTTGTTACTGTGTCTGGCATATCGAATACTCTCGGTAGCTTGCCGGGTTCTCCGAGAGGGGCGGAGGAATCGAACTCGGGTCGGCCATGTTGGTCGCTTGTAAGGTGAACGCCCTACCCGCTGTGCTATCGCTCCAGCCCAAAAATTACAATGAAAAACTCAAAATAAGTCTCAGGGAAAATATCCTGAACATAAATTCTAGAACATGTAACCAAAGAAAACATGATGTCTCCTTTAGAGTCTTTCACTTCGGTTTCTGCAAGTGTCAATGTTCAATCCTTGTTTTAAGGAGAAAGCAAAGTTTATTTATTCTTCTTTTGGGGGCCACACCCAGTGGTGCTTAGGGGTTACTTGTGGCTCTGCACTCGGAATTACTCCTGGAGGTGCACAGGACATTGTATAGGATGCCAGGGATGGAACCAGGGTCGGCTTCATGCAAGGCAAGTGCCCTCCTGGCTGTACTATCTCTCTGACCATCAAAGTCTATTTTTTGACTCTTGCTTTATTACTAACTCTTAACTCCCTAAGCCCTTACAGGCTATCTGAGCTATTCAAAACAACTGGCTCACCCCTAGATCCAGAAGTCTTTTCTCCCACATGCAAGTGTCTGACACCAGAAAGCTTCCCTGTTCTGCTGGTGAAAGTCTTTACTCTTCAGGGGATCCCCCTGCTCACCAACCATTCCTTTTCCTGCCTCTTTGGTGGTTCTTTCTCCTTTGCTCATCCTGTGGTAACACTGGCAGGCGGGCCTCACAAGCTTTTCTCTGGCTTCCTTTTTTTCTCTCTTTGCTGTCTCCTCTTCTATCCTAACAGAACCTTTTTCTTTCTTTTTCTACTATCACTGCTGGGATTATAAAGAAGTTATCTAATGAACCGAGAGAGTGGATTATGAAATGTAATACAAAACACACTGTCATGGCCAGATCAATAGTTCAGTGGTTAGGGTGCTTGCCTTGCATGCGAGATCCAGGTTCAATCCCTGGCACCACAAAGAGTTCCCCAATCCCTGCCAGGAGCGATTCTTGAGCACCATGGGGTGTGGCCCAAAAACCAAAAACACAAGTAACAAGAAGATACATTGCCAGGCTAAAAGATGAGCAAGTTTTGGAACTCTGAAAGTAAAAATGTTAATTAATTCATGCTCCTGTTGCTGGATTTGCTCTTTCCAGTTATAGGCTGCTCCAGGAAGACTCACCGTGCCTCTTCTGAGTGCAAACTGGATGGAATCCAGGTCAGTGACAGGGCACCAGACCTCTGCAATCAGACACTTCTGGGTCACATCTATGTTGCACAGGTTCAGAGTGTGGTAAATGGCCTTCATCTTCCGTACCTTGATGAACCACACCCGGATGCTCTTAGCAGCTGCCTGCAGAACCCTCTGGCGGTGATCCTCTGTCTGATTCAGAACCTTGTTGGAGAGAAAGGAACAAGGGAGTGACCCTTCCAACAACAGCCACAGACAGCAGGACACGGATGGCAACAATCCACAGGCTTCTAGAAAAGGTTGCTGGGCACCTGCTCTGCTTTTTTTTTTTTTTTTTTTTGGTGGAGGGCACACCCTGCAGTGCTCAGGGCTTACCCCTGCCTCTATGTTTAGGGATCACACTTGGTAGTGCTCAGGGGTTTATAGGGGATGCTGGGGAGAAAGTACAGATGCATGTAGGGTAAGTCCCCTAATCTGCTATACTGCTGCTCCAGGCTGTGTTATCTGGCCATCCCCCACTTTGGCAAGAATAGCTTCTATCCCTCAAAAAATTATAAGAAATTTTATTTCTGTATAGCTGGTAGGGTGTTTGCATTGCTTATGACTGACCTGGGTTCAAGCCCTACCACCCCATTTCCCCTGAGCTTGCCAGGGGTGCCCCCTGTGCGCAGAGTCAGGAGTGAGCCCTGAGCACCACCAGGTGTGACCCCAAAACCAAATACCGCCAAGGAATTATATTTATAGCCACTAATATTCATTTTCCTTTCCTTTTTTTTTAAAAATTTTTATTAGCAAAACACCATGGGGTACAGTTGTAGACTTACAAATTTTTGTGGTTGGGTTTCAGTTATACATTTTCCTTTCCTTGAGAGGTTGTGCCCTGAGTGAAGTTCAGTGTGGGGAGGGGCCAATCCTAGCGATTCTTGGCCAACAGGGCCTGGAGGTTGAGTGCGTAGGACACATAGTTGCAGAGATGTGAGCAGCCAGACCACTGAGGAGTGTGACACTGGGGACCACTGGAGCCACACCTCACACTGCTCGGGGACCTTCAGGGCTACTCTGGTGCTGCCCAGGAGGACATGCTGGCCATGTAGCCGGGTAAGGCTCAGGTCTTGCACTTTAACCCTTGTACTATCTCCCTGGCTCCTGACATTTTCATTTAGTTTCAAGCTGACGAAAAATCTGAGAAAATGTTTCTTGTGTTTCCCTTGGTTAGGTTTTTGTGTGTGACATTGGAGAAGGAACCTAGGGTCTACATATGACACTCTACACTGAGCTGAATCATTAGTCCAAGAAAATGCTTCTTCAGTTTTTAATATATAATCTTCTCTTTTCCTTAATTTTCTTTATTTTTTTTTTCAGTTTTTGAGTCACATCTGGTGATGCTCAGGGGTTACTCCTGGTTTTTCACTCAGAAACTACTCCTGGCGGTGCTCAGGGGGACCATATGAGATGTTGGGAGTTGAACCTGGGTTGGCCGCATGCAAGGCAAACACCCTACTGGCTGTTCTATCACTCCAGCCCCTCTTTTCCTTAATTTTTAAGGGGGGATATATCCCTGGGTGCTCAGGAGTTACTGTGCTGGCTCTGTGCTTCAGAGTGACCCTCGAAGTACTTGGGGGACTATGTGATGCCAGGGATTCAAACTGGGGTTAGTTGCCCAGCAGGCCAGTACCTTATTTCCTCTACTATTAATCCACCCTGATTTGGCCTTTGATTCTGTTGAGACGGAAGCGGTCATTGAAGCCCTAGCCACTCAGGGCATTCAAGACCAATACATCAAGATCCTCCGTGAGCTGTACTGCGGATTCACTACCAGGATCTCACCATTCTACAAAGAAGTGATCGTTGATGTCAAGAGAGGGGTGCGGCAGGGTGATACCATTTCACCGAAACTCTTCAGTGCCACCCTCGAGAACATCATGCGACAACTAGAATGGGAAGGAATGGGAGTGAAGATAGATGGTCGGCAACTACACCACCTCCGCTTTGCTGATGACATTGTTTTAATAACACCAAACATCAGCCAAGCGGCACAAATGCTGGCCGACTTTGACCGTGAGTGTGGAAAGGTAGGACTACAGCTGAATCTTACGAAGACAATGTTTATGAGAAACAGCCTCGTTCCTGATGCCCCATTCGCTCTCAACGGAACGGCCATCTCCGAATGCAACAGCTATGTGTACCTAGGTCGAGAAATCAACATGATAAATGACCTGGCACTCGAGCTGCGCAGGAGGAAGAGAGCGGCTTGGAACGCCTTCAAGAACGTCGAAGAAATAGCTAAGAGGACGAAGAACCTCCGGCTCCGGGCACATCTCTTTGATTCCACTGTTCTTCCTGCATTAACATATGCCTCAGAGACCTGGGCCCTACGCACACAGGATGAGAACGCTATTCAGGTCTCCCAAAGAAGAATAGAAAGAGCTATGCTTGGAATATCACGTTTCACTCAAATGAGAGAAAAAATCCGGAGTTCCGACATCTGTCGACGATCAAGAATCAGGGACGCTGTCTCATTTGCCAAGGTGTCAAAAATCAGATGGGCTGGTCACGTAATGAGATTTAAAGACGACCGCTGGACTAGAGCTGTTACTGACTGGATTCCACGGGATGTCAAAAGACCGCGTGGCCGCCACCTACCAGATGGTCAGACTTCTTCGTGAAGATCATGAATGATCGGTTTGAGGCTCTTCATGTTCCCAGAGCGAACAGATGCCATTGGGCTACACTAGCACGCGACAGGGACAAATGGAGACGTTACTGGCACCCGCTCGAGCAAATCGCCGACTAACGGGAAGTTAAGTGATTATTAAGTGATTAATCCACCCTATAATTATAACCTTAAACCCACAGCACCATCAATGTAGGTCACCAGCCTTTACTTTTACTAGATTATGGGAAAAGCAATGACTTTCCAGGTGGAGCCCAAAACTGAACTCGACCTCATTGGGCTAGGAGCTGACAAAGACAACAGACTCATTCTTAAGAAGAGCCAGCTGCAAAAATCTCTGACAAAAGCCAGCACCAGGGAAGAGTGGGAAAGAGGAGTGCTGAACAGCACTGTCTAGAGGCTGATAAACCCCATGCTGGGGAACGGGACCCCAGACATTGTGGGTCAACAGGACGGCCTTTATGGGGGATTTACACTCCCACACAGCAGTGTCAGACAGGGGCAGGTAAGGTTTAATCTCACTGCCGGAGTAGCTCTCAGAGCCTGGGGACAGGCATGGAGGTGGGATTTCAGGACTGATTTTTGGGAAAAACTACAAATTTCCCTCAGACAAATGTCAGAGGCCATACTAATGATGTAGAAAGGGGCAAGGCCACCGCACATTCTACTACCTTGTTTATCACCAATTAGTTAAGATTACAGTAGCAGCTGAGCTGGAGCGATAGCACAGCGGGTAGGGCAGGGCGTTCGCCTTACACGCGGCCAACATGGCCGACCCGAGTTCGATTCCTCCGCCCCTCTCGGAGAGCCCGGCAAGCTACCGAGAGTATTCATATGCCAGACACAGTAACAACAAAGTCTCCAATGGAGACGTTACTGGGCCCGCTCGAGCAAATCGACGATCAACGGGAGGGCCTTTACCTTTTTACCTTTTACAGTAGCAGCAGAGAGTGAAGCCCCTTCCTTCCATTTAAAGGGGACCAAACAAAGAAAAACAAAACAAAACAAACCCCACCAACAACCAAACAAAAACAAAAATGAAAACTCTTCAGGAGCGGAAGTTGTAAGACAGTGGGGAAGGCACTTGCCTTGCATGCGGTTGACCTGGGTTCGATCCCTGGCATCCCATATGGTCCCCCAGCACCACCAAGAATAATTCCTGAGGGGCCAGCGCAATAGCACAACAGGTAGGGCATTTGTCTCGTACACGGCAACCCAGGTTCAATTCCTGGCATCGCATATGGTCCCCCTCCCTCCCCCACCAGCATCATCAGGAGTAATTTCTGAGTGCAGAGCCAGGAGTAACCCCTGAGCATCACTGGGTATGACTCAAAAAGCAAATAATAAAAAAAAAAGAGTAATTCCTGAGTGCAGAGCAAGGAGTAAATCCTGAGCATCACTGAGTGTGGCCTCAAACACAAAAAATTAAAAAAAAAACCCGGAGGTATGTGCTACCAGTCGGTCAATCTATACCTGTGAGGTGAGTGCATCAGCAGCCTGATGGCGCCTTTAGACTTCTAGATACCCCAAAATTGCTGCTGTGCCTTTGGCAAGATCCCAACAACTTGAGGCCAAGTTTACCAAGAAAGTAAATGGCCAAAAATTAGGTATGTGGGAGACACATCCACAAACCACCTCTGGCTCAGCTATATAATTGGAGGCAAGGCCTCTCTGGTTCCTGATTTAACTGCTTAACAGCCATGATCCCAGAGACTCAGAAACAAATCTCGGAACCCAGCAGCTTTTGGCAGAAATGAGTCTGGTCCCCACAGTAGGTTACCGGCACCGGGCCACCCCAGATAGGAATAGGTTTCATGCCTTGGCCTGTTCGCCCTGGTGGCTCGGTGGCCACCATCCTCCAAAGGCCACTGGACAGTCACGTTTGGGCCCGCAGTGATGAGACACGCAAGGCCTCATGGGATGGGGGTGGAGCTGGCCCTTTCCTCCCGGCCCCAACAAGACCCTGATTCGCCGCCCATGAATGGTCTCTCTGGGTACTGATCAAGCTGCTTAACGGCCATGATCCAAGAGACTCAGAAACAAATCTTGGAACCCAGCAGCTTTTGGCAGAAACGTGTCTGGTTCCTGCATAGGTTACCGGCACCAGGAGACCCCAGGTGGGAACAGGTTTCATGCCTTGGCCTGTTTCCCCTGGAGGCTCGGTGGCCACCATCCTCCAGAGGCCACTGGACAGTCAGGTTTGGGCCCGTAATGATGAGACACTGGGACCTCATGGGATGGGGGTGGAGCCAGCCCTTTCCTCCCCACCCCAATGAGACCCCAAGTCGCCGCCCATGAATGGCCTCTCTAGCTACTGATCAAGCTGCTTAACGGCCATGACCCAGAGACTCAAACAAATCTTGGAACCCAGCAGTTTTTGGCAGAAATCCCTCCATATTTAATTGTTAAAATTTTGGAATTCCAAAACTGCGTGGCCACAACTGTGGCTGCCCGACATCATATGTTCTTCATAACCAGCAATAAAAAACATACTGTCTACTGTTGCCTTTGCGGCAGATCTGAGTGTTGGGGTAAAATCCCAAATCATAATGGTGGGTCTGGGGTTGAAATATTGAATGAAATCAAAGAGAGAGAGTAATGTGGAAATCATCTGCCCCACAGGTAGGGGGAGGATGTGGAATGGGAGGTATACTGGGGTTTTTGGTGGTGGAAAATGGGCACTGGTGAAGGGACAGGTGTTTCATCATTGTATGACTGAGACTTAAACCCGAAAGTTTTGTAACTGTTCTCACAGTAATTCAATAAATAAATTTATAAAAAAGAAAAAAAAAGTAAGGTGGAGTTCATGCCCAATTCAATCAGCCTAAACAAAGGCCGAATAAACAGCAATACTCCTACATAAAAAAAAAAACCTTCTTCTATTTCGTGTGTGTATGTGTGTGTGGGTGGGTTTACACCATACCTAATGGTGTTCTGGGCTTAGTCCTGTCTCTGAACCTGTCTCTGAACTCAGAAATTACTCCTGACAGGGTTCAGGGGACCATATCGGGTGCTGGGAATCAAACCCAGGTTGGCTGTGTGCTACGCAAAAGCTCTACCCGCTGTACTATTGACCTGGCCCTCTTTACTTCTTTAGAATAAAAGAATAAAACTATTTTCTCTCCTCTGACTGCTGACAATTATTATTCATAATTACTCTTAAAATTTCTGGAACAAACCTGCAGGCAATGTTCTACTTGCTTCTTTCTTTCTCCATCTCACTCTCCACCCTATCCCTCACACCCTACCTTCCTTGTTATTTAATTCTATTTAAAAGTCAGTTCATATAGATGGGTGTTTTAAAAGACAACTTCTGGTTTTTATAACGATTATTGTCCATGCATTTTAAAATTTGTTCATAAGTTAGGGAAGAAAGATAAGACAGCCCCTGAGCCACTGTTCTATGCCTATCACTCACCAGCAGTTCTAAGAAATTTACTTCTTGTTTAAAAAGATAAACAGGCTGGAGCAACCCATCCAGGAGGCAGGGTGCTTGCCTTGCATGCAACCTGACTAGGGTTCGATCCCTGGCACCCCATATTATGATCTTCAGAGCTCGCCAGGAGTGATCCCTGGTGCAGGGTCAGGAATAAGCCCTGAGCAACACCAGGTGTAGGCCAAAAACCAAATAAATAAATAAATAAATAAATAAATAAGTAGATATACATATCTCTAAGAAGTCACTAGAGATCAAGGCAGTGGGTCATACTCAACAGAGATCAGAGGAGAAGACTGGAAGGGAGTCTGAAATGGGAGTAATGATGTATCTCTGACAATCCAGCTCCTGCTGAAAGGAGTGCCTTTGGGATTACTGACTAATGTTTCAAGGCGTGAGTCATCACATTCTTCAACATACTGCAATCTGGGTATGAGAGCCCCATCGGTGTTGTATTTCTCTGTGGGGTGGAGCCATGAGGTGACCATGATACACGCTGACTAGTTAACAGTGGCTGCTGAGGATCAATGCTGCGCTGGGGGTATTGGTATTTTAGTAGGAGATGTGGGATGGCTTCACTGACTATCAACTCTGTACTCATAAAAACATACAGTATTGTGAACCAATGTCACCTGGATATATATACATATATATATAAATTATATCCAAAATACTTTGGTTCACTGAGGGAAAACTATAGCTATTGAATAGAATATGTATGTGGGTCTGAGAGTGCAGAATGGATTTTAGAGACTTTCTTAACTAAACATACTTTCTTATATTACAAAAAAAATCTCAGGGCAAACACCCTACCCACTGTTCACTCCAGCCCCCCAATTAATGTCATTTTTAATCTCTCCAGAACCTTAAGAGAAATATTTCATGAACCATATCATGAAATATTTCCATGGATATTTCTTTCTTGGCAACCTAAGCTGCTGCAGGTGCCCAGTAAATTAGTTCAAGGAAGAAGTCTCCTAGGCCAATATTTGATAAAAACTAAATTCTCTCCTCTGTATACCATTTGGAGGTCGTCAATCCTGGTGTTAACTCCGGAAGCCATTTCTTTCCTCTCCTGTGGTGTCTCGGGACAGGGATAGAGTGAGGCGCGGAACCTGGAAAGTGCAGACAGAGCCTGAGGATCACCTGCAGATCATCACCTCCTTCACTGAAAGGTTCTCAGATGTCATCCTACACTAGCAGGAATGAGGCACAGTAGGCTCAGAATGATGCATTACGCAATTTTCACAGTTTACCGGAAATGACCTACAGACAGAACATTCAATTGAGGTGGGGAGCAGCAGCTGGGAGAGTAATGGAAATTACATTACATATTATTATAAAAATGACATTAAGAAAAAAAGATCTTATGAGAATAGTTTTAGAAAAGTTTAAGGGGCCCAGTGCCTATGGAACACAGTGAATACTCGTCCCAGAACAGAGTCAAATTCCTAAGCCTGAATCCTTTTTTCCCCACCAAGAGAAAACTGTGGGTGCTGCTATGCTCTGCCTTTAGGAGGTGAGTACTCTTACCCTTCACAGATCTTCTTGACTCTGTTTTTCAGTTGATCACCTTGGAAGAATATGATGAACACAGACTTGTGCACGTAGTCACCCTAGATCCCAAACCAAATCCCCAAAGTTCAGACTTCACTGCAGAAGAAACATTATCAGCAGTCTTTATTCCTGACAAGATAAAGAATCTATTCTTTGGGGGAAGGGGGGTTGAAGCTATACCAGGCGGTACTCAGGATTTACTCCTGGCTCTACACTCAGGGATCACTCCCAGCAGTTCAGGGGATCATATGAGGTGCTGGGGGTCCAACCCCAGTTGGCCTCGTGCAAGGAAAGTGCCCTATCTGCTACTCCAGACCCTAAATAAGAATTCTTTTAAGGGTATGTTAACTCTGTGCTTATACTTCTTACTATCTTCAAACTGTTTTCTTTGTTTTCTGGGTGGGGTTGGGGTGGTGTTGGAGCCGCACCTGGCAGTGTTCAGGGGAACATATGAGGTGCTGGGGATTCAAACAGGAATCAATGGGATGCAAGGTGAATCCCATCCTTCCCGATATCCCCCTACTCCAGAACTTCCGGCTGGAGAGACAGCTTAAAGGGCTAGGCTTTGCACACCAGAGGCTCAGGTTTGATCCCAGCACTGCACAGTCCTCCAAGCACCACCCGGAGCAAACCCTGAGTGCAGAGTTCAGAGCAGCCTCTGGGCACTGCTGGGTATAGCCCCCAAAACAAATTCCAGTTAATCGAGCTAAAACTCACTTTTCTTTTGGTTGTAGCTAAGTAACAAAAAAACATATAAAGCTCAAGTTTCGGGGGTGGAGTGGTAGTATAGCGGGTAGGGTGTTTTTACGTAGTACATGGCCAACCCAGGTTGGGTCCCGAGCACCTCATATGGGCCCCGAAACAACAAAAAAAATTTTTTAAAGAGGGGGTCAGGGAACACGGCTCAAGGAGTAGAGCACATGCCTCACATGTGTGAGGTCTTGGGTTCAATCCCCTGTGGCACCACCAGGAAAGGTCCTGGAGGTCCCTCAGCACTGCCAAGTGCTCACAATAACAAGAAGGGAAGCAAACTCTTGGATTAAAGCAGAAGACATCCAGACTCCCTGCTGGGAGGGGGGAACCAGGCTATGTTGCTGCTCTGGGCTCCCCTTCTAACAGCTACACCAGAGGACACAATTTCCTTGTCTTACAGTCACGGGATCCTCCAGGGGGTTCTCGATCTCAGCTTGTCGCAGGAACACATTCCCGCGGCACACCCGCCAGAGCATCCGCTCAAAAGTAGGGATGCGCTCTCGGTTAATCACACCAGCCACGAAGCTGTAGGGAAAAGAGCCAAATCGGGAAGGCTATTCCACACTGTGGACTGGAAGGCTTGAAGACATGAAGGGAGAGTGAGAGGCAAAGACGAAAAATGCTGTTGAGCCAGAGGGCTGCTAAAGTCTCCTAGCACAACGCAGAAACCAACTTCAAAGTAAGGGAGGAAAGTGTTGCCGGTTTAGGGTCGAGTGCTTCCTGGAAGCGAGCCAATGCCCAGCCTCCCTTGCTCTCTGCAACAGCAACAAGGAACACAGCCCCACGGGAGTACGGAAGAAGTGACGTAGCACATACCCGAGTCTTAAAGGCGCGCCTCTTCCCATCTCACTTGGCTCCAAGAGGGAGGAAGACTCTTCCAACAGGTCTGGATCCGCCATCTGCTGATGATGCAATTCAGCCTGAATTCACAAATCAATTAATATCTAATGAAAATAGTTAGTGGCATGCAGGGAAAGAGGAACCAGGAGATAAGTTCAGAAAATAAAGATGAAAGATCACCAAAAGAGAAGACATACCCCAAAAGAAGGAAAGAAAAAAAAAGAAGACAAGAATAAGGAAGGAGGGTGGAAAAAATAAACAAAGAAAAGAGGAGATGAAGAAAGCATAAATGCCCCAGGAAAGCACCCGGGAAAATGGTTTTTAGAAATAAAAAAAAAAACATTAAATGATGGTGACTTGTATAAAGCTGTTACTGGTGGAAGTCATTTTTTTTCTCCAATATTTCCGAATGAGCCAGAAAGTAGCAGGAAACACACCTGAAAATGAAGAGGTGTTCAGGCGTTTCTCCCTTTTGAGCAAAACACATGGCAGGTCTGTAGACGTTTTTATCATTAAATTTTCAGGAGCTACAAACTTGAATTTTCTTCAAGTGAGAGTGTGAAAGATGGAGATGCCCTTTCCAGGCAAAAACAAACAAAAAACTGTAACTTCATCACAGTTTTAAATACAGCATGACTTGCAGAAAGGCCCATGAGGCATCTCCAGATAATCTAAGGTTCCTAATTTTCATGCTTTAAAAAATTTAGAACATGATGGGATCAGAGAGATAGCACAGGTAAGTCACTTGGCTGCAATGGCCCGACCAAGGTCTGAATCCCTGGCACCCCGTATGGTCCCCTGAGTACCACCTGGGGTCACTTGTGAGCACAGAGCCAGGACTAACCCCTGAGCACTGCCAGGTGTGGCCCAACTGCCAGATGTGGCCCAATCCCTTGCCATCATCTTCCCCAAATTTTCAGAACATGAAAAGTTTCAGCATGGGCACTACAGAGAGCATTTCAGACCATGGGGTTTAAAGAGTATTCCTTTTTCTCAAACAATGAGAAGCAAAGAAGAGAGGAAGGAATGGGCTTCACTATACTCACAAAGACAAAAGATTAAAACATATCAAGGGGCCAGAGCAGATAGGGCATTTGCCTTGAACGCAGCTGACTCAGGTTCGATCCCCAGCATCACATATGGCACACTGAGCATTACCTGGAGTAATTCCTGAGTGAAGAGCCAGGAGCATCGCTGGCTGCGACCCAAAAAATGTTACAAAAAAAAAATTAAAACATCCTATTTGCTGACTAGGAACCTAGAAATATTAAAAAGTGCTGGGTCAGAGAGATGGTTGTGCTGGGGCAAAAGCTTTGCATATGGGAGGCCTGAGCTGGATTTCAGCACCCCACACGGTGCCCTGAGCACAGAGCTGGGAGTAGCCCCTGAGCATCACTGGGTGTGGTCAGCCAAAGATAACAACAACAACAAATAAAAAGTCTGTAGGCTTAATGCTAAAGATTCTTGAGAACACAGTTAAGACAACAACTGTGTTTCTCACTGAGGATGATTCCCCCAAAGGTGGGGAATACAGATGTAGCCTCTAGTGCAGTTGGGGGGCACTTTCTGTTTTTCACATAGATTTCAAGGGAGGAAAAGGCTGATTTTGATTTTTCCTGTAAAAGGGGCAGCAGGCCAAATAAACTTAGGGACCTCTGATCTAAATCTAAACCAAAGAATATGATAAGCTTACATAGAATAGAACTTTGCAAGCTGGTTTGACTGTTTAGATTTTAAATGATTTCCACCATCACAGTTTATACAATGAAATGAAGGAGTGGGACTTTCTCAGATGTAGGTCTGCATTCCCTGACCTCTCATTCTACAATTCCCAGAAATTACTCTCATGAGAAAAGAGAAGCGGCCCTAAAAAAGTTGAAGGGAAAGCTCTCCACTGCTTCATCTCCCCAACTTTAACATCCACACTCTTCTTGTTTGACCCAATACTAAAAGTAATTCAGACCATCTGTCTTCAAAATCAAAACTAGACACAAAAGTCTGGAGAACCTCTCTATCATTTTTATTCCAAACTTCAGGCTATTCTTTTCAACCTTGCTTATCCAAAAAATACAACATGAAACCTACATGTCTTGATTGTCATGGACCAAAGACAATAAAGTGGGGAAAGAAGTACAGATGATTCCTGACATAGAAAGGTCTGACTTAGGGTTTTTCCAATGTTATGACAGTACAAAGTTTACACAGTCAAAAGTGATGTGTTCACAAAGACAATACTTTAAGTTGTGATCTTTTACTGGGCCAGCAATTTATGATCCAGCAACTTTATAGTCCCAACAATACTCCATCATGTCACTGGGCAGAGGCAATGAGCAGCTCCCAGCAAACCAAGTGATCAAGAGTATAAATAATCAGGGTCAGAGTGATATACAGTGGGGAGGAAGCTTGCTGCCTTGCATGTAACTGCCCCACACCTGATCCCTGGCACCCTGTAAGGTCCTCCAAGCCTGCCAGTAGTGATACCTGAGCACAGAGGCAAGAGTAAGCCCTGAGAACTGCTGGGTGTGGCCTCCCTAAACAAACAAAAAAGAGGATAAATAATCAATACTGTAGAATTAAGGTTGGGTGGGGAGTGGCTGAGGGAGGTGTGTGGGAAGGTGTGTATGACCTGGCTATGAAGCACATCTTGCCTGTAAAGCTCTGGGGGATTGATCCCCGGCACCACAAGAAAACTAAAACACTTTCACAGCCAATATTCTATAGATAAATTTTCACTTTCAGTAATTATTGAATGGCTATTTGAACTATTCAGTACTTTATTAAAAAATAGGTTTTGTGGGGCCAGAGTGATCAGACAGCAGACAGTGGTAGGGTGTTTGCCTTGCATATAGTCAACCCAGGTTCGATCCCCAGCAGCAAATATGGTCCCCTTCGCACTGACAGGAGTAATTCCTGAGGACACAGCCAGAGTGACCCCTGAGCATCTCTGGGTATGGCCCAAAACAACAAAACAAAACAAAACCGAAAAAAGCATTTTTTCAGTAGAAGCTACAGCAAGTGGAGCGGTGGACCCAGCAACGCAGGCCTGGCCTGGTAGTGCACAGGGGCCACATGGTGCGTGAGACTGAACCCAGAATCCAGCAGATCCTGGCAAGTGCTCCACCACTTGAGCTATTTCCCAGGCTCTGAGTGCATTTTTGACTGAAATTACCTTCAACTTATCAGGATATCACCCTACTGTAAACTGAGGAAGGTATGTATAAAGCATGTGATAAACCTAAAAGTCTAAAACAAAAAAGTGAAAGCAATTATTTTGGGACAGGAATTCTGGAAATAGGATCAACTCGGATCAAATCAAAAAGGGGCAGGTTGTTGGAGTTCAAGCCTGTTTTAGTCAGCTAAATGAGTGGCTGAATAAATAGCAGTATTCCTACATTTAAAAAGGGGGGGGGCAGACAATGGGTACAAGAGAGGACAAAGAAATACTGTCTGGGACTTAGAAAAGTCTAAGGGGCATTGCCACTGGCTGCCAGGATCCTTGCTCAGGGAGAGCTCCCTGCTCAGACACTTTCCCTACCCTCCCGGGGCTCTTTCTGGTTTCTACTTAAAATCAAAGCCAAAGACTCCAAGCCCCCAGGCAACTTGTTTTGAAGCTTCAACTGAGAACAGCTTTCAACTTACTTTTGGCACATCTTTCAGGAAAACCAGCAAAACTGCTACTCACAAAACTCTGCCCTACTTCCTTCAACAGTGCACATGCCCTTCTGAAGTAAACCCAGAATATCAGACGTGGTATAAACACATATATTCTACAAGGGACCACCGATGCAATAGCAAAGTTCAGTACCAGACAACACCAAACTCTGTATCTGGGGCTCTTGGGGAATAAGAATCCCATTAGAATTGACTTTAAACAGAAAATTGCAATCATATTCTAGTGACCAATTCTACTATTCATATTTAAGAATCCTATCACTGAAAGGATAAAATGTGCTTAACAGGGAAACTAGAATGATCAGAACCCCCAACTGTGAGGACCTTCAAAACAAAATCCAAAACTATGTTTTCTAAAATCTCAATCCTAATCTGGACTCCTCACAATAACTTTATTTACATCCCTCTAAAGTTCTTACTCACTATGCACTGGTTTCCTCTCCCCTATTCAAAATACTATAGCCACACCCTGATAGAGGGAAACGCCACTGCTTCAACAGTTCCATGTCTGCACCTCAATGGAAGCATCACACAGAGTTCAAGCTACATTATAATCACCAAGAGCCAACATTTCATTTCCGCCTACATTGAGAAAGAGATTTAATTTTGTAATCTGAAGATTCACCCACGCCCCAAAGGAGATGGCAGATGGGAAAGAAAAGAAAGCAGATGGATGGAAAATGCAGAAGGAAAGGAAGGCAGGGAACTGCATGCCATTAACCATTACTTTTCCAGTCTTCTTTACGTTCTCTTATGTTATGGTGTTTATGGTAAAAAGATGCAGAGAAATCTCTCCAGCTCTTACAGCTCTTCATAAGCAAGAAGACTGAGAAAAGGATAATCATTAACAAGTCATTTTAAGTGCTTTGGATAAGAAATGGCTATGCCGAATTTCTAATCAGCCTAAATCATACAAATAATCAACCAATTTTTACTTTCCCCATTTCCAGACCTCCCCAATCACAACCTCTATACTGAGAACCATGTTCTGATTTGGCCATTTTCTAACTCATTATTGCAAGCCATTGATCACATTTACCAAATCACATTTAAAAGAAGTGTTTGTAATTAACAGTGTTTCAGGCCATTTGCAAGATGTATCAGTTCAGGAATGAAAGAAAATCTCAAGAAAAACCCAAGTTGGGGGCTGGAGAGATAGTACAATGGGTCAGGTGTTTGCCTTGAACATGGCTGACCCAGATTCTATCCCCACATCCCATAAATTCCCTCGAGCACCGCCAGGAGTAATTCCTGAGTGCAGAACCAGCAGTAATCCCTGAGCACTGCTGGGTGTGGTCCTAAAACAAAACCAAATTTTTCTTTTTTTTAAGGAGTAAGAAAGAAAAATCCAAGTTGCTGAGATGTGGGGGTCTAAAGTTTCCTATCTTTTGCATCATTTAAAGCATGCTCAGATGTGCAAAAGCATTTCTCCTGTGAAGCCATGACTCTAGCCACAACAGTGACACCCAACACTGCTGCTCCAGCACCAGCATGCAAGAGCAGCTGAAAGGGACCTGGCAGAGTTAGTGGCAAGAGAGGGAAAGCACTGCCTGGACGCTGAGAAGAATGTCACTGAGTGGTTCTTGCCAGGACTCCTGCGCTGTGGTGAAGGTGGCAGCACTGAGGAGGTGCTGACAGTCAAAGCAGAGGGAGAACCTCTCACAGTCATGGCCTCAACTTCAAAAATACTTCCACAGCGGCCGGAGAGATAGCACAGCAGGGAAAGTGCCCGCCTTGCATATGGCTAACCCTGGTTCAATCCCTGCCACCACATAATGGTCCCCCGAGCCCCACCAGGAGTGACCCCTGAGTTCAGCGCCAAAAGTAAGCTCTGAGCACTGCCAGGCGTGGCCCCAAACCCAAAATAAATAAAGAATAAAAAATAAAAGAGGGAGGAACCGTGTCCTGACATGGAGGTTCTAAAGATGTTTAGAGCTGCTTAACCACAATGAGCATTTCAGTCTAGACTTATCACAGAATTTCAAAATCCATAAAAACATTCCAACATCTAAGTGGTTCTTTCTAGTCTGGTATCCTTTTTTTTAAGCTATTAGGGCCGGAGCAATAGCACAGTGGGTAGGGTGTTTGCCTTGCACAGTCGACCTGGCCGACCTGGGTTCGATTTCTCTGCCCCTCTCGGAGAGCCCGACAAGCTACCAAGAGTATCTTGCCCGCAGGGCAAAGCCTGGCAAGCTACCCATGACATATTTGATAAGCCAAACACAGTAACAAGTCTCACAATGGAGACGTTACTGGGCCTGCTCTAGCAAATCGATGAACAACAGGAGGACAGTACAGTGCTATTATAAAATTAACAATTTAAATAACAATTTCACTTAAAGGAATCCATTTGTCAGTCTTTATTCGTCATTTCTCCAAGAATGGACTAAATGAGGAAGTCAAATACTTAGGAGGTTACAAAACATCTTTTCTACAACTCAGTGAAACCCCAGCAATAAACTGAAAGGCTGGTTTAAAAGTGGGGAAAGGAATTAAGTTCCACATGATGCTACAAAAAGCTGGGCACTGAACTTAAGGCTAAGTTTACAGCAGCCTGTGGGCAGCAGCTTGAACTCACTTAGACAAGCACATTTCTACAGGCAGGATCTTTGGGGGTATTTCCTGATATAATGAAACAATACATTCCATGAACAGGGACTATGTCTTATTCATCTTATGCCTCACAAAAAGTAGATACTAGGCCGTAGGGGTTAGGGCTCGTGTCCTGCTTATGACTGGTCCCCCAGTCCAATCCCCAGCACCATGGGTTCCCCTAAACATCACTGAGCGCAGCCCAAGAGGCTCCCATGCACCATCAGGCTGGTGGGTACTCTCCTGAGCCCTTGGAACACTGCATTTTTAGGCCCGAGCATTGAACTACAAATCTTATTGGCCAAGAATTGCCAAAAGGAGAGACCAGAAAGATACTACAGTTGGTAAGGTCCTTGCCTTACACACAACTGACCTGGGTTTGTTCCCCAGCATTCTATATGACCCCCCCTCCACCCCCAGAAGTGATCCATGAGCACAGAGCCAGGAGCAAGCCCTGAGCACTATTGGGTAGCCACAAAACAAACCCCCCCCCCAAAAAAAGGGAAAAGTTAAAAGGAGCCTCCAGGTCTTCTTTGGAGTACTGCTTGGGGGGGGGGGGGCAACAATAATTTAAAAAATAAACCAGAAAAATAGGTACTCATTAAATAATAAATGATTTAATAAAATTACAATAATGCACTGGCAGTGAGCATACTGGAGCTCCAGGTTATTCCTTCATTGGAACAATATGACACAGTGGCTATGCATGTTGCAAAATACCTGAAACACTTGAAAAGACTTAATCACACTGACCAACACCTCTAATACGGGGACAAAGGGGGGTGGTGTAGGAAGTTACCATTTGGGCTCAACATTCTTAACGCCCATGAGCAAGCTGAATATCACAGCAAGCCTCTCTCTCTCTCTTTTTTTTTTTTTCTTTTTGGGTCACCCCCAGCGATGCTCAGGGGTTACTCCTGGCTCTGCACTCAGGAATCACTCCTGGCGGTGCTCAAGTGCTCAAGGGACCATATGGGATGCTGGGAATCGAACCCGGTTCGGCCGCGTGCAAGGCAGACACACTCCCCAGCAGACACTGTGCTACTGCTCCAGCCCCAGCAAGCCTCTCTTGATGTAAGGCCAGAGTCTGGTTCTTGGGAGGAACAGGCAATTAATTGTATTATAGTTGTTCTGTTTTCCCTTGCCCCAGCCTGTCTTTTTAATTAGCACAGTGGCTTCTGAGTCAAATCCTTACTTACTGAGGAATGTGACAGCATTTGTCAGCTGATTCTAGCTGAGTGGTTCTCAAACTAACAGGCCTTAGAACCACTTTGTACAAACAGACTACTGGGTTCCATGCTCGGCTTCTGATCAAAGAAGCCTGCACATAGACTGATTATTTGTATTTAGATAAATTTCCAGTGAGCAGGATGCTGTGGATTGAAAAAATTTTCTTTCTTTTTTTTTGGGGGGGGGGGGTCCACACCCAGCACTGCTCAGGGGTTAGGGATCATTCCTGGTGGTCGTCGGGGGATTATATGGGATTCCAGGATAAAACCCACAAATGCTGCATGCAAGGCAGCCCCCTACCCATTATACCATCTCTCTGGCCCCAGGTAAGGAATTCTTCATCCAATATACAGAATTATAGATAACCCTTCTTTCCTCAAAAAATAAAAAGTGAAAGTACAGCTGAGGGAGAGAGAGAGAGTAGGGCATTTGCCTTGTACAAGGCTAATCCCATTTTGAACCCTGGCACCACATGTGGTTCACCAGCACTACCAGGAGTACAGAGCAAGGAGTAAGTCCTCAGTACTTCTGGGTTTGACAAAAAAACTGAAGGAAGAGAGGGGGATGAGGAAAACTGAGGATATATTAGATGCTAATTAAAATAAGCCTCAGCAGTTTTTCAAAGTTTTGCCAAACATTTTTTTGGTTGTGCAAAGGAATCAAAGACTTTTATGGCAAGTACATGAACAATGTCATTAACTATCTCTGGTGCTGCTCAGATGGTGATAGACATCTGTGAAGGACAGTTTTACTCATATTTTAGATCATTAGAAAAAGCATGTCTCAGTTGAAATCTAAGACTCTTTCCCTTGCCAAGCCAGGTTTAATTCCCAGCATCCCATACGGTCCACCAAGTCTGCCAGGAGTGATTCCTGAGTGCAGAGTCAGGAGCTACCTGAGCACTGCTGAGCATGGACCCCACAAAAACAAAACAAAGCAAAACAAAAAAAAAGACTCTTGTCTAGGTTTAACACACTGATGCGAACATTGTAATTTGTGTTAATTAACCTAAGTGTGAGCCACAGCAGGTACACACCAGAATCAACATATGATTTAAGAATAAGAAACCAAATGAAATACTTGATTCAAACCCCTCTCACAGAGCTACCTTGAAAAACTGCTCTCTGCCACTTTAATGATCTACATTTTTAACCTAGAAACTTTCAAAATACTTTTCCCTATAAGATACTGCACTTGAAAATAAAGAAACTTCAAACAGGCATTTTGTCACTATTTCAGTACAACATAAAGAGAAACTCTTAAAAAAAAAAAAGGAGGGGCTGGAGCGATAGCACAGCAGGTAGGGTGTTTGCCTTGCACGCAGCCGACCCGGGTTCGATTCCCAGCATCCCATGTGGTCCCCCGAGCACCGCCAGGAGTAATTCCTGAGTGCATGAGCCAGGAATAACCCCTGTGCATAGCCGGGTGTGACCCAAAAAGAAAAAAAAAAGGAAAATGGGGTCTGGGGCACTAGTACAGTGGGTAAGGCGCTTGTCATGCGTGCTGCAGACCTGAATTCAATCCCCAGCATTCCATATGCTCTCCTGAGCACCGACAGGAGTGATCCCTGAGTGCAGAGCCAGGAGTAACCCCTGAGTATTGCCAGTGTGACCCAAAAACAAAACCTAAACAAACAACAACCAAAAACCCCAAACAGCAAAAACCCAGGCAGTGTGGCTCCGTGACCCAAAATTCCTCTTGAGGACTTTCTTAGCCTTGCCCGGACTCTTTGGCCTGCATCTGCCTGAGATGTGTACTTCCTTACTTTCGAGTAACAAAATGCTTGGGATGTGTGACATGGCTTTCTTTTCACTCTAGAGAAGCCCACGTTCTTTCTTGGGCAAGGACTTTTATCTACCACACTCCTACTCTCCTTTTATTCCCCAAATAAATTTATTTTACTTCACACACACATAAAACAAATGTGTCATGAGAAGTGTAACTGAAATACTTGAAAATGTACTCAAAGGTTTATGAGTAACATATGAGAATAAAGGATCAAGGAAATAACTCAAGGGGTTAGAGCATATAGTTGGTACGAGAGTGGCCTGGGTTCAATTCCCAGCACTGCACAATCCCTCAGCATCAAGTATTCCCAGATATGGCCCAAAAGCAAAACCAAAAATTCCTCAGAAAATAAAATAAAAACTTGATGGAAAGGGGTTTGGAGATTAAACTGCTGCTATAATTTCATGAGTAACCGTACGTTCCTTATTATTTCTTATACTTACCTTAAAATATAATAAAAACATTTCAAATATTTTGATACAGTGACATTAGGGTTCCTCCTTTCCCCATATCTTGGATTAAAAAGTTGCAGAAAATGTAAAAATATAAAAACCATGGCTGGCTGTGTACTGCATGGAAAAAAATGGAACACAATCTGACATTTCTTCAACTAAAATAAGATGTGAAAATGGTATTGTTTTCAAACTAGCAAATTAAAACAATCATTGGAATAAAAATATGGCCCACTGATACAGGTATAATCAGCTGCTCAGATACTGAAAGAAACAATAGTCTGACCTCATCAAAAAACTGTTGAGTTTTGCGAAGTATAAATTTTAATTCAGTCAGTTCCAGGAAGTTCCTCTTCAGAGCCTCCTGGTTTGTGTTGATTTCCTTCAGTTCATTTTCAATCTTCTCAAAATTGGCCTGCAGGAAAAATTTTTAAAAACTTAAACTATTAAAAAAAAAACTTAATCTATTAACTCAAGCTAAATTCATATGTTTTCTATGAAAGACAAATGAATTCACCTGTTCCACTGAAGTCTTGTCACACTGAAGCTTCAAATATAGTAAACATCTACTCAGCAAACAGTTTTTATTTTATTAAATATTTTTTGGGGGGTCACACCTGGCAATGCTCTGGGGTTACTCCTAGCTCTGTACTCAGGAATTATTCCTGGAGGGCTCGGGGAACCATCTGGGATGTCAGGAATTGAAGCCAGGTCGGTCATATGCAAGACAAATGTCCTACCCACAATACTATTGCTCCAGCCCCAGAAAACACAGTGTCTTTACCCAGGAAGTTTTCTTCATGAACATTTTTTGTTCTGTTTTATTTATTTGTTTTATTTAAAAAAATTTTTTGGGGGGGTATGGTGCCACCAGCAGGTCAATCTGTACCTGTGAGGCGAGTGCATCAGCAGCCTGATGGCGCCTTCAGACTTCCAGATACCCCAAATTGCTGCTGTGCTTTTGGCCAGACCCCAAAAACTTGGGGCAAAGTTTACCAAGAAAGTAAACGGCCAAAAGTTAGGTATGTGGGAAATACACCCACAAACCACCTCCGGCTCAGCTATATAATTGGAGGCATGGCCTCTCTGGTTCCTGATTGAACTGCTTAATGGCCATGATCCCAGAGACTCAGAAACAAATCTCGAAACCCAGCAGCTTTTGGCAGAAATGCGTCTGGTCCCTGAAGTAGGTTACCGGTGCTGGACCAACCTAGGTGGGAATAGGTTTTGTGCCTTGGCCTGTTCCCCCAGGAGGTCCAGGAGCCGCCATCCTTCAGAGGCCACTGGACAGTCAGTGGGCCCCCTATGACGAGACACGCAGGGCCTCACGGGATGGGGGTGGAGCCGGTCCTGTCCTCCTCACCCCAACGAGACCACAAGTCATCGCCCATGAAAAAACAGCCTCTCTGGCTCCTGATCAAGCTGCTTAACGGCCAAGATCCCAGAGACTCTGAAACAAATCTCAAAACCCAGTGGCTTTTGGCAGAAATGCATCCAGACCCCACAGTACATTACTGTCGCGGGGCTACCCCAGGGGGGAAAGGGTGTTGTCACTCTACCTGCTCCGCCTTGGCGGCTCGGTGGCGGTCATCCTCCAGAGGCCATTGGACAGTCAGGCTTGGGCCCGCAGGGATGAAACTTGTTGGGCCTTACGGGATGGGGGGGGGGGCTGGGCCTGTCCTCCCCACCCCAACGAGACCCCAATTCATCGCCCACGAACAGCCTCTCTGGCTCCTGATCAAGCTGCTCAACGGCCATGATCCCAGAGACTCAGGAGCAAATCTCAAAACCCAGTGGCTTTTGGCAGAAATCCCTCCCGATTTAAGTGTTAAAATTTTGGAATTTCAAAATCACATGACCCTACTGCAGCCACGTGACATCATATGTTATTCATAACCAGCAATAGAATGCAAACTGTCTACTGTTGCCTTTTCAGCAGATCTGAGTGTTGGGGTAAAATCTTAAATAATAATGGTGGGTCTGGTGTCGAAATATTGAATGTGATCAAAGTAGAGAGCGAGTAATATGGAAATCATCTGCCCCACAGGTAGGGGGAGGGGGTATACTGGGGTTTTTGGTGGTGGAGAATGGGCACTGGTGAAGGTACGGGTGTTTCATTTTATGATCAAGACTTAGACCCGAAAGCTTTGTAGCTGCTCTCACGGTGAATAAATAAAATTATAAAAAAATGAAAAAAAAAGTAAGGTGGAGTTCATGCCCAATTCAATCAGCTAATCAGTGGCTGAATAAATAGCAGTACTCCTACATTAAAAAAAACATTTTTTTTCGCCGAAGGCCAGGGAGATGGCTCAAAGTATTAGGGTGATGCCTGACATGCAGAAGCCCCAGCTTCAGCTTTCAGCATGGATGGGGTTGGCCCTTATAGTCCCTTGCACTGATGGGTCTAAAGAGCATCAGGTTTTTTTTTTTTTATTGGAGGTGACCTTAAGGACTTCTGTGCACTGCTTGAGAGAACCTCTGCTCTCCAATTTTTTAAAAAAGGAGTTGGGGGCGGGGGACAGAGAGACAATGCAGGAGTTAAGACATTTGACTTACATGAGGCTGAGTCTGGGCTGGAGCGATAGAACAGCGGTAGGGCATTGCCTTATAAGCAGCCAACATGGCCGGCCCGAGTTCGATTCCTCCGCCCCTCTCGGAGAGCCCGGCAAGCTACGGAGAGTATCTCGCCTGCACAGCAGAGCCTGGCAAGCTACCCGTGACGTATTCGATATGCCAAACACAGTAACAACAAGTCTCATGATGGAGACGTTACTGGGCCCGCTCAAGCAAATCGATGAACAACGGGAGGACCGTGACCGTGACCGTGAGGCTGAGCCTGGTTTAACCCCCCAGCAACCCATCTGGTCCCCTGAGCATTGCTGGGAATGGCCCAACACCTTCCACACCATAAAAAATGGGCAAAGAAGACTGGAGACATAGTATAGCCGGTAGGGTGTTTGCCTTGCACACAACTGATCCAAGTTCAATTCCCGGCACCCCATGTGGTCCCCCAAGCACCCTCAGGAGTAATTCCTGAGTGCTGAGCCAGGAATAATCCCTGAGCACCTCTGGGTTTGGCACCCCAAAAAAGAGGGGGGCACAAAGGGATTGGGGAGATGACTCAAAGACCTGGCACTCAGGCCTGCCATGTGCAGAGCCAAGGACTGGATCCCCAAACTGCCTTATCTCCTGAACACTACCGGGTGTATTACTAGTACCCCTGCTCTGTACCATTGAGGAGACACCAAAATCAAATATAAGAAACTTTTTGTTTAAAATACTGCCAGGAGTGATTCCCTGAGCACAGAGCCAAGAGTAAACCCTGTGCACTGCCAGATGTGGCCCAAAAACAAAGAAATCACATTTATTGTGGCCAGAGCAATAGTATAGCAGATAAGGCCTTGCATAACCTGGGTTCAATTCCCAGCATTTCTTGTAGTATTCCGAGCACCACCAAGAGTGATTCCCGAGTGCAAAATCAGGAATAAAACCTGAGCATGACTGGTGTGGCACTCTTCCCCACGATAAAAAGGTATTTATCCAATAAGACTTTAATAAACTGAGGCTAGTGAGAGAGAGAGAGTATAGCAGGTAGGGCACTTTACGCAGCAAGCTGGATTGATCCCCAGCACCCCATATGGTTACTTGAGCACCTACAGGAGTAATCTCTGAGTGCAGAGCCAATAGTAAGTCCTGAGAATCTCTCAGTATGGCTCCAAAATAACAACAGCAACAAAAGATATTAATAAACCAATATTCAGTAGTGAGTTATTGTATGATAATGTTTTATGGCATAAGAAAGGGAATTCATTTTAATCCAATTCACAAGAAATCCAGCATCAATAAATAATGCTCAAAAGGACAGCGAGATGCTCACAAGCCTTGACTCCCCTCTCCAAAGCCTGAGGAAATCACCTTCTGCTTTAAATGGAAAGAAATTTATCCCGTTTACTTGGAAGAATTGTTTACCTCTAAGTCAATCATGTCCCGGGGGAAGGGTACCTCTGGGTTTTCACCAGTGTCCATAATTGGTATATTCGCTTTTCTTATCTCTTTTTCCACAAATCCTGAAATGACAAAATGATAAAAAGCATTCATATCTAGCCGCACAAGCCTAGAGTTCCTGAAATTTGAGGTCAAAAAAAGTTAAAACCCCAATGACTCAACAGAGTTTCATTCTAAGGAAAGAGCATTTCCCCCTACCTGCTAAAGCACCACCACCCCAGAAGGGTTATCAGCCTTTATGCAAGCCCACTTTGGATCTTCAAACATTTGCTTCTAAAGGAAGAAAGGGGGGAAAGAAAGAAAGAAAAGAGTCTGCCATAGAGGCAGGCGGGTGGGAAACTGTGGACATTGGTGGTGGGAAATGTGCACTGGTAAAGGGATAGGTATTGGAACATATGTCTGAAATTCAATCATGGATAAGTTTGTAACTGTGTATCTCAAGGTGATTAAATAAAAATAAAAAACATTTCCTTCATAGGGCTGGAGCATAGTACAGCAGGTATGGTACTTGTGTTGCACAAGCCATGCTTTAATCCCTTATATTCCCCAGAGTACCATCAGGAGTGATTCCTGAGTGTAGAGCCAGGAGTAACTCATAAAACTTTTTTTCACCCCTTTTTGTGTCACACCTGGAGATGCTCAGGGGTATTCCTGGCTCTGCACTCAGGAATTACTCCTGGCATTGCCTGGGGGACCATGTGGGATGCCAGGGATCAAAGTTGTGTGGGCCGCATGCAAGACAAACACCCTACCCATTGTACTATCGCTCTGGCCCGTTTTGTTTTTATTAAACTTTAATAACTATCAGCTGAGGTTTAGGGGGAAAAAATAAAAACAAGAAAAAAAAAGAAAGCAAGATATGGAATAAGATTTCAGAACATCAGGAAAGCATTTAGGAGATAATTAGTCTTTTCTTGGTGTAGGGACTCTAATTTCACCCAGCAGCAACCTGAAAGCTACAGAGTAGAGCAGCGAGCTCCTGGGATTTTAGACAGAACATCCCAAATCCAAATACCAATGACATCATGGCCACTAGTGAATACGGCACTTAGCCTCTCTAATCTTTGGATTATTCATTTTGATTTTCTTTGTGGGGGTTGGCTTAGGGACCACTCATAGTGGTGAAGACCAGATGTGGTGCTGGGGATCCAACCAGACCTCTTGCATGTAAAGCATGTGCTCCAGCTCATTGAGTGCGCTCGTGCTCTCTCTCTCTCTCTCTCTCTCTCTCTCTCTCTCTCTCTTTCGGGAGAAGGCATAACCCACGACCAACGATGCTCTGAAGTTTCTCCATTTCTCCTGGCTTTGCACCCAGGGATCACTCCTGACAGTGCTTGAGAGACCATATGAGATGCCACGGATTGAACCCAGGTCAGAACCAGGTTGGTAGTGTGCAAGGCAAATGCCCTACCCACTGTATAACTGCTCTAATCGGACCCTGTTACTTCATTTGTTAAATGAAGTGACATCCATCTCGATGGACTATAGCAAAGAATGAATGACATACAGCATATGAAAACCTTGACTCTCAACAGATCATAATAAATGTTCATTTCTTCCCGCATAAATAGGTCAAATTAAAGGTAACCAGGATGACACCTAAAATTGATATTATGGGTGGGGGAGATAATTTAAAGGAACAGAGCACATGTTTTTCTTGAAAGGGTCCCAGGTTCAATCCCTGGTACCACATAGGTTCCCAAGCACTTCTGGGTATGGCCAAAAAAAAAAAAAAAGGTTAGTCTAGGTTCCATCTTTTAAAATTCTGTATTCTGTATTAGAGTTGGTTTTTTTTTTTTTTTTGGTTTATAAAGTCTTCTCCCCTACACATTTATGCATAAACTACTAATGTTTTCAGCCTGCAGCTTTATCTTCTCAAACAAGCATCACTGAGGCAAAACACCACCAAACCTATTTATATACAAGAAATTCATCTTAACATCATTATAAAATTTTCCCCCCTTTTTTTTCCCTCTGTATTTTCTTTTTCTTTTTTTGCTTTTTGGGTTACACCCAGCGATGCACAGAGGTTACTCCTGGCTTTGCACTCAGGAATTACTCCTGACGGTACTCAGGGGACCATACGGGATGCTGGGAATGAAACCTGTGTTGGCCACGTGCAGGCAAACACCCTACCCACTATACTATTGCTCCAGCCCCTGTGTTTTCTTTTTAGGGTGGGGATTAAAGAAATAGCACATTGGGTAGGGCACTTGCCTTGCATGTGCCCAACTCATGTTCGATCTACAGACCCCCATAAGGTCCCGAAGCCCCACCAGGAGTGATCCCCAAGCACAGAGTCAGGTGTAAGCTCTGAGCATTGCTGAGAGTGGCCCCCAAACACACAACAAACAAACAAACAAAAAATAGAGGCAGGAGTAAGTCCTAAGCACTGCTGAGATACGACCAAATTCCTCCTCCCCCCAACCACTAAAAAAAAGAGAACTATCATGTGAAATCAAAATGCACATACAGAGGGGCTAGAGCAACAGCACAGCCGGTAGGGCGTTTGTCTTGCACGCAGCCATCCCGGGTTCGATTCCCAACATCCCATATGGTCCCTTGAGCACCACTAGGTGTAATTCCTGAGTGCAGAGCCAGGAGTAATCCCTGTGGATTGCCAGGTGTGACCCAAAAAGGCCAAAAAAAAATTTAAAAATTTTAAAAAATGCACATACGAAGCTTTCGATCCATTTCTTCACATCTTCTAACTTCATTCACAAATTTCCTCTGAAAAACGTTCACATCTGGATTCAACTGCAAAATAGGAAAACCAAACCAATTATTTAAAAATACTGCCTCCATTTTCTTCTTTGACAAGCAATGTACCCTGCAAAGTCAAAAGGTAAATTTGTGTTACTGTAAGACAATTAATACTAATAGGAACTAAAAAACAAATGAAAAGCATCTACCAACCCACATATCCTGCTTGGAAGTCTGTACAACAACAAAAGACAGCATGTCCCTCACTGCTGCAATGCATGACTGGAAAGGAGGCAATCAGACGAAGCACTATGGTACAAAAAGTCCCCATGAAGAATGTGGACAATAATGATAATAGAAGCAGTGTCTGGGCCAGAACGATAGTACAGAGGGTAAGGTGCTTGCCTTTTACAGAGCCAACCCTGGTTTGATCCCTGGCATCCCATATGGTCCCCCAACTACCACCAAGAGTGATTCCTAAGTGCAGAGCCAGGAGTAACCCTGAACATTGATGGATGTGTCCAAAAACAAACAAAATAGGGTGGTGCCGCCAGCAGGTCAGCCTATACCTAGGGGGAAAGTGAGGCAGCAACCTGATGATGCCTTCAGACTTCCTGGTACCCCCAAATTGCCGCTGTGCCTTTGGCCGGACCCCAACAACTTAGGGCCAAAATTACCAAAAAATTGGATGAAAAAAAGTTGGGTATGTGGGAGCCACACCCATAAACCATCTCCAGCTCAGCTATACAAACTCATTTATTCGCCTTATTCCAGAGACCCATACATCTTGAACGAGATAAAAGACTACAGTTAGGGCCAGCGGCGCAGCATGATGTGGGCAAGCAGGTGCACCCTGCAGGGCATATGCCATAGTTTATTTCTCTTTAAAAGATGGAAACAAGAGACACACAATGTCCAGACACGCCACGGTCCAGAGACATACAAAAGAATCTCTGAACCGAGCAGCTCTCTGCAGAGATGCCTCTGGACTTTAAGCCAGGCCGACTTCACCGGGGTGCCTCAGACATCGTCCCTCCACCTGCCCCCTAAAAACCCCAGTGGCTGCCAATTTCCAGAAGCCAATAAGAAGTGCAGGTACGCGGGTTCAGTGACCGCAAACTCCAGGCCTCAAGGGATTGGGGATGGGCCGGCCCTTCTCAACCCCCATCCCCAAGGGACCCTGGAGGTCATACCCACAAACTGCCTCTGGCTGCTATTTAAGTTCCTTAATGGCCATGATTCAGAGACACACAAAAGAATCTCTGAACTAAGCAGCTCACTACAGAGATTTCTCCAGACCCTAATTTTCGAAATTTTGAAGTTCCAGGAGCACTTGGCTGCTCTCGAGGCCACGCGACATCTTATGTTATTCATAACAAGCAATATAAAAGAAAAGTATGGAGGGGCTGGGGTGATAGCACAGCAGGTAGGGCATTTGCCTTGCACATGGCCGACCCATGTTCGATTCCCAGCATCCCATATGGTCCCCTGAGCACCGCCACGGGTAATTCCTGAGTGCAGAGCCAGGAGTAACCCCTGAGCATCGCAGGGTGTGACCCAAAAATTAAATAAAAAAAGAAAAAGAAAGAAAGTATGGGGGAGATTGTCTGCCATAGAGGTAGGGGAAGGGGTGGGGTGGAGGATACTGGGCTTCTTGGTGGTGGAGGATGTGCACTGGTGGAGGGTTGGGTGATTGATCATTGTATGACTGACACTCAAACAGTAGAGCTTTGTAACTATCTCACAGTGATTAAAAAAAGTAATAAAAAATAATAAAATAAAATTAACATTCTGAATTTAAAAAAATAATTAAAAAATAATAAAATAAAATTAACATTCTGAATTTAAAAAAAAAAGTAATGTGGAGTTCATGCCATGTCACAACAGGAGGACAGTGACAGTGACAGTGACTCCTACATTAAAACAAACAAACAAAAATGAAGCCTTAAGTGGTGCCTGTGTTTCTTTCACTCCTTAACAATCAGGAGAAATATAAGGTAAATTAGATCTTCACAAGGTTACAGGCTGGATTCTTCATTCATCCATTTAAGTAATTTTAAAAGCTTTTCTTTTGGAGCCATAGCACAGAGGGTAGGGCATTTATTTGCATTGCACACGGCCCACCCGGGTTTGATTCCCAGCATCCTTTATGGTCCCCTGAACACTGCCAGGGGTAATTCATGAGTGCAAGAGCCAGGAGTAACCCCTATGCATCGCCAGGTATGACCCAAAAAGCAAAAAAGAAAAAAATCATAAAAGCTTTTCTTCTGGAAATATATAAACAAGACTTAAACAGGTTCTTACTCATTGAAAAGTCTGCAAACTAGAAAATAAGCACAAAGAAATATAGCCTGTCAGATGGCATGTGTTAAGCTCTATAAAATTAAAATAAATAACTATAGTTGCTCAACATTTATGGGGTAGCAGGTATGTCCCAGACACTGTACAGCAGGTTCTTTTCAGGGTCACTATGTTTTTTGAGGACTTGCTTTCATCCTATGTCACTTGCCTTGAAGTTGCAATTCCCAATAATATATGGATTAAGTAAGCAAACACCATATTAGGTATTGGCATAAAAGCAAAAAAATAAGACAAATCCCAGTTTTGAGAGGCATCAATACCATGGAAGATATACAGACAAATAAAAATAATTCGTTTTTATTGATAATAAGCATTTAAAAATATTATTGATAGTTCTTTTTCTCTTCACCCCCTCCCCCTTTTGTATGTTTATTTTGTGTTTGGGTCACATTTAACTGTGCTTAGTGCTTACTTCTGGCTCTGTACTCTGAAATCACTCCTATGTTCAGGCGATCATATGAAGTGCCGGGAATCAAACCCGAGCCAGCCGTGTCCAAGGCAAGCATCTTACCTGCTGTACTATTTCTCTGGCCCCATTTTCTTAAATATATACACCATGACTATTGCTGGGTATTTGCTTGACAGAAATGAACACCTGTTTGCTGAGAGATAGGTAAGGAATGTGTATAGCTGCTTTTATTAATAATAATCTCAGGAGCTAGAGAGATAGTACAGTAGGCAGGGCACTTGCCTTGAGTACAGACAACCTGGTTTAATCTCTGGCATCCTAAACAGTCTCCTGAGCACTCCCAGGAGTGATCCTTGAGCACAGAGCCAGGAGTAATCCCTGAGAACCATGGACATGATCCCTCCCACCAAAAAAAACAGTAGGTAGGGGGCAAAGAGACAGTACCAGGGTTATGGAACATACCTTGCATGCAGCTGACCCCAGTTCAATTCCCAGTACTATATGGCCCCCATGCATCACCAGGTCTAGCCCTGTCGGTCCCTGAGCATTGTCAGGATGACCAAAATGATCCTCAGCACCTCAGGGCTCAAGCAACAACGCACCGTGAGGTCTTACACTCTATGGTTAGCTAGGTTAGCTGACTCAACAACCTAGGCCAAAAGGAACATTTTAGGCCAAAATAAATAAATAAATAAGTGGGGGAGGCAAACAAAAAAGAAAGAAAAAGAAATTAAATACACACAGGAAGAATACCTTGTTCTATCTGGGGAACTAACAGAAAAAATAAGAACAGGATCAAATAGAATGGGGGTAAAGCATGTGAACAACACTGGTTCAATGCCCTGCAATGCATATAGTCCCCAAGCATCACCAGGAGTGACCCCTGAGCACAGAGCCAGGAGTAAGCCCTGAACACACTGAGGTATGGCCCCCAAACCAGAAAAACGAGAGAAAGAATAAAGGTAACACCTGAGCTAGAGCACAGGGGATAGGGCAGAGTTCACCAAGCACATGCAGACACAATGAAAATAGGTCACCAAAGACTTCATTCTATGGGAAACAGGGAATCAAATGATCTAAATTGGGGGTGCGGGGGGGTGCTCCAAAGCACTGCTCAAAGACCTAGGGCCACTTCCTGTGATTATTGGCCAAATGGGCTGGCAGCTCAATGCCCAGGTCTGAGAATGCTATGCTGCTCTAAGCCTAGATGCTGGGGAACACCAGGTTAACCCACAATTCTCAGAAGCCCTGGACAGAGCTATACCCAGTGGTGTTAGGGGTCTCCAGGGCTCTATTCCACATGCTTATGATGCCATGTGGTACCAGACATGGAACTCGGGTTGGGCATACTAATCCCTATACTATCTCCCTGGCCCCATGGTCTGTTATGTTTTGGGAGGTTACATGCAGCAGTGCTCAGGGCTTACTCCTGGTTCTGTGTTCTGGAGGAGCTTAGGGGACCATATACGGTGCCAAGGGTTGAACTGGGGTGGGTCACATGCAAAGCACCTTAACCCCTATTTTATTTCTCCAGCCCCTGATCTGTTTACTTTTTAAGATTTGTGATCTTGAAGAATAATATTTTGTGTGGAGAGTGAGGCATGAAAGAGAAAGAGAGACTAGGGCTGGAGTGACAGTATAGAGTGTAGGACCCTTGCCTTGCACAATCAAGTTCGACCCCTGGGATCCCATATGGTTCCAAGCTCACCAGGAGTGACCCCTGAGCACAGCCAGGTGTGGAACAAGAGAGAGAGAGAGAGACAGAGACAGAGAGAGACAGAGACAGAGACAGAGACAGACAGAGAAAGAGAGAGAGGGAGACTGGTGACAGAGAAACTGTAAGGAAGCTAATATTATTACATTAATATTAGATAAAAAGTATTAGTAGAGTGTCCAGGGAGCTAGCTCCAAGGGCAGGAGATGATTTTGATACCTGGCACCATATGGCAACTGAGCAGTGACAGATGTAGCCCTTGATGCTCAAGCAGCATCTCCAGGGGAGACTCTTATATCCCCTGAGCATTGTCAAGAAGACTACCCTATCCCAAAATATGCATTATTAGAGATAAAAGGAATTATTACACAAAAGAACCAATTTCCACAGGCCAGAGTGATTGGAGGGTAGGAGGGCTCTTGCCTTGCATGTGGCTGACTTCGATTCAGTCCCCACTATCCCATATAGTCCCCCGAGCACCAGCAGGAGTAATTCCTGAGCTCAGAGCCAGAAGTAACCCCTAACTGCTGGGTGTGGCCCATGAAACAAAAACCAGAACAATTTCCAGGA